ATATGGTTCTGTAAGCTCTCTTCTGTTTCAGCTAATAATACTTGGTCATTTGCAAACAACAATTCTGATATATAATTCTTTCCTTCCCTCTCTGCTTCTTTGCATATATTGTCGATTTATGTTACAAAAAGCAGGAAGATAGCACACATCCCTGTGTTACTCCTGAATTTACTTTAAAGGGTTGCGATGTACCTGCTTTTGTTTGTATGCAACTTTTACTTGATGTATAAAGGCCCTTACACACTTCAGTTAAAATATTATTACATGAACATAACATTCTTTATTGATTTTTTTTTTAAAACTGTTGCGTGAAAGGTGGGGGGTTTGGAACCCACACGGGGAGTCCAATCTGGTAACATAAAGTTAATTTTTTTTAAAGGGAAAGAACCTTTTCACATCAGTGACACATTAGTGACACATCAGCGACACATCAGTGACACATTAGTGACACATCAGTGACACATCAGTGACACATCAGCGACACATCAGCGACACATTAGTGAAACATCAGTGACACATCAATGACACATCAGCAACACATCAGTGAAACATCAGTGACACATCAGTGACACATTAGTGAAACATCAGTGACACATCAGCGACACATTAGTGAAACATCAGTGACACATCAGTGACACATCAGCGACACATTAGTGAAACATCAGCGACACATCAGTGACACATCAGTGACACATCAGTGACATATCAGTGACACATTAGTGAAACATCAGTGACACATCAGTGACACATCAGCGACACATCTGTGACACATTAGTGAAAGATCAATGACACATTAGTGACACACCAGCGACACATTAGTGAAACATGAGACATATGATTTCAGTCTCATATTTGTATAGACAATCAGCACTCTGTGGACGATGCGGTCAATGTCACGCTGGCAGCTTTTACTTCTGAGGACATTTCCCGATACCCGTTTTAGACTGGCTTGACCAAGCAGTCAAGGTCAATATAAAAAACAAAATCATTTTGATGCAGAATCAAACCCAAGACCTTCAGACTGGTCAGCTAGTGTCCAGTAGCCACTAAACTACAGCGGTACAAGAATGTGTGTATATTGTGAAAACACTACCAGGATTTCAAAAATATGTGTGTATTGTGAAAACTAATAAAATATTGAAATGTTTTTAGTTTTTTTTATATTTTACATTTTATCAAAAATGTATACAGATTTTGTTAAATCACAAAAATTGTAGAAAAACTAGTAACATTACTTTTAAACAAATGTTGAGCCTTGTTCTTGTCCTTGACATAGATAAAACAGAGTTCTTCTAACAGCGATGCCAGCAACAGATGTGGTGGCAGGTTTTTGTTTGCTGCGATAGCTAAAGCCTGCGTTTCCTGATTATAGCTGGGTACTTTAATTGCATTGTCATGTTTAACTTCTATTGCATCTGAAACTGAAAAAATGCACGTAGGTTAAGAATATAAACAGTGACAGGATTGGTGAAATGCAGTTTCGTACAACATAATATTTCTAAATGTGAAACAACTGGCTTGGTATTGAGTGCCTTAAATGTGTCTTGGTATTTAGTGCCTTAAATGTTATCTTGGTATTTAGTACCTTAAATGTGTCTTGGTATTTAGTGCCTTGGTATTTAGTGCCTTAAATGTGTCTTGGTATTTAGTGCCTTAAATGTTATCTTGGTATTTAGTGCCTTAAATGTGTCTTGGTATTGAGTGTCATAAATGTGTCTTGGTATTTAGTGCCTTAAATGTGTCTTGGTATTGAGTGTCATAAATGTGTCTTGGTATTTAGTGCCTTAAATGTGTCTTGGTATTGAGTGTCATAAATGTGTCTTGGTATTTAGTGCCTTGGTATTTAGTGCCTTAAATGTGTCTTGGTATTTAGTGCCTTAAATGTGTCTTGGTATTGAGTGTCATAAATGTGTCTTGGTATTTAGTGCCTTAAATGTGTCTTGGTATTTAGTGCCTTAAATGTGTCTTGGTATTGAGTGTCATAAATGTGTCTTGGTATTTAGTGCCTTGGTATTTAGTGCCTTAAATGTGTCTTGGTATTGAGTGTCATAAATGTGTCTTGGTATTTAGTGCCTTAAATGTGTCTTGGTATTTAGTGCCTTAAATGTGTCTTGGTATTTAGTGCCTTAAATGTGTCTTGGTATTTAGTGCCTTAAATGTGTCTTGGTATTGAGTGTCATAAATGTGTCTTGGTATTTAGTGCCTTAAATGTGTCTTGGTATTGAGTGTCATAAATGTGCCTTGGTATTTAGTGCCTTAAATGTGTCTTGGTATTGAGTGTCATAAATGTGTCTTGGTATTTAGTGCCTTAAATGTGCCTTGGTATTTAGTGCCTTAAATGTGTCTTGGTATTGAGTGTCATAAATGTGTCTTGGTATTGAGTGTCATAAATGTGCCTTGGTATTTAGTGCCTTAAATGTGTCTTGGTATTGAGTGTCATAAATGTGTCTTGGTATTTAGTGCCTTAAATGTGTCTTGGTATTTAGTGCCTTAAATGTGTCTTGGTATTTAGTGCCTTAAATGTGTATTGGTAGTAGTGCCTTAAATGTGTCTTGGTATTTAGTGTCATAAAGTATTTGTGCCATAAATGTGTCTTGGTATTTAGTGCCTTAAATGTGTCTTGGTATTTAGTGCCTTAAATGTGTCTTGGTATTTAGTGCCTTAAATGTGTCTTGGTATTGAGTGTCATAAATGTGTCTTGGTATTTAGTGCCTTAAATGTGTCTTGGTATTGAGTGTCATAAATGTGTCTTGGTATTTAGTGCCTTAAATGTGTCTTGGTATTGAGTGTCATAAATGTGTCTTGGTATTTAGTGCCTTAAATGTGTCTTGGTATTTAGTGCCTTAAATGTTATCTTGGTATTTAGTGCCTTAAATGTGTCTTGGTATTGAGTGTCATAAATGTGTCTTGGTATTTAGTGCCTTAAATGTGTCTTGGTATTTAGTGCCTTAAATGTTATCTTGGTATTTAGTGCCTTAAATGTGTCTTGGTATTTAGTGCCTTAAATGTTATCTTGGTATTTAGTGCCTTAAATGTGTCTTGGTATTTAGTGCCTTAAATGTGTCTTGGTATTTAGTGCCTTAAATGTTATCTTGGTATTTAGTGCCTTAAATGTTATCTTGGTATTTAGTGCCTTAAATGTGTCTTGGTATTTAGTGCCTTAAATGTGTCTTGGTATTTAGTGCCTTAAATGTTATCTTGGTATTTAGTGCCTTAAATGTGTCTTGGTATTTAGTGCCTTAAATGTTATCTTGGTATTTAGTGCCTTAAATGTGTCTTGGTATTTAGTGCCTTAAATGTTATCTTGGTATTTAGTGCCTTAAATGTGTCTTGGTATTTAGTGCCTTAAATGTGTCTTGGTATTTAGTGCCTTAAATGTGTCTTGGTATTTAGTGCCTTAAATGTGTCTTGGTATTTAGTGCCTTAAATGTTATCTTGGTATTTAGTGCCTTAAATGTTATCTTGGTATTTAGTGCCTTAAATGTTATCTTGGTATTTAGTGCCTTAAATGTTATCTTGGTATTTAGTACCTTAAATGTGTCTTGGTATTTAGTGCTTTGGTATTTAGTGCCTTAAATGTTATCTTGGTATTTAGTGCCTTAAATGTGTCTTGGTATTTAGTGCCTTAAATGTGTCTTGGTATTTAGTGCCTTAAATGTGTCTTGGTATTTAGTGCCTTAAATGTGTCTTGGTATTTAGTGCCTTAAATGTGTCTTGGTATTTAGTGCCTTAAATGTGTCTTGGTATTTAGTGCCTTAAATGTGTCTTGGTATTTAGTGCCTTAAATGTTATCTTGGTATTTAGTGCCTTAAATGTGTCTTGGTATTTAGTGCCTTAAATGTGTCTTGGTATTTAGTGCCTTAAATGTTATCTTGGTATTTAGTGCCTTAAATGTGTCTTGGTATTTAGTGCCTTAAATGTGTCTTGGTATTTAGTGCCTTAAATGTCTTGGTAATGTAAATCTTGGTATTTAGTGCCTTAAATGTGTCTTGGTATTTAGTGCCTTAAATGTGTAAATGTATTTAGTGCCTTAAATGTGTCTTGGTATTTAGTGCCTTAAATGTGTCTTGGTATTTAGTGCCTTAAATGTGTCTTGGTATTTAGTGCCTTGGTATTTAGTGCCTTAAATGTGTCTTGGTATTTAGTGCCTTGGTATTTAGTGCCTTAAATGTGTCTTGGTATTTAGTGCCTTGGTATTTAGTGCCTTAAATGTGTCTTGGTATTTAGTGCCTTAAATGTGTCTTGGTATTTAGTGCTTAAATGTGTGCCTTGGTATTTAGTGCCTTAAATGTGTCTTGGTATTTAGTGCCTTAAATGTATTTAGTGCCTTAAAATGTGTCTTGGTATTAGTAGTATTTGCCTTAAATGTGTCTTGGTATTTAGTGCCTTGGTATTTAGTGCCTTAAATGTGTCTTGGTATTTAGTGCCTTAAATGTGTCTTGGTATTTAGTGCCTTGGTATTTAGTGCCTTAAATGTGTCTTGGTATTTAGTGCCTTAAATGTGTCTTGGTATTTAGTGCCTTAAATGTTATCTTGGTATTTAGTGCCTTAAATGTGTCTTGGTATTTAGTGCCTTGGTATTTAGTGCCTTAAATGTGTCTTGGTATTTAGTGCCTTGGTATTTAGTGCCTTAAATGTGTCTTGGTATTTAGTGCCTTAAATGTGTCTTGGTATTTAGTGCCTTGGTATTTAGTGCCTTAAATGTGTCTTGGTATTTAGTGCCTTAAATGTGTCTTGGTATTTAGTGCCTTAAATGTGTCTTGGTATTTAGTGCCTTAAATGTGTCTTGGTATTTAGTGCCTTAAATGTGTCTTGGTATTTAGTGCCTTAAATGTTATCTTGGTATTTAGTGCCTTAAATGTGTCTTGGTATTTAGTGCCTTGGTATTTAGTGCCTTAAATGTGTCTTGGTATTTAGTGCCTTGGTATTGGTATTTAGTGCCTTAAATGTGTCTTGGTATTTAGTGCCTTAAATGTGTCTTGGTATTTAGTGCCTTGGTATTTAGTGCCTTAAATGTGTCTTGGTATTTAGTGCTTAAATGTGTCTTGGTATTTAGTGCCTTAATGTTATGTGTTGGTATTTAGTGCCTTAAATGTGTCTTGGTATTTAGTGCCTTGGTATTTAGTGCCTTAAATGTGTCTTGGTATTTAGTGCCTTGGTATTTAGTGCCTTAAATGTGTCTTGGTATTTAGTGCCTTAAATGTGTCTTGGTATTTAGTGCCTTAAATGTGTCTTGGTATTTAGTGCCTTAAATGTTATCTTGGTATTTAGTGCCTTAAATGTGTCTTGGTATTTAGTGCCTTGGTATTTAGTGCCTTAAACGTGTCTTGGTATTTAGTGCCTTGGTATTTAGTGCCTTAAATGTGTCTTGGTATTTAGTGCCTTAAACGTGTCTTGGTATTTAGTGCCTTGGTATTTAGTGCCTTAAATGTGTCTTGGTATTTAGTGCCTTAAATGTGTCTTGGTATTTAGTGCCTTGGTATTTAGTGCCTTAAACGTGTCTTGGTATTTAGTGCCTTGGTATTTAGTGCCTTAAATGTTATCTTGGTATTTAGTGCCTTAAATGTGTCTTGGTATTTAGTGCCTTAAATGTTATCTTGGTATTTAGTGCCTTAAATGTTATCTTGGTATTTAGTGCCTTAAATGTTATCTTGGTATTTAGTGCCTTAAACGTGTCTTGGTATTTAGTGCCTTGGTATTTAGTGCCTTAAACGTGTCTTGGTATTTAGTGCCTTAAATGTGTCTTGGTATTTAGTACCTTAAATGTGTCTTGGTATTTAGTACCTTAAATGTGTCTTGGTATTTAGTGCCTTGGTATTTAGTACCTTAAACGTGTCTTGGTATTTAGTGCCTTAAATGTGTCTTGGTATTTAGTACCTTAAACGTGTCTTGGTATTTAGTGCCTTAAATGTGTCTTGGTATTTAGTACCTTAAATGTGTCTTGGTATTTAGTACCTTAAATGTGTCTTGGTATTTAGTACCTTAAACGTGTCTTGGTATTTAGTGCCTTAAATGTGTCTTGGTATTTAGTACCTTAAATGTGTCTTGGTATTTAGTACCTTAAACGTGTCTTGGTATTTAGTGCCTTAAATGTGTCTTGGTATTTAGTACCTTAAATGTGTCTTGGTATTTAGTACCTTAAACGTGTCTTGGTATTTAGTGCCTTAAATGTGTCTTGGTATTTAGTACCTTAAATGTGTCTTGGTATTTAGTACCTTAAATGTGTCTTGGTATTTAGTGTCTTGGTATTTAGTACCTTAAATGTGTCTTGGTATTTAGTGCCTTAAATGTTATCTTGGTAGTTAGTGCCTTAAATGTTATCTTGGTATTTAGTGCCTTAAATGTGTCTTGGTATTTAGTGCCTTAAATGTGTCTTGGTATTTAGTGCCTTAAATGTTATCTTGGTATTTAGTGCCTTAAATGTTATCTTGGTATTTAGTGCCTTAAATGTTATCTTGGTATTTAGTGCCTTAAATGTTATCTTGGTATTTAGTGCCTTAAACATGTCTTGGTATTTAGTGCCTTAAACGTGTCTTGGTATTTAGTGCCTTAAACGTGTCTTGGTATTTAGTGCCTTGGTATTTAGTGCCTTAAATGTTATCTTGGTATTTAGTGCCTTAAATGTTATCTTGGTATTTAGTGCCTTAAACGTGTCTTGGTATTTAGTGCCTTAAACGTGTCTTGGTATTTAGTGCCTTGGTATTTAGTGCCTTAAATGTTATCTTGGTATTTAGTGCCTTAAACGTGTCTTGGTATTTAGTGCCTTAAATGTGTCTTGGTATTTAGTGCCTTAAATGTGTCTTGGTATTTAGTGCCTTAAATGTTATCTTGGTATTTAGTGCCTTAAACGTGTCTTGGTATTTAGTGCCTTAAATGTGTCTTGGTATTTAGTGCCTTAAATGTGTCTTGGTATTTAGTGCCTTAAATGTTATCTTGGTATTTAGTGCCTTAAATGTTATCTTGGTATTTAGTGCCTTAAATGTTATCTTGATATTTAGTGCCTTAAATGTTATCTTGGTATATAGTGCCTTAAATGTTATCTTGGTATTTAGTGCCTTAAATGTGTCTTGGTATTTAGTGCCTTAAATGTTATCTTGGTATTTAGTGCCTTAAATGTTATCTTGGTAGTTAGTGCCTTAAATGTTATCTTGGTATTTAGTGCCTTAAATGTTATCTTGGTATTTAGTGCCTTAAATGTTATCTTGGTATTTAGTGCCTTAAATGTTATCTTGGTATTTAGTGCCTTAAATGTTATCTTGGTAGTTAGTGCCTTAAATGTTATCTTGGTATTTAGTGCCTTAAATGTTATCTTGGTATTTAGTGCCTTAAATGTTATCTTGGTATTTAGTGCCTTAAATGTTATCTTGGTATTTAGTGCCTTAAATGTTATCTTGGTATTTAGTGCCTTAAATGTTATCTTGGTATTTAGTGCCTTAAATGTTATCTTGGTAGTTAGTGCCTTAAATGTTATCTTGGTATGTTATCTTGGTAGTTAGTGCCTTAAATGTTATCTTGGTAGTTAGTGCCTTAAATGTTATCTTGGTATTTAGTGCCTTAAATGTTATCTTGGTAGTTAGTGCCTTAAATGTTATCTTGGTATTTAGTGCCTTAAATGTGTCTTGGTATTTAGTGACTTAAATGTTATCTTGGCATTTAGTGTCTTAAATGTTATCTTGGTAGTTAGTGCCTTAAATGTTATCTTGGTAGTTAGTGCCTTAAATGTTATCTTGGTATTTAGTGCCTTAAATGTTATCTTGGTAGTTAGTGCCTTAAATGTTATCTTGGTATTTAGTGCCTTAAATGTGTCTTGGTATTTAGTGCCTTAAATGTGTCTTGGTATTTAGTGCCTTAAATGTGTCTTGGTATTTAGTGTCTTAAATGTTATCTTGGTATTTAGTGCCTTAAATGTGTCTTGGTATTTAGTGCCTTAAATGTTATCTTGGTATTTAGTGCCTTAAATGTTATCTTGATATTTAGTGCCTTAAATGTTATCTTGGTATTTAGTGCCTTAAATGTTATCTTGGTATTTAGTGCCTTAAATGTTATCTTGATATTTAGTGCCTTAAATGTTATCTTGGTATTTAGTGCCTTAAATTTGTCTTGGTATTTAGTGCCTTAAATGTGTCTTGGTATTTATTGCCTTAAATGTGTGTTTTAAAAAAAAGGAGGTACAAAAAAAAAGTTAAAGGTCCCTTTTCCATACCTGAATGACCAAAAAGGATGCACACAAGCTGTCCACTTTCCACCACACATGTCTACATAGAATTATCAAAATTTTCTGGCCAGATACAATCTCAAACACTAAACTACTTCAAGCCACAAACCAAGAAACTTTAGACAGTATGATTACCAAGAGAAGATGGAAATGGCTTGGCTACGTTATGGGAATGACTTCTAATATACCTGCCAATACAGCTCTCACATGGACACCAGAGGGAAAGAGAAAACAGGGGCGCCCAAAAACAACATGGAGACGAACGATGGAAAGTGACCTGAGTGGGGCATCTTTGACATGGAAAACTGCACTGAAGATTGCACACGACAGAAAAGCATGGAAAGTCCTCTCTAAAGCCTCATGTGCCACTAAGCATAACAAGAACTGATGATGATGATTCCATACCTTTAGGCGTATAGGGCAGATAGGGCTAGATCTAAAATTTTATAGACCAATCGGCACAAGATAGGTGATGTGGTCAGCATCACGTCGGCTGCCTTTACTTCCCGGGACTGCACCCGGTATCCACTCAAGGCTGGGTCGACCTGGGTAGCCCTTTGTCTTATCCATCTTCAACGTCTTGTATCTACGTTTGCGAAGGTAGGCCTCTGCCTCATTGTCTGGAAATTGCACAATCCATCACTGTTCTCTCCAGGCCCCTTTGATACTTACCATGGCAAAAATACCCCAGCTTCCAGGACAGGATGCTGTATATGAGCCAATTTCTCTGATGGTCAGATCACGTAACACGCCAGTGTGTTTATTCTTGCTCAACTGTTCTTTTCTAGAGTGTTCTTGTAATTTTATCAAACTATTTCACCATAGCTTCTTTAAACTTCTCACTAAGCTGCAGATTGTCCATGATTCATTTCAGTCGACTAGGATTGGTTCATAACTCTTTCAATACCAAGAAACATATCATACATTGATTTATAACTAATTTGTCTTTCAATATCAAGGAATACATCATGAATTAACTTATAAAAGGAAACGGTTTACAATCCACTGCTTGATGAGCAGCAATAGCTATTGTCATTGTGTGTCAATGTAGTAGCTCTTTAATGTCATCAATCCATCTTCTCCTTAGGCGGCCTCTTGATTTCACCTTAAATGTTTATGTGTAGCGCCTGCACTGATAGTTGTTCTGGCTGCAATCTTATTAGATGACCAAACCACCTGATCTTCTGTTAGTCAATAAATTTGCTGCTGGTGTTGTCCTTACAGTCTGTCTGATAATATCATTTCTAATTTTGTCTCAGATGATTAAGTTGGTGGCTTTTGGTAGGCATTTCATTTCACAGGTGTTAATTTTACGTAAGTTAAAAAATAATACAGTAAAACCTTGCCAACAAAAACTAGCTTAAGAAGAACACTCAGCTAAAATGAACACAATTTTGGTCCCAGCACGGATAAAATAATTCCTTGGTCATTCCCTGGTTAGCAGAATATTTTTTAAAACATGAACCCTTAATTGTTCAGTCGTTTGGAATTCATGTTAATAGGTTTGACTATTTAAACACCATAAGAAAAAATGAAAACTAAAAGCAGCATCATATAATACCCACCATCCATGCGGCGAATTGGCTTGACTCCAGCGCGAAGTTTAAAATCTGCCAGTGTCTTGATGGATATTTTCTGGTTAACATTTGATTCTTTCATCTTTGTATTTCTAGAACCATTAGACAATGTAAAAATGTGAGTATCCCTGTGGACTCTGTGGGGCTTCACTAGAGGAGAAGACATAGTGATAATTTGTTGCTAATGATCCGGGGGGGGGATTTTTACATAGAAATATATCATCCAACAGTACACATACACAAAAAATTATTCTCTTAGAAAAAGAATATTTATGAGCTAGACAAATTATTTTGATTCACTTAAACAAAATATTCATTGTTGCTATTTGTCATCTTTTTATTTCATTTTGACAATTATACAGACAAAGTTTGTTGCGCAAGCCATGGGGGAAAAGAGTAACCAAGAAATGGAACAGTCATCAAATAGTAAAATGATTTACAAAGAAATAGAATATCCAAAAAAAGTTTACAGATTGCAACAGTTAAGTCAAATGGTGAGTGAATAAAAAAAAAATGGTATCCTAGACACTGGTTTAAAAACAAATAATTTCGTGAGGCCTGAGAAGGACAGGAATGGGTAAAAGTGTCAGAGCAAAAAACAGACATGAGTGGGGTTCTAATCACACTTGGCCAGGAGTGCAGGGATAAGCCAGCACTCACTGCAAAATCCTCTCATGATAATTCCCACCTAGGTGATGTGATTATCTGCACAGATGGCTCTGTGTTGAGAGGCAGGATAAGTTCGTGGGAGTTCACTGCAAAAGCGAATGGATGATGCATAGTGCAACAAAATCTAGTGTATGATATAATAACATTTAGTTTCTGAATGTAGGTTGAAGCAGTCACAGAAGCTTTTCCCTGGCTAGAGAACCAGTTGCACAGATATGTCTTGATTAGCCTTGTCTCAAAAAGCATGTTATGAAAAGTGAAGACAGTCATGCTCTGTGCAGAGTGGCAAGCATCACTTCAGAAGTCACCAGTATTTTTTTTTTCTTGATATTTTCTCTAGGATATATAGGAGTGTTGGGAAATGAAAAGGCTGGCAGATTAGCTGGTTCTGTGGTAGTGTATTTATGCATGACAAGCCAGATGTGATGAAGGTCCTTTGAGAGGAAGTAAATAATGCAAAGGCCCGAACAGATCATTTTGGTTTGGAAAGAATGGTAAAGCTACGAGTAACCAGGGAATCTGGTCGAGACTCTACACTCAAGGGAAAGGCAAGATGGATATATAATTAAACTGCTACTGGCACCACAGGAATTTGAACTTTTTGCAAGCCACTGTAGATGTTGACGGAGTGCTATATCTTGAGTGGCTATATCCTGAGTGGCTATGTTCTGAGTGCTATGTCATAAGTGCTATATCCTGAATGCTATGTCCTGAGTGCTATGTCCTGAGTGCTATATCATGCTATATCCTGAGTGCTATATCATGAGTGCTATATCCTGAGTGCTATGTCCTGAGTGCTATGTCCTCAGTGCTATGTACTGAGTGCTATGTCATGAGTGCTATGTCCTGAGTGCTATATCCTGAGTGCTATGTCATAAGTGCTATATCCTGAGTGCCATATCCTGAGTGCTATATCCTGAGTGCTATATCCTGAGTGCTATGTCCTGAGTGCTATGTCATAAGTGCTATATCCTGAGTGCCATATCCTGAGTGGCTATGTCCTGACCATAACTCAAGGAAGGAGGTTTTACAAAAGAATTCTTAGAATTCCTTGGACAGCAAAAAAAAAAAGCAACCCAGAAGTTCTGAAAGCGGTGAGGGCTCAAGATAACTTACCACAAACATCAGAAAGAAACAATCATAAGTTTTTGGTCTTGTTATGTGAATAAGAAAACTGGAACAAGCTGTGAACATCAGAAAGTTCCGTGGAAAAGAAGAATACAAGATTCTTGACAGCAACGAATTTTTGAAAGTGGTAGGGGCTTGAAGATAACTTACTACAAACATCAAAAAGAAATAATCATAATTTGTTGGTCATGTTATGAGAGTAAGAAAACTGGACATGCTGCGATCATAAGAAAGTTCTGTGGAAAAGAAGAAAGAGGAAGACAAGATTCTTGACAGCCTTCTGTTATGGCATAGAGTGAGCTCAGTGTGTAAACTAGTACTCGCTGTTGAAAACCACAGATTGTGGAGAGGCATGGTTTGATAATCACCCATGTCAGTCGGCAAGGCATGTGATGATGATGTCAGAAATTACTAATGCAAAGTTTAAGGGAAAAACTATGAAATATAAGAAGTAACACTTGTGCTGGGTACAACACTCACCGACAAAATCTGATCGTAGCAGAGGGAGACTGGCTTTTCAGTGACAAAACCAGGTACAAGAAAGATGAGGAAGATTCTAGAAGTGTTAGTTGACTGAGAGTCAATGCTGCACAGAAAAAGCAGCAGCAGCAGAAGAAGAAGAAGAATGGCACAAGCTAAAGACAAAAAAATTACTTCCCAAATCCTGCTGCTCATAATTAATAATTATTTTATGGTTATTAATACAATGGTCTCCCCATTTACACACCACCAGTTGTAGGTCAACTCTACTGATAAGTTTGTTGGACTAGTCTACCGTGGTCGAGGTTATGGGTGTTGCAGTCTGTTGTCTTGCATTTACGTTTTTATTTCGGAGAAAGATACTGCCTGTGACATAGGTTTTGTCACTCTCTAGGGGGGTTGTGTGTTAGACCCAGTATCTAAATGTTGTAGAAGTGTTAAAAGCTCTGGCATGGTGAAATACACAACATGCAGTATCAGCGCGAGTGTGGAATATCACCATGACCTTGTGTGAAAGTCGGATCGCTTGAGGCCTAACTATCAGAAGTGAGGAGAACTGTAGTTCATCCAATCAGAAGTGAGCTAGTGTGTAGCGTTGTGTAAATTTACCTATTTTATAATTTTTTTTTTTTAATATGTTTACAATTTTTTTGTAAATCCTTAAAGTTTAATATTAAAATTGGCTATCCTCCGAATAACGATCCCAAATTATCGAGGCAAAAAATTTACCCTAACAGGGCCTCAGTCACATGTAAATTGCAAACTTCCAGCGACTTAAATTGCAGACTTCTGGCGACTACCGCCACAAGTATCTCGGCACATAGTGGCGCGAGGCTAAACTAGATGGCTGAGACTCACGAGCAGCAGCTCGTGCAGCTTCCTTTATTTTATTTGCTAGTGAGTCCCAGCCATCTAGTTTACCCCCACTCCGCAATTTACATGTGACTGAGGCCCTGTAGAGTATATTTTCAGCCTTTTTAAATTTGAGACCGCTTTTCGGAGGATCGCCTTAAAATTAAATGTACCCACTTCTGGAAGTTATTCCAGTACTTTCTAGAACTATTTTAGTTAATTTAAGTTTCAGAAAATAACTTTTTATTGAGTATACAAGTCTAGTTTGTACCTAATTACAGTGGCAATTTTACAATTATGTTTAACTAGTACTACTAGTATTACTAGTAGTAACATTCATAAACAACAGTGAGAAGTTTGGAATAACTTTACTTTAGCAGAAACAGAAACTGGCAAAAGTCGATAAAGTATGACACTCACTGGCCACTGACTTAGTTTTTGTTTACTAGCTGAGTTTTAACAACCAAGAGATTGCTTAACTAATGACATATACGTCCACATTTTACTGTTTTAAACTGTAGTGAAATCAGATATTAAATGCCTCTTCTCCTGAACTCTGATAGTAAATCAGCTAAGTTACATCATGGTCCGAGAAAACAATGTTGATGTAGAGAGAGCAAAGGTCACAGCCTATCCGCACGGTGCCTGATGTAAAGCTACCTTGCGGGTATATATCCATCCGTTATTAATCAAGTAACAGAAAGTGTATTGATCGGCACTCATAGAAAGAAGTAGAAAGATAGAAGAACACTTATCAGTTTTTTTATATCCATCCGTACGATTTCATATCATGCAGCAGGTACTTTGTTATCAAACAAAACCCTACCCTGTCTGGACTGATGGTTACTTTTTGCTGGAAAAAGTCGTCTCGTTCAACTTGCATCCTCGAAGGGGGAGCTTTAGGTTATAATTATGACTAGGCAATGTGAGCCTTATCAAATGGCTTAGCATTGCACACCGCCCAGAGAACAGAAAGGGACTCCTGCGGTGTTGCTGCGATAGAAGGAAACTGACCCAAATACTGTCCTGATCGACGACGAAGTTGTCTACCGGCGATCTAATGAGCGAGCCGGTCGCTGATGTTGCTTTATAGCCGTGGGGGGGGGGGTGGGAAAGGGGGGGGGTCGTAATATAACCAAGGGGTTGAACAGGGTTACTGGGATTTTTACATGGGAATTCTTATTCAAGTAATGACGCGCAGCACTTTACGTCACCGGGTGTTAATCGTTAATCGATCATTGTGAGGTTCAATGTCCCTCACTCATGCAGCAGGCTCTTTGCAGAGCGTCGCTGTCATCACGGTCTGCCTGAAAGTAACTCGGTCTTCGCCAGCTCTCCCTGACCGAAGAACTTTTTAAACCTAGGGTGTCAATTATCTCCTATGCCCATCCTCGTGCTTGTTGGACCTTGCCTATCTTTTCTGGTAACACGCCTTCTGCTAATATTTTTTTTCCCAATCCGCCATGGTGCTAGATATGGTCAATATTTCATTTTCTGAAACAAGTTATTCTTTACTACTAGCAACTATTTCTTAGCATTCAAATCTTTTAATGTCGGTATTTATTGTCTTCTTTGTCCGTGATATCATGAGAACCTTTCTATAGCCTTTCCGCTCAAACACCTCTGTGAGCAAGGTAGAGTGCCTGTTTAGTGCTGATGCAATCAGGGTGACGTAAAGAAATAGGCGCGGGTGGCGAATCCGACTTTGGAACAACTGACAAATAGATGTTGGTTATTGTTTCTTGTCGATGGTTCCTTGTCAACGAGTGGAGACATAGAAACTCTCAGTGGAGACAATGGCTACGGTCATACGATCAGTATGGTCGCTGTCACATGGGAGGAATTGTGACACAGCTGCCTCCTTTACTGCCTATATTGGTATACAACCCAGGTTCTTTTATATTTGTCACAAGGGCAGCCGATGATGATAAAAATTAAGACAAGATTAGGGATGTTCGTGTCTATAGTGGTGATGATGACGAGAGTGTCTCGCTCACTGCATGCCTTTCACGTAACTCAAATGATTAAAAAAATAATGTGTCCGAAAACGACTGTTCTTGTTTATACTGTCTTTATTGTGACACTTCTACACTGTTTCAAACAATATCACTGACATTCTAAAAAGGTGCTGTTTTCTCTCTATAGGAATATAATCTTGCGTTCTTACTCTTATTACTTGGTTAACTAGCTCTAGTGTCTAACTGCCACCGAGCTCCTAGTGCAGGTTGGTCTAAAAAGTTTTTATCTTTTTCTAAAATACAACAGGGGATCTCCAGGAAGTCCGACCTAGGCGTAATTTTAATCTATTGTGCTCCGGCTTCTTCTTCTTCTTCTGACCCCGAATTAGTATCCACTCCCGAATCCGGCGGGGCCCACGATGGGTTAAAATAGATGTCGAATTCTCTTACTATGAAGTTGTATACGCACGCTAGTTCGTCTTCACGTGCACAAACAATCGTAACTTCTTGGAGTGGGCCACGGTTTCTGACGGTGATTCTGATGGAATACATCTATAACTTTATCTATCTTCTTATCTATACTTTCTAATCAACCTGCCCTGAAGCCTGACTTCCTTCCCTGTTCAGCTGGCCGGTGCTAGTCTCCTCTCTACATATGGGGATTGGATTTTGGATTGGATTTTTTACCCCACCAGGACATCACACAAGCGATAAACACCCGATGACACAAAGTGCCACCATGCGGATGAGGATCACCGTGGAGAGGTCCCAGAAACCGCGTTCAGACATTTGGCCATAATGTTGACCTGCCTATATTGCGGCCCCTGGCAAAAGCCAGAGTGGGGCTTCAAATAACAAAAAATAACGTCCTAAGAAGGACGAAAAGCAGTAATAACTAACTAATGGGTTCCGGGCAGTCGCTTATAAAGGGGCTACTAGCCTGCTCCCGGGACCTCCCAGGAACATTGTTTTGCAGAGTCTGCAGCGACTTTAGCTAGCCGGGTCAGTAGAAGTATTTCAAGAATGCGAAAAACAATTTATTGTTTTGTGCTGGACGGGGAGAGTCACATGATGTCTAGACAGACGACTGGAAGTACCGTGGGAAACAACGACAGGGACCTAGGGGGTTATAGTTGCTTGCTAAGCACAGTGGAAAAGTTCCAAAAACAAGGGTGAAGGCTATGAGGGGTATTGTCGTGCAAACAGCACAACACTAAAAGGCGGTATGAGTAATCACTCTGCTACAGAATTGTGGACTTCCCTCCTTACTGTTTCTCAGGCGGAAAAGTCTCGTCAGCTTTGGTTGGTATCTCTTCTAAGAGAAGAAACTCTGAATTCCAAACCTCCTCCACCTTGCACATGTACACACATATTGGAAAGGCTTGGGGGTGTAAACGCGGAGGACACATTCGGAGATATAGTCCTTAATGACGTTCCATTATGTAAATACATGTAACATGGTGCTCGAAACTCCTGCAACGGCACTGATGTCAAGCGGCACTTGCTACTGACTTTCCTTGGTCGAAATCGGTGGCGTGCAGAGGGGAGACCTGATGCTGAGTTTTTTTTTTTTTTTGGTGTGCACAATACTGATTCTTTTTTCCTTTCTCCCTGTCAGTGATATTTTTTTTTTTTTAATGAGAAGGCTACAAACCTCTATATAGTCTGTGGTGCGACGCATGTCTTTCATTGTTTAGCTTCCATTAGAACGCTAACCAGCCAAACATGTAGTCTTTTCTGCAAGTAGGCAGGGTGTCTATAGCACAAACTCAGTACTCTGTGGCACCTATTTCTGAGCCAGGCACATCGCTACTGATCAGTCAGTCTTGTTTGTGTTTTGTCCAACACTGCCTGTGAACTGGCATATCGCTAACTGCATTCGGAATGGCATGTACTTACACTATGTTGCGTGTCCAGTGGCGGCTGTTGTAGTTAACTGTTTGAATCGTGAACTGCAGTTCTGGCGTGGGACTTCTAGTGTTGGCACTTCTTGTGAATGGTTTGTGCATTTACTTTGCGTGTGCAAGCTTGAACAGGTTGCTATGACTAACATGCTTTTCACTAGTTTTTAAGTAAAACAGGGAAGGGCATTTTGTTTGACTTCCACTGAGAAAGGAATGGATCGTTATGGGACAGTTATGGGTACTCTGCGTTGAAGTTGTAATCTCGACTACCACTAATGTAGTAACTTTGATATATTGGTCTAGAGTCAAGGACTCTGTTAAGGAAAAGAAGCAAACAGGGAAAGACCAGGATACAGAATTCAGCTTAATTGACAGGCCTCAAATTTTCAAACTTCAAGTTTATTGCATCTGACTGACAAAAGTGAAGGGAACTGATCCGACAACAGCGACTGCTGGACACATCCCTGCCCAATGTCGACTTCAGGTTACTACATGACCACTAGGTTATATGCGGTTGAACGGGGGCTTCCAGGATTTGTAGCTCATATGCTGGATTATCATTTAAAGTCAAAGTCGGGAGGATCTAAGTAGACATGCACGACTTATCTAAGGTTGTCAAGACACTAGGGAGGTACTGAAGATATTAAATACTCACACCGACGATACCTAGATAACGGCACTGATTGAACAGCATCAACTCTCAGAAGACATTGTCATTTAGACAGATGAGTCCGCGAAGTGCGGGTCATGATTACATCAAGCATGATCTTTGCAATAACTGCTGCTCCCAGAGCACTCGTCTGGGCAACAGAACCAGCAGTCACACATGCGGTAATCGTTGCTGATTCCATGAACATGCTTCAGAAAATGGCAACAGATAGTTTATACCCTCCAAATTGTAGAACGCATTGAAAAGTCGCCGTTAACCCTTTCATTTAGATCCACACAAATGGGGATGTGTGAGTATAAGTAAATGAAAGAGCTGATCAGCTAAGAACTAATACAAAGGGGAAGAAGCATGACAGAGCTAATATCATCAGTGCTGTACCGACTAGGTTGGGGGATAATGTTGAGTCTTCCAGGAGATACTACAACCAACTTCTTATGGAAATAATTAATAGAGGTACCTTTGAGTGGCTGCTGCATCAGAGGACCCAGCAAACGTGAGAATGCTTAATGGGCAAAGACGTTGATTGTAATATTACAAAACCATGGTGGGTGGTGGGTCCGTTTGACAGACCTCGTTTGTCCGGGTTTTTTTTTTTTTGGGGGGGGGGGGGGAGGGGTAGGCTACGCAATTCCGGTATGCATTTTTTAGCGATAGTGTAATAAACACTTTGTGATGAATACCGGCACCTTTTATTTGAGACACGAAAAAGCCAACCCAACTCAACTCAAGCCGTGGTTATTGTTCTGATAGCTCACTGTTAATTGACCTCTGCACTTGACTGACCTCTGACCCTGCCAACATGGCTCCCACCAACAAGTATAGTATTTTGCTTCCAACGTACAATGAGAGAAACAATCTTCCTCTTATTGTCTGGCTGCTGGTGAAGTACCTGGGCAGGTGAATAATGAGCCAATTCAAATACTAGACTACTGTGAATTTTAAATAGCAGGATGTTTCGGCGATATGTGATTTTAAAGGCCGCAGTTTGTCACAAAGTTGTTGTCGCTAGCGTCAAATCTAACAAACACAAGACAGAAGACACGTAACTATCAGCATACATTGCATCATTTTAAAGTAGTGTCACTGTGGCTTACATTTACATTCCATCTTATTTTTAGTAAAATAAAAATAATATGTCACAATTTGCATATCGACATATACCCGATAGATGTAAATCAGTCAATGAAGTACCGTCTCCACAATAAAGGTTGGCTGCAATGAATCACCAACACACTGTCCGTTGTCTTTGTACACTTTTAGACTCTGTTCGCCTGAGAAAGTGACTAGGAATTGTTGGGGAATACTACTAAAACAATTAATTGTGTTAATAGTTAATTATTAGTAAATAAACAGATGGTATGTTTAGAGAAGTAAGTAAAAAGAAAAAATAATTTTTCAACTTACCACCATGGCGCTCAAGGAAAACTCGATAATATATATATATATATATATATATATATATATATATATATATATATATATATATATATATATATATATATATATATATAAAAATAGGCTATCCTCGAAATTACAAACCCAAATTATCGAGGCTAAAAAAAATACCCTAACTGGGCCTCAATGTTTGTGACTGTGCTGCCAGGAAACTGCGCTAAATATTCAGTAAATAACGCGTGACTAGTGCCGCTGTAGTAACGTCGTGTCCGCGTAAGTTCCATCCATAACCCTTCGATCGATAGTGTCGTGGTTCCACTGTTGTGACAGATTCTGGTGGCGGTGTCGTAATTGCAATACTCTTTGCCCTAACCCTAAACTTAAACCTAAACCTAGGACCAAGGGGAGAAGTTAAACCTAGGACCAAGGGGAGAAGCTAAACCTAGGACCCAGGGGAGAAGCTAAACCTAGGACCCATAGGAAAAGTTAAACCTAGGACCCAGGGTCAGAGCTGTTGACACCTTCGATGATTTGGGGCCGTTATTCGGAAGAGTGTTTAATGCTGTATATTTGCTGGAAATGAGTCCGCAATTTACATATGTTTGAGGCCCTGTAAGGGTATTTTTTTTTAGCTTCGATAATTTGGGACCATTTTTCAGAGGATAGCCAAAATAATTAACCAAAAATGATCATGAACCACTTAGTAATGTATAAATAAAATATAAACACAATCTGTCCATTCAAGTTCTGGAACAAGACCAAAGTCCGAAAGTGGACGAGCAACATCATTTTTTGCCGGAGTTTACAGTTGGTGAACGCTAAGAAGAAGAAGAAGAAGAAGAAGAAATCTCTTCAGAATTAATTTATTCATGAATTTTGCTAGCATGTTGATATTCAACCTTGATATTAATTTCAGTGAGTATGAGTATGAGATCATTATCATTGACGATGGAAGCCCTGATGGCACGCTTGATGTTGCTAAAGAATTGCAAAGAATTTATGGGGATGATAAAATTGTAAGTACAATTCTATTAGCATTTTTCTATAGAATGCTTTCAGACAATGACCTCACTTGTGCATAACTAATTTGTGTAGCTGTGTGCAACATAGTATCGACACTCTTCTTCTCCTGATCCGTGACTGAGCATTTATGGACTTGCTCTGAGTGCACTGAAATTAATTCTTTATCATAATTGTGTAACCAACAGTATTGGAACACTGCGCTGACTGCTGAAAATGAGGAGGGAGCACGCATCAGAATACCCTGAGTGCTGTGATGTCAATTCTTGACTCAACTCAAAACAACTCATAATTGTGTAGAGAAAATGTATGTGTTGCTTGAAACTCTGACTAAAAAAATGTCTCACATTCATTAATACTTTAATCAGCCAGTAAGGAAGGGAGCTTTTTTTTGTCTGCTAAGAACCATTAGGATATTTATTACATCGTTCACTGAACATACACAGTTATCAGCATAACAATTAATCTACTATATCTGGTAAAACATTTAATTGCGGTTGCTTGACAGGGCAAATACTAGATTTCCTCCATCCCTGCAAAAGTTACAGTCGAGTACACGTAAGTCGAACTCGGATGAGTCGAATTCCCGGCAATTTTCTCTATTGTCTGTGCTGTCTTGATAAGTAAAAGTCCTGATAAGTGGAAGCATTTACATAGTTCCCTGCAACTTCTACTTATCCAGACTCGACCGTAACAGGTTTTAAATGTATTGTTTACAGTATTTCTCATGTGGGTTCCAAGGTACTATTTTGTGGAGAAAAAAGGAATGGACCCTAAAAAGCATCTTTCCTAACAAGCATGTTATGAAAAATGACTAATTAAGGAATTGATAAAATCTTGTATGTTTAGCCTAAAGGTGCAGATATCAGAACCTAGCTGTAAACCACAACAGAATGTGCCAGGCCCTTTTAAGAGGTGAATGCTGAATAATTAGGTTTGTCATATATAAAATTATCAGTGTCATAATTTCGTACTAGCATAATAATTAGATTATTGACATCCCCCTCCCCCAGAAAAATGTAGCACGGAATGAACAGCTAATATTTTTCATTTTTCTTTTTGTGTGTGTCTAGATTCTTCGACCAAGGGAGAAAAAACTGGGATTAGGTTTGTATATCATCATCATCATCATCACCATCCCGTAACACTGCAGGTCATTGGGTTACAAGTTGCTGTTGACTGTCTCATCCTCTCCCTCTGCCTTTGATGATAAGATGGAATGGACTTGATGGTTGCATCCTAAGGCCTATTCAGTCTGTCGAGTTCTCTGTGCAGATCTTTCTTGTTCTGTCTCTTTCCTTCTACTGAGCCCTGTAGTATTGTTTTTGAGAGACCGTTAGATTTTATCACATGTCCATACCATTGCATTTTTCGTCATTCAGGTTTATAGTTGCCAATAGATTTGTGTGCAAAAACTTACTGTAGTTCATCCATCAATCCTATCCGCCCTTCCATTCCATTTTCCTCGCAGCATTATGAACTCTTCTTCCAAGTTTCCTGAGTGCTGTGATGTCAATTCTTAATTCAACACTCAACATTCCTCAAGGGAAATTAATCTCAGGGGTCATAGGTCAGAGCGATTGCAATAACTAAATACAAAAGAAACTGATTCAAAAGATCAGTAGGGTAAAAGGAAAAGATTAGCACACAAAAACAACTGAACATTGGCCTTTTCAGTTATTTAATTAGTCTGTTGTTTTCTTCATTCATAAACTCTGGACCATGTTGACCTTCTTGGTTGTTTGATTAATCTGCTGTTTTGTCCATTGACAGATTTTAATCTGTTTTTCTTTGTCCATTGTTAAAGACTGATTGAAATGTTTGTATTTGTGCACATATTCCTTCCTCTCCCTCCATCGAGCTATCTAGTCATAGTTTTGTGTGTGTTTAGTTACCTCAGAAATTTTTTTTTTTTTTTTACGTATCCAGAAACCATGAGTTGTAAACCCTTTGGCTCGGTACTATGGATATCGCAACCCTTCGGCCTTGATTCCATTATAGGTACCGTTAATCTGGGAGAAATGTGGCTTTTCTCCCTACCCCCGGGAGTGAACCCGAACCACAAGGAGTTCGTCACCCGGCCGCCGCGAACGTCAGGTTTAACCAACTTCGCTAGAGAGCCGGGCGCCCCTCAGAGATCAGTAAGTCTGGCTTCAGCATACATTTTGCCATGGCTTACTTCCTGTGTGAGTCGCTGTGGTGTCGTGACTAGGTGCTTCACATGCTAAAAAAAAAAACAACTTCATTTTATGCCAAACCATTGCCCAAAATATGCCAGAAAAATGCCAGATAAAGTGTAACATTGTACTCGCTTCACATCAAAAGCTCTAGATTGAATTCTATACTGTCTTTTCACTGGAACAAGTGGAAGTGCTAGCCTGAAGGTTCCTGTGTTTGAACCCATAGCAGATAAAATTTCTTTCAAAACTGACCTTGGCCCCCAGTCGATGTAGCCTAAAATAGGTACTAGGTAATGCCTGGGAAGTAAAGGTGGCTTGCATAATATTGACCCATTGGTTTGTAATGACATTAGCCTAGTAAAATATCCCTGATGTTCTAATGGCCTGAAAAGGGTCCTCAAATTCTTCAGCTTCTTCTGCATTCATCCCAAGATATAAATGCATTGTGCCCATTTACAGCATGCCTGTGATATTTGCACCTCCCTGTGTGGGTTCCAGGGCCTCATTGTAGGGAAAACAAGAATAGACCCATTGCCTCCCCAAAAAGAATTTCATAGGAGTCGACTAATTGGGAACGTCCTTTGAAGTCAGAGTACATCTACCTGAGACGCAAGGAACCACAAGACTGCAAACAAATACGCCAGATCTGTGAAACGAACGTGCATGCAACACTCAGGTTTTGGAGCAAGACTAAAAGTTCGGAAATAGACCAACACCCAGAACTTTCCGTCGGAGTTTACAGCCGGTGAACCTGAAGAAGAATAAGATATTTTCACCTTTTGATCAAGTGTAACTTCTGCAGGCATTTGGTTAGCCTACACACTTTACTTTAGTTAGCTTCTTCGCCCAGACCACTGTTGTGTGTGAATATGTTCTTCACATTTTTTACAGACTAAGAATAAAGGAGTATTTCGAGAACTAGCCGATGGCTAATGCAGAAACAAATACAAATGTAGTTAGCTTCTTCTTTCATTCGCTTGAAATAAATTATGTATATCTGCTATGCTGTCTCTAGCTTGAACTTCACTGTCTTTTGTAATCCGCTTAGTGGCCTGTAAAGTTTGGTTTCCACCATGTCTGTCTTGTGGCCAGAAGTTTTGCCTGCAAGTGTTGTACTTAGGACAGTCTTAAAGGATTTGATCTGTTGTCCCAGATGCCAGTCCATATGTACACATGGCTGATTCACCAGTCGGAAATTTTTGTAGCTGTCAAGTCGATTGTGCCCTGTTCTAAGGCATACAATAATGACTTGCTGTGGTCTGTCCATAATATGGTAATCTTAGTTAGTTAGTTAGTTAGTTAGTTGGGTTATCCTCATTGCACTCCGGACATGTCCATAGGTGCTCAGATCCTCCCCTCAGTATGAACCCCAACGTCCGATGGCTAATAGTACCAGTTCTATGTTGATTAACAAGTCTTCTGGCGTAACTGGTGTGCGTCTCGTTTTTTGCTGTGCCGATCTTAATTCCCAAGTCTGCCATTCTGGCGAGTGATGTGGATTCACTGCCACCAAAGTCGTCTATCCTTCCCATTTCTCTGAGGGCATTGATAATATCAGCATGATCCATAGGCTGACCGTCGGTAGTGATAGCGGATCCAGCCAACCTGTCAGCTCTTTCATTTCCATCGACGCCTGCGTGTCCCGGAACAAAAATAAAGGTGACTCCAAGGACAGTGGACTTCTGTAATGATTCAAGCCATTGTCTTCGCACTGAACCTGCCTGAACCCTCCGGATCATACTCATTGAATCACTGAGTATACACACGCGGGTGTATTTTTGTGTTTCAAGCCAGGCAAGTGCTTGTGTAATATGGTAATCATCTTGTGCCAGTGTTGGTGGCTTTCTGATTGATTTGATTATTCTCTTCTTCTGTTGATAAGAGACTGGTATGTCAGGTTGTTCCTTAGTTGATATAGATAGCATTTGATTTATTAAATACAATTTAGCCCAATGTGGGTTCCGGGTCCCCATTGTGGGGAACAACAAATGTCAGGTTGTTCCTTAGTTGATATAGATAGCATTTGATTTATTAAATACAATTTAGCCCAATGTGGGTTCCGGGTCCCCATTGTGGGGAACAACAAATGTCAGGTTGTTCCTTAGTTGATATAGATAGCATTTGATTTATTAAATACAATTTAGCCCAATGTGGGTTCCGGGTCCCCATTGTGGGGAACAACAAATGTCAGGTTGTTCCTTAGTTGATATAGATAGCATTTGATTTATTAAATACAATTTAGCCCAATGTGGGTTCCGGGTCCCCATTGTGGGGAACAACAAGAATAGACCCCCTGCCTCCTCAAGAAGCATGTCATAGGAGTCAAATAATTGGGAGTTTCCTTTAAAGTTTGAGTTGCATCTGCCCGAGCGGCAAGGATCAACCAGCTGTTCATAAATAAGTCAGTAAAATGGATAAACATACAGAACTCAGGCCCTGGCACAAAGTCCAAATGGACAAACGACCGGTACCTTTCGAGGAGCTTACAGCCGTGGCAAACAAAGAAGAAGAAGAAGAAGAAATACAAGTTATAAAATTAAATTGTTTACCTAATGGGACATTTGCTTGACTGTTAGAAAATCTTGTATATGGAGTGTTGTTACCGAGAGACCAAGTGCTGCAATAACATTCATTTAATTTTTATGTTTAGACATTAGATTTACCATATGAAATGTAGAGAAGCATTACCTACATTAAGAAACTGTGAAACCCATGTGTGATTGTTCTGTAGGCACAGCATACATCCATGGAATGAAACATGCGACTGGCAACTTCATCATTATACTTGATGCCGACCTCTCCCATCAGGTGAGTGTTTTTATTTATGTTGGAAGTTTCTTAACTCGCTTGCGGGACTGACAGTCATGCATCACCACACAGTGCTAGTGGCATGGAAGAGTCCTTTGTTGGACTGACAGTAATGCATCACCACACAGTGTTAGTGGCATGGAAGAGTCCTTTGTTGGACTGACAGTAATGCATCACCACACACTGCTAGTGGCATGGAAGAGTCCATTGCTGGACTGACAGTCATGCATCACCACACAGTGCTAGTGGCATGGAAGAGTCCATTGCTGGACTGACAGTCATGCATCACCACACAGTGCTAGTGGCATGGAAGAGTCCTTTGTTGGACTGACAGTAATGCATCACCACACAGTGCTAGTGGCATGGAAGAGTCCATTGCTGGACTGACAGTCATGCATCACCACACAGTGCTAGTGGCATGGAAGAGTCCATTGCTGGACTGACAGTCATGCATCACCACACAGTGCTAGTGGCATGGAAGAGTCCATTGTTGGACTGACAGTCATGCATCACCACACAGTGCTAGTGGCATGAAAGAGTCCATTGTTGGACTGACAGTCATGCATCACCACACAGTGCTAGTGGCATGGAAGAGTCCTTTGTTGGACTGACAGTCATGCATCACCACACACTGCTAGTGGCATGGAAGAGTCCTTTGTTGGACTGACAGTCATGCATCACCACACACTGCTAGTGGCATGGAAGAGTCCTTTGTTGGACTGACAGTCATGCATCACCACACACTGCTAGTGGCATGGAAGAGTCCTTTGTTGGACTGACAGTCATGCATCACCACACACTGCTAGTGGCATGGAAGAGTCCTTTGTTGGACTGACAGTCATGCATCACCACACACTGCTAGTGGCATGGAAGAGTCCTTTGTTGGACTGACAGTCATGCATCACCACACACTGCTAGTGGCATGGAAGAGTCCTTTGTTGGACTGACAGTCATGCATCACCACACACTGCTAGTGGCATGGAAGAGTCCTTTGTTGGACTGACAGTAATGCATCACCACACAGTGCTAGTGGCATGGAAGAGTCCTTTGTTGGACTGACAGTCATGCATCACCACACACTGCTAGTGGCATGAAAGAGTCCTTTGTTGGACTGACAGTCATGCATCACCACACAGTGCTAGTGGCATGGAAGAGTCCTTTGTTGGACTGACAGTCATGCATCACCACACAGTGCTAGTGGCATGGAAGAGTCCTTTGTTGGACTGACAGTCATGCATCACCACACAGTGCTAGTGGCATGGAAGAGTCCTTTGTTGGACTGACAGTCATGCATCACCACACAGTGCTAGTGGCATGGAAGAGTCCTTTGTTGGACTGACAGTCATGCATCACCACACAGTGCTAGTGGCATGGAAGAGTCCATTGTTGGACTGACAGTCATGCATCACCACACAGTGCTAGTGGCATGGAAGAGTCCCTTGTTGGACTGACAGTCATGCATCACCACACAGTGCTAGTGGCATGGAAGAGTCCATTGTTGGACTGACAGTCATGCATCACCACACAGTGCTAGTGGCATGGAAGAGTCCATTGTTGGACTGACAGTCATGCATCACCACACAGTGCTAGTGGCATGGAAGAGTCCATTGTTGGACTGACAGTCACGCATCACCACACAGTGCTAGTGGCATGGAAGAGTCCATTGTTGGACTGACAGTCATGCATCACCACACAGTGCTAGTGGCATGGAAGAGTCCATTGTTGGACTGACAGTCATGCATCACCACACAGTGTTAGTGGCATGGAAGAGTCCATTGCTGGATCTTCCTCAGTAAATCCCGCAACACATAGCAGCTGGCGACAACAGTCCTGTGTTGGTTTCTTATTCTTCTTTGGCTTCCTGCTTAGTGGTTTTGTCTGGCCTTGTAACACCTAAAGCAGGAAAAGAGTTAATGAAGAAGCGCTTTTAGGTTGTCCAGTACATACAGGACTCTTTACCCACCTTAGGTGTATTGGGCACAAAGTAAAGTAAAAGTAAAGGACCTTTTTCCAAGCCTTTAGGCGTACAGGGCATTTAGTGCTAGACCTGTATTTTAGACCTAGCGGTGGGTAATGTGGTCAGCATCATGCTGACTGCCTTTGCTTCCCAGGATTTTATTTGATACCTATTTAAGGCTAGTGTGACCTAGGTGCCAGTGTTAATTTAAAAAAAAATTTGACTCGGTGCAGATTTGAACCCACAGCCGTTAGGTCAGCAGTTGAACATCTAGCCACTACACCATGACAGCTGCCCATTTGTTACATAAATGAATACTATAAATTTCATTCTGTATATATGTTTTTCAACGTTTTTGTTCACCATTTGTTTCACACTGACAGTTATATTTGCTCTTTTCCCCCATTCAGCCAAAGTTTATTCCAGATTTCATCAAGTAAGTTGCCGTGTTCAAATGTCACTTGTACTGCTGTCTTAATTCTTGCTTACTTGTCTTAACTTTTCCTTCCAGTATGGTTCTTATAAGATAGTTACATCTTTTAATATGGCCAAAATATTTACTTGTCAATATCTTGAGGCTGCAGAGATGTGGTTTTACAGAAGAATCCTTAGAATCCCTTGGACAGCTAAGAAGAGCAACCCAGATGTTTTGAAAGAGGCAAATGCTCGAAGACAACATATCACACACATCAGAAAGAGACAGTCATCGTTTTTTGGTCATGCTATAAGAAGAGGGAAAATGTAACATGTTGTGGCCACCGGAAAAATATGCAGAAAGAGAGACAGAGGAAGACAGCATGAGAAGATTCTTGACAGCCTTTTGTCATGGCATGGAGGTGTCAACACACGAACTGATACATGCATATACAGATCGCAGATTGTGGAGAGGCTCATGCAGGTCGGCAAGGCACTTGATGATGATGATTTACTTGTCTCTTTTTCATTTGCTTTAGCAGTTCTCTTTACATTCCTAGTCATTTCAGCCATGCATTTGGAGAGTGGGGGGGGGGGGGGGGGGGGGGGGGGTGGGGGGGGGGGGGGGGGGGGGGGGGGGGGGAACAAATTCTGCCTCTGCTAGGGATTTAACCAGGCCTGCTCAGTACAAAGTGCAGAACTTCTAGTTAGTTCCACGACAATCTCCCCAGACTTGTCTGTTGTCCCAGGGGGGGGGGGGGGGGGGGGGGGGGGGGGGGGGGGGGGGGGGGGGGGGGGGGGGGGGGTTTACGGCTATGTTGTTTCCTTTCTGGCTTGTCTTGCATTTACGTTTTTCTTCTGAGAAAGAGAATGCCTGTGACATAGGTTGCAGCACTCTCTAGGGGGGTTATGTGTTAGACCCAGTTTCTAAATGTTTTTGTAGTGTTAAAAGCTCTGACATGCTAAAATTTACAACACGTGATATCAAGGGCATTGCCAAACACCTCCCTAGCAGTGTGTGAAGGTTGGGTGACTGGAGGTCGACCAATTAGAAGTGAGCTAGTGTGTAACGTGGGGAGATTATCGTGGAACTGACCTAACTACCATATGATAGCTAAAATCAAAAAAAATTAACTGGTTCCTGCACTGAATAGAGGGAGTTAAATGGTATGATATAATCACTAATGTAGAGCTTTGGAAGAGAACTAAACAAGTTCTAGTGGACCAAGAAGTGAAGAAAAGACGCTGGCTTTGGATTGGACAGGATCGCTAGAATGTCTTTGCACTGGAACTCACAGGGGTATAGAAATAAAGGAAGACCAAAATCACACGGAATAGGGAGCTAGAGAGTGAAGTCAAAAAGATGAGGAGAGCTGCATGCGATAGTGAAGGATAGAACAACTTGGCATGAGTTGGTGAAGGGTCTATGTTCCATTGGCGGTTAGAAAGGGTGAAGAAGAATAAAATCAAATATAATAAATTTTGTTTTAAAATTTATTTTTCAAATGGGAAGCTTCAAAATAATTGTCATGATCATCATACTGCAGGTCCTTTGCAGAATGTGGCTTTCATCACAGACTTCTGATAGGCTCTTAATCTCTTGCCAGTTCTCTTGCCTAAAGTGCTCTCAAACCAAAAGTCTCTCCAGTGTCTTAGTCAGTCTTCATTGTTTAAGTGGGGGGAACACCAGTTTTCAGCAAACTCCTAGTAAGTGGTCTTTTATGACATACTTGTTGAGAGGCAGTGGGTCTCTTTCCTTCGCAAAATGGGCCCCAGAACTCAGACATAAAAGACTAAATTCAATGTATATATGTATCACACAGGAAACAAGCAGAAAAGGATTATGACATAGTCACAGGCACCCGATATGTTGGTAGCGGTGGAGTCTACGGCTGGGATTTTAAGAGAAAACTCATCAGGTATGAAATATGTCACTTTTTAAGTGGATGTTATGGCCAGCCTGAACTTTCTTTCTTTAACCTTTCGGCTTTCCTCCGAATAATGGCCATATATTATGGCTGCCAAAAACACACCCTGACAGGGCCTCAATCACACGTAAAATGCGGACTTCCTCTGAAAACACATCGCGGCAAAACTAGGATTACTGTCCGTTGACAATTTTGAGGAATGCAGCAATACACACGATAATAGGAACATGGTGGGGAGACAACGTGCTCTGACGCAGGTTAGCTATAGTGTTTTTCCGATTAAACTCACTGCCGAACGTATCCTCCACGCCGCTACGCGCGGCGCGGATGAGGGTGCTAAACTAGATGGCTAGGACTCACGAGCAGCAGCTACCGCATCTCCTGCAAACTTCCTCCAATTTATTTGCTCGTGAGTCCCAGCCATCTAGTTTAGTTCACCCCCCCCCCCCCCTCATCTGCGCCGCACGTAGGGGCGTGGGAAATACTCTTGGCGGGGAAACTGCGTTACCAATGCAGCACCGATCATATTTAGCCGAGTTTTAATGGCACCACAGCCACAAAAAGCAGATTTTCAGGCACTATTTGCAACTTCTGTGCCACTATTTTCAGGTATAAATGTCTCAATTATTGCTAAGTAGTCAATTTCGTCATTTTCCTTTTTTTTTGTTCCTCATTATTTTCGAGTTCACGTTTTTGAATGTTTACAACACACGACCTAATGAGGCTCTGTCAGGGTGTGTTTTTGGCCGCCATAATATGTGGCCGTTATTCGGAGGATAGCGAACCTTTCTTTACCCAGGAAATGCTTAAAAGGACCATGAACCTGGAAATTCCTAGAGGAAATTCCCCTAAATGCTATTTTTAGTAAACACAGTAAAACCTCATTAATATGAACTTGCTTAAGAAGAAACTCTGTTAACTAAATACTGGTCCCACTAGGGATGTATTAATTTGAGTCCCCACCTAGTGTGAATGTTTTTAGCATCAACTTGATTTTTAGCTCCTGGAAGTTCGGTTAGTGAGGTTTTACTGTATATTCATTTCCTGACTCTATCAAATGCTGCACAGATGCAAACATAACCAATTACATTAGCCAGGTTTCTCATGGACAAACCACTGTAGAAATGGCAGGCAAGCGGAATCTATGGGATTGAGCCACTGCCAGATGTGTAGCTTCTCAAGGATTAACTCTTTAACTGTCAGATTACACAACATAATTAAAGTCACCTTTTCATGCCAGTGAGAGTCACCGTGGCGGAGCGGCTAGACTCTACCCGCGGATCGGAAGGTTGTGGGTTCACTCCCTGGCGGAGCCAGACTTTAAAAAATAAAATGACCTCAGCTCCCAGGTTGACTCAGCCTTGAGTGGGTACCGGGTGCAGTCCCGGGAATTAAAGGCGGCCAGCGTGATGCTGACCACATCACCCGTCTTATGACGATTGGTCGATAAAATATAGGTCTAGCCCTATATGCCCTATTACAGGCGTGGAAAAGGGTCCTTTACTTTACTTAACTTTTCATGCCAGTGGCACATCAGACACAAGAATAGACCAACAGCCTACCTGAAAGAATGTCATAAGAGTTGGCTAATTGGAAGCTTCCTTCCAAGTCAGAGTGGATCTGCCTGAGAGGCAAGAAACCAACAGTCTGCATGCAGATAAGTAAGATGTGTAAAGTGGATGTGCATGCAGCACTCAGGTTCTCAGGTAATTAGATTGCTATGGGCACCATAAGTATCGGAACTCTTCGCTGGCTGCTGAAGATGGGGGCGGAGCGCTTATGGGAATGCCCCGAGTGCTGTGATGTTGGTTCTTGAATCAAATCAAATCAAACCATTCCCACACACTTGATGAATTAAAAGCATTGGGCACCACCAAATTCTCAGAGTCTATCGTGCAGACTGTGACAAGTATTATGAAGATGCATACTGATAAATGCCACGATAACCCTGTTGGATATTTCCATCTTCTGTATAGACGGTTCTAATGCAGGAAGAGTTTGCTTTGCTGAATTGATGTCAGACTACAGCAGTATTATTTAGAGGACTTCCAAAGCCTAAAAAAAAATTGTTTTTTTTTTTTGTACCTCACTAATATTTAATTTATGCACAACAATTTTCTGGACATCAAATATATGCACTACTTTATGATTAATCTTTGAAGTAATATGATTACTTTCATATGATTTTTTTCAGCCGTGGTGCCAACTATGTGACCCAGGTGCTCCTACGTCCAGGTGTGACTGACCTCACCGGAAGCTTCCGCCTGTACAGGAAGCTTGTGTTGGAGAAGCTCATTAACTCATGCGTGTCCAAGGGTTACATGTTCCAGGTAGAGATGATGGTCCGAGCTCGACAGTTTGGTTTTTCTGTTGCTGAGGTTGGTATTTGTAACAGTGGCTTGTTTATTAAAAAGACCAGTCACAATGTAAGCCAGTTGTCCTTTTGTCTCCGTGTTGATTAAAGTTTTGAACAATGGATCAACATCATGGCACATGGGTGTAACCCATAAGTGCTCTGTTCTTCTTCTAACTTGTCTGAGTGTAAAGAAACTCAGCACAGTGCACAGGCTCTGTAGCACCGGCAAGGACCCTGAAAGACTTTGGGTATATTTTTAACTCAAATTTTGTCCGGGCAGCGCATTTGGCTACTCTTTTCGATTTCCAACTGCCAATGGATTTTTTTACGTCCGCAACAATGCACACTAGCATCCGATCTCACTACCCAGAGAAGAACTATTTGAACACTACCTATAATTAAATTCAGGGAAAGACTGAAATGGTTTGGCCGTTAAATAAGAATGAATTCAATGATACCAGCAGTGAGAGCGTACAACATGAAGGTAGAAACACCAAGAGGTTGGGGACGACCAGGAAGAAGATGGACTGAAGGAGCCACCGACACCTTGATACTCCACACCATCACAGCATACTGGGCCACCGAGCATGCTGAAGCTGGGATAATGATTATCTGATAACCTGCGCCACAAAGCAGAACATTGACGCAAGAAAGAAGCAACAATGAGAACTGATAAACTATCAAGTCACACATTTGCTAGTCGGTCAAGCAGGTGCCATCTTCACAGTAAAAGTTGACTGCAGAGGATCACCAACACTTTCTCCTCTCTCCCTGCACCCTGCTATTCATCCATCGCTAGGTGTTAACTGACAAACAGAACTGATTGCCCACATCAGAAGGGAATAATCTACATTTTTTGGTCACATCACAAGAATGAATAAACTGACCTACATTGTAATGGCGAGATGGTTGGAGGGGAAGAGAGGCAGACCAAGAGAAAAGATTCTGGATAGTTTGACATCATATCATCTGAGATATGTCTTCTTCCTTGTGGTCAACGGCCGTGAAGCTAGCAGAAAGTTCTGGTTGTTCGTCTAATTCTGGACTTTAGTTCCAGAATGTGAGTTTTGCGTGCACATCCATTTTACAGAAGGAAACCCATTAGTTGACTCTTACAACATAATTGTTAAGGAGGCAGTAGATTTACCCCCCCCCCCCCCACCCCCCACCACAATGTGGTCTTAAAATCCTCACAGGGAGAAGATATATCATCAATGTCAGAAATGATTAAAAAAAGATAAGATACGGAAGGTTGTGGATAGACATGGTAACCACACAGCAGGGACTGTAAGAACAACAACATAACCAGTATTCTCTTCAATTGATTAAAATTAAGCAAATAACTGAAACACCACTACATTCATGAACTGTCTGTTTCACCAAGGTAATCGTAATGTGACGGCCATTTCTTTCTGTCTGCAAAGTTCTGGTTTCAACCGGCTGATCGCTGATGCTTCCACATATTGGAGTAATCTACGGTTGGCTGAATTCTAAATGCATGATCCTTGTTTACAATGTGCCCTGAATTTAGAATATGGCAGGCAATTGCTGATGATGGATGTTGTCGAACCAGTCACCTGATTCTAGGATTAAGTTATTTGCTTCATTTTAATCCATTGTTACTGTAGTATGCACCTGACGAGAGACAGCGAAATATGCCAGACAATAAACGGTGCAGTCTAGTGTTTGTGTCTTCTTTGTTCAAATTCACAATGGGGAAACACTGCTTTGATATGTTGTCCATTTTCACCTACAGGTTCCCATTACGTTTGTTGACAGACTTTACGGAGAATCTAAGCTGGGTGGCAGCGAGATTGTCGGCTTCCTAAAGGGCATTCTCTATTTATTTGCAACCACTTAACTGACTACAGGCAGTTTAACTCTTTCAGTACCAAGAAAAAACACTAGGTGTAATCTATCAGGGATTGTGTATATGTATCAGGAAAAAAAATGGAAATGATCAGATACATGTTAAAAAAACCAGCCCACTTATTTCAGCATACAACATGGTACAGTGCAGACCGATTAAGGTGATCTTGGATGTGGCAGATTTCTGTTCTGAAGAACAATGTGTTTATCCCCAGCAGTTTTTCTTGCTTGAACTCTGGATAAGAGGAATTTCTGGTAAAAATAACTATTTCTTGGGTCCTCTGCAAGTTCTCCTTATCAGGTCTGCACTGTAGACGTTTTAGAAAAGTTATATATTTGCTACCTCTTTGTTAGCAAAATACCTATGCTGTATTTATTGCTGTTGTTCCCTTTAGAAATCTGCTGTGAAATAATGTGGCACCAAAAGAGTTAATGAAATCAGGATAGGTATTTGTGTTTATCACCTGAAGGAAGAAAGGATAAGTATGGATGGCAGCTCTATCTGTACAAGGTAAATCATTATGTATCGATCACAAACTTCCTACACAAGCAGACTTGGAGTTTTGGAGCAGAACATTATTCGGAAAAGCATAGTGCACAAATGAGCTCTCGGTTTCTATTGAGATTGCATTTTGACAACATGACCAAACCATTTATTTTCTGCTTCTCCAGGAATTTGTTGCAAGGTGTGGTTTCTTTGTTGTAGTGATCTGTTGAAATATATTTTACATTCTTCATCTGTGAGACATGACATCATCTTACTGGTATGTTGAACATTTTGTTGTTGCTGTAAGTTATATTAATTTCTGGGCCAATACAATTTATAAAAATAAAACAGTCTTATACTTTCTTTAAAAAAAAAAAAAAAAAAAAAAAAAAAATATATATATATATATATATATATATATATATATATATATATATATATATATATATATATATATATATATATATATATATATATATATATATATATATATATATATATATATATATATAGAGTGACCATATTGTCCGGACAGTATCATTTTTTGTTTTAGGTACTCAGACTATATTCAACAACAACAACAAATTCCATTGTTTCAATCGACAATGAGTATCCTCGAAACTGTCTGGGCCTGACAGAAAACAAGACTTATGGTCACCCTACTAAAAAAAAAAAAAACGGCTATCTTCCGAATAACGGTCCCAAATTATCGAGGCAGAAAATATACCCTAACAGGGCCTCAGTCACGTGTCAATTGCGCACTTCGGGGGACTATACAGCCACTGCCGAATTGCAAACTTCCGGGGACTATACCGCCACCGCCGAGAGTATTCCCCATGCCGCTCACGCGGCGTGGATTGGGGCTAAACTAGATGGCTGGGACACACAAGCAAATAAAATCAAGGCAGCTGCAGGAAATGCAGTAGCTGCTGCTCGTGAGTCTTAGCCATCTAGTTTAGCCCCAATCCACGGCGCTAGGCGGCGCGAGGGATACTCTCGGCGGTGGCGGAAGTGCGCAATTTAAGTTGCTGGAGGTGCGCAATTGACACGTGACTGAGGCCCAGTTGGGGTATATTTTCTGCCTCGAAAAAAAGAGACCGTTATTTGGAAGATAGCCAAAAAAAAAAAAAATTTTATTTTTTGGTGACTGGATACGTACTTTAAATGATTATCTACTGTGAATACACAACTGTATTAACTTAGCTACTTTCCACATACCTGGCTTATTATTATGTTCATGCAGCGTGCCTGTAACTAAAGTTTTGTATGAGAGTTTTATAGGTTTACAGTACACACACCCGTTTTAGTGGGCAGCCAGTGTGGTGTAGAAGCTACACGCCCGCCTGGCGGGTCTGAAGGTCATGGGTTCAAATCTGCATGGTGCCCTAATTTGTTTGTCATGCATAATGCGAAGACCCAGCATTTGAAGATGTCTCACTGGCCTTTGGTGAACACATCCAGACTGTTTGCTTGTATATTTATTGATGGTGACCTGCTAAAAAAGACACCATAAGGTACCTTTACTTAAAGACAAGAGACAAATAAAAGTCACATTCTAGCAGGTAGTCATTTTATTAAATCATGTGAAAGCATCCATGTGAGATACCAGACATATAATAAGGTTAGTTGCGTATCCTTTACAGGACTTGCAGAACCAACCCCAGCAGCCCCTGGCTGTTGTGTGGTTTCTCTAGGCGAACTTATGTCCAGTAGTTTGCCATAGCTTTCTGGATGGTCGGCCCCCTGATACCACTGTCGAAACCAACGCAAGGCGCATGACCCACAGCTGGGATCGAACCCGGCACCCAGGCATTATGAAGCGTTCGCATCGACTTAGCCACAGAGCCGACACCAGACACATATCTATTTTAAAAAAACATGCAGTCCTAACAATGCAGTCTGGCTCTAATGTATCTACCGCTAATTATAGGAATATTTACTGGCAAGCTCCCCAATCTGTTGCAAGGTGCAACTGTCATACCACTGTCAGAAAGCCATGAGAACAGTCCTTCTAAACTGTCCTGCGCAGGATTCAAAACCTGTTAAACATCAACTGTTTTTTTGCATTGTAAAACAATTCCATAATTTCTTAGCTACAGACCCGCATACAGGGGAAAACCCCACAAACAATAACAGACAAATTCTCTTTTGTTACTTTTGGCATTTGTAGCTTTTCGGGATCGTCTTTTCTTCTTCATGTTCACCTACTGTAAACTCCGATGGAAGGTTCTGGTTGTTCCCCCAATTCTGGACTTAAGCCTTGTTCCAGAACTTGAGTTTTGTGTGCACATCCATTCACAGATCTGGCTTATTTAAATGCAGACTGTTGGTTCATTGCCTCTCAGGCAGATGCACTCTCTCTGAAGGAAACATCAATAATTAGTCAACTCTTACCACATGCTTGTTAGGGAGGCAGTGGCTCTATTTTTTGTTTTCTAGCCACACAATGGAGCCCCAGAGCCCACACAGGGAATTCAGGGATTGTGAATACAGTTTCACAATCCTGAATAAATGGGTCTCAAAAAAAAAGTGTAGGCGACTAGGTAGCAGACCATGTAACACTGACTCTGACAATGATAGGAGTGTTGTACCACTCAGAAAACAATGGCAAAATGTAAAATGACCTAGTAAAACTTCAAACACTAATAAATGCTCAGTCTGTGACATCCTTCTTCTTTTTGTGTGCGCACCAGCTGTAAACTCTGGCAGAAACGTTTTGGTTGTTCACTGACTTCTGAACTTCAGCTTGTTTCAAAACTTGAGTTTTGTGCGCACATCCGTTTTACAGATCTGGTTTATTTGTAAGCATCCTGAAAAGGATCTGTAACTAACTTGTTATCATTATGATCATTTAAAAAACAACTGTCCATTCTCACCAAAAGTAACAAGATCACATGGTGAAACCAACTAATGATAATAAAGTTGAAAAGAACATTGATGTCGACACTGAGAAAACATGTTGCCTTGCTTATAAGAGTGAAACATGTTCTCAGATGTTCAGGTAATTGGAAATAAATGTTCAGTTTGATCAATATGACATTTTAAATACTTAGATTTATACTGTTTCATTATGTCATTCCACGTGGGTGCATGTAGACATTTAATCACCTAAATATTGTTTGTAAAAAAAAACAAAAAAAACAATAAAAATGTTAAATTGTATCGTTGAGAATTATTTGACTTTCTTCTTTTTCGTGTTCACCAGCTGTAAACTCCAGCAGAAAGTTCTGGCTGTTCATCCACTTTTGAAACGTAGTCCTGTTTCAGAACCTGAGTACATCCATTTTACAGATCTGACTTATTTGTATGCAGGTTGTTGATTCCTTGCCTCTCAGGCAGATGCACTCCGACTTTGCGAAGAAAGCTCCAAATTCGACGATTCTTACAACATGCTTTTGGGCAGACAGTGGGTCTATTCTTTGTTTTCCTTATAATAGGGCCTCGGAACCCACACAAGAACATTTGACTTTGATGTGGTATATGTGAATGGAGGGGAGCTAGCAAAGTTAGTTTGTGTATCATACATCAAGTATACAAATACGCCAACACCCCCCCCCCCCCCCCCCCCCAACCCCCCCCCCCACCCCCCCCCCCACCCCCCCCCCCCCCCCCCCCCCCCCCCCCCCCCCCCCCCCCCCCCCCCCCCCCCCCCCCCCCCCCCCCCCCCCCCCCCCCCCCCCCCCCCCGTTGCAATGACATAGGTTCTGTTTACACTTGCGCAGTGTTTAGGAGACCCGAAGGTCACTAACAGTCAAAAGTTGTTGCTGACTATCTGATCAGCTTCTTCCATCTCCGTAGGTCAGATGCATTGGATTTAATGTCTGTATGTTTGAGGCTGGACCATTCAGCCAAATTCTGTATCCAGATCTTTCTTGGTCTGCCTCTTCTTACCTACAAATCTTTGTTTAATTAACTGGAGGAACTGATAGGTACACACCATATCATTTTCTGTCTTTTCACTGTCGTTAATAGAGCTTCACAGCTGCCAAAATATTGAGTGCTAATGCAGTGAACATAGCCATCTGTGATATGGCCTCTGTTGGAGAAGATATCATTTTCAACGCTTGCATTTCCCAGGTCAATAACCGGTGATGTATTAAAAAAAATTTTTTTTTAAAATAAGGAGCATAAGTCCAAGTACTGAGATACTGAAAGATGTAGGTGTTAACAAAACATTAGCAGTAAATGAGAGATTACAATGCTGAATTAAGAATCACAGCACTCAGGACACTCCCATAAGTGCGCCGTCCCCATTTTCATCAGCAAGTGAAGAAATAAAATTCCGATGGTCCCAGTAACTGTATATCTGTCTCGCCTTTCCCCTGAGTGTCAGCATCGGCCAGATCCTCTTGTAACTCCTCGTAGTGCCATTCTTCTCAGACCGTAATGATCTATCAGTGCCCCAGCATTGTTTACTCATTCCCAAAGGGCCCTCACAACATTAGTTGACCACCAAGTGGTGCAGAGCTGGCTAGTCTATCTGTCTCCTCATTTCCCAACACATTGGCATAACCTGGAGAAAATATCCCCAGGATGCCAACTACCCAGGACCTTTAAAGTGATGCTTGCCACTATGCATGGAGCATGCCTGTCTCCACCTTTCTCAACATGCTCTGTGAGTCAGTTACAATCACAGCATGTGTGTACAGCTGATTCTGAGAAATTACTAACGAGATCCTTTAAAAATGAATCAAACAATCTTAATAAAATTATTATCCTGTAAATCAGTGAATACCTTACATATATATAGGCAAAAAAGTAAATGAAGGACCTTTTTCATACCACTGGTGACCTTGGCATATGGTGCTAAACTCATAACAGGGAAAAGGTGACATAATCAACATCACGCTGACCACCTTTGCTTCTCAGGACATTTCCTGGTATCAGTATTATGCTAAATGTATAACTGATATTATTTTCCTGCTTGGTCTCTGTAAGAAATCATGTGATTAAGTCACTGCTCCTAAATGAAGAAGCAACATGGCACAGTTTAATATAAGCAAAAACCGCTCGGAATGTTATAAAAATAGAATCCATATCACAGTGAACAAAACAAATAATTAAATAGAAAACTGAAGACATAAAAGGATGGCAACAAAATACTGTTCATAAAGAGATCAAAACTTCCAATCACTGACAGCTGCATACATGTAAAGCAGTGGTTCACAATCTTATCAAAGTTAAACCACTTAAAAGAAGTGATTTGTATCCACAACTTCAAAAAAAAAAAAAATCCTTTGAAAGTTGTATCACTGTAAAGCAGTGATTCCCAATCTAGAAAATTTGCAACTCTAAAAAATGTGATTCCCAATATAGAAAGTGGGCAGTCCTGTAAAGCAGTGATTCCCAATTTAGAACCCAAAAAATCCCTGTAAAGCAGTGATTCCCAATTTAGAACCCCAAAAATCCCTGTAAAGCAGTGATTCCGAATTTAGAACCCAAAAAATCCCTGTAAAGCAGTGATTCATAATCTAGAAAAAAAAAGGTCCCTTTAATGCAGTTATTTTTAATCTCTGCAACTTATACCACGTGTTCCCCATGTGGGTTCCTGGGCCTCACTATTGGGCAGGGGTTTAGATAGACCCAAAGGCCAGCAACCAGCTCATGACAAGTCATCCCATCCTTTGCTATCCTATCCAGCTCACCCCATGTTCTTCCCATATTTGTTCGTTCCTTTATTAGAAGAGGCTGCCCCCATCATATCTGGCTTTGTTTAATTTGTTTCTCTTTTTTACTTTAAAAAAAAAATCGGTTGGTTGGTTTTTGTGGCTACCGTTTTTTTTATGGGAAGAAACAGCCAACACCAACCCAAACCTTACCCAAGTCACCAATTACAAAATGCCTGATAGGGCGCAGTGTTACTTTTCTTTGCTTCTCATGAGTGCTCTGGTGACACACAGATGAAGCAGGTTGTAAAAATGTGACTAGTCTGCTGAAAGCGCATGTGTTGGGTCAAAAGGTGCAGACATCACCCCTAGCTGCAAACCAGTTTTTTAAAGGGCAAATAAAAAAATAAAAAAACCAACCTAAAGCAATGATTCATAATCTCTAAAATATTGTATTCTCTGTTAAAAAAAACAACAAAAAGTGATTCCCATTCTACAAAAAATGTATCTCTATAAAGCAATGATTCTCTTACTGTTACTTAAAAACAAAATTTTTAACTCAGTGGTATCATTCAAAAATTAATTACAAAAACCTTTCTTGATTTACATACAAATCAAGACGTTTAGGCTGACAAGAATGCAAAATATATAAGAACACATCAAGAAAATACTGGAATTCACTGGAAACAGTCCATCACACATTGCTTTGGGTTGAAAGAAATTAACATAAAAGGCAGCTCTATGTACTCAAAATGACAAGCTCTTATTTTTCTGACAGGCATATAAACATGCATGTTAATAAATAATAACATTATAATTCACAATAATATTTTGATAGTCAAACATTTATTACATATTGTAAATTGTTTATGCAAAACTATTATGTAATGTAACATTTAACATCTATTGCACAGTTTATGATCTAATCTCTCTGTTACTGGGAAGCAAAGAACAACAATACTAAAATAACATGCACAATTTAAAATAATGAGGTGAAACTATTGAGATGAAATAGGGTTAGCAGTGCTAGATGGAAATCAAACATGTATACACATGATTGGAAGAGGGTAAATGATGATGAGGAGGAGAATGATTTCATAGCTATTATTTAACGTTTTTGATTGCTTAGAAATGAAAACACATGGCAGCAAAAGACTTCATTTGAACACACTAATTCTGAACAAAGTCCAGATACTGAACAATCTTACACTGGGCTGATACACCCAACTTCAGCTTTCAACCACATGGGCCAAAGCAATCGCAAGTGAAGCACAAAAATGCACATGGCTTTCTAATACTTGGCTATGACAAAAGTCATTAAGTACTGCACCAACGGCTAATATAAACAATTAAAAAAATTCTTCTTCTTCTTCAGCATTCCGAGCCCTTGAGGTTCACTGCTGCAGAGATCACCCGCCTCCATTCATCTCTCTGGTTGGCCTTCTTTTCCCAGTTGGAGACACCAAGTGTTTGCAGGTCTGTCCGGATATTATCTCTCCGTGGTCTTCTTGGTCTGCCTCGTGGTCTACGACCATTCATCTCCCTTGTGTATAGAGTTTTCACTTCTCTGTCATCTGACATTCTCTTAATATGCCCCAACTTCAGTCTGTTAGATCAGTTTATAAAACTGGAAATATTAATTCCCAAAGTTGTTTAGATTCTCTGATTTTAGAGAAATTTAACACAGTTCTGGGGGTAGCTCATCCTCTTCAATTATATTACTTCTCAACAGAGCAACTTTCTCTCCCCCTTCATTCTCTTCTACAATGTTACTTCTCACTGCAGCAACTTTCTCCTCCCCCTCATCCTCTTCCATAATGTTCCTTTTCATTGGATCAAGTTCCTTCTCCTCCCCATCTTCTTCAGCAGGCAGGTTTTCACAATCTGTAGCAGCAGCCGATTCTGACGTACAGAAGCCACTGGGAAATGTCAAATCTCTGGCCAGTTTTGCAAACTGTATGAATGACAAACGAAATGCAAAATACATGGTTACAAATAAAGTATATGCTGTTTGCTTGTTATTGTAAGGTTAAACTGTAAGGCCTGGCCTACTTCAGCTAAAAACAAACACCACAGCACTTGAGACATTTTCATAAATGCTCCGTCCCCCATCTCCAGCAGCAAAGCCCAAACATCAATGGTTGTAGAGGTACCTTGGAGTGGCTGCTGCATTAGAGGACTAAGCACACACAGGAATGCCCAGTGTGCAGTGACCATGATGATGTATTCTTTATTTCACACTGTTCAGTTACCCAGGAAGCGCCTCAACCATGTCTCCTTTATCATGCATCCATTCACCATCAAGTCGTGCAGAAGCAGCCAACCTGTCTGCTTGTTCACTTTCCATTGAATAACATATAATGATTTTCATTCGCCAAGTTCTTCGTCGGTGATCTCTGATCATGCACTCAATCCATCATGGGTTATAGACTGGGGTGTCAGCTCAAGGTCTCTTAGCTTTCCCCAAAGCTTAGCTGTCATCTCTACTGGGTGCGGCCACAAGTTGTTTTGCAGCTCCTCCAGGACAGGACATCTTCTTCAGGAGTCTTTTCACAACAATAATGACACTGGCAGAGAGCTGTTTGGTACATTCCTAATTTATATGCGTGTTCGTTGAGTCTGCAATGTTCAGCTAGCAGCTGAAAAATTACAACTTGGTCTGTTCTACTCAGATAATTGGGAAAATATTTTCATGGTTTTAACCAGTGTTTTACAGTTTGTTCCTGATTTTCTCTTAATGAGGGTTTTAACTTCTTAAAAAGATAATGGCTGATGGATTTTGTGTGTGTGTGTGGACACTAGCCAACAAAAATCCAACTCCTTCGGTACCAAGAAACATGTAATGTGTGATAGGATCTTTTCCACGAGTCCCAGCCATTGAATAATGTGCAATTTTAACATTTGGTCAGAGTACAGAAAAAATCTCTATCACCCAAAAATAACAAAAAATGAAGAAACTGAAAATGTCAAAACACTTTGAATACCTAGGCTACATAATAAACAGCAGTCAAAAGGAGGATGGCCACAGCTATATAAACACTAAACAGCATTAAAGGTCTATGGTTAATGTGATAGGCATGGTGATTGACTCTGATTGGCATGGTCTCCACACTCAAAGCAAGTTGAGCAGAAAATCCGTGCATAAACCACAGCACAAGATACTTGGGGTTGGAAGGGTGAATGAAGGTTAACTCTTAGTCAGTAGTGTATCAGAGTTGCAAGAAGACAGTTGTGATGTCGTCGATGTAGTTTGAATGAAGTGTAGTCAATGTTGAGTAAATGATTACTGTGGCATAGTTGTGGAAGTGAACAGCGATGACTGTGGTTGAGTAACTGTATTGGGACAGGAGAAATAAACTGGCAGAATGTATATTAGAATCCAATCGGTGTTCCAGTGTTGTTAACTGTTGAAATCTGTATTTGTTCCAGAGTAAATGAGCTATATTAAAAGTAAGCCAGCTTTCTTACAGTTAAGCATCGACTAGAAAATCAAGGTTACAATTTAGAGAGGATGCATATTTCCTGTAGCAACATCCGGATGTGAGTCGTGGGCTGTGAGTTATCTCCCAGTCCTTATGGAAAAAAATAGGGGCTTTTGAGCGGAAATGCTAAGAAAAGATTCTCAAAATACCATGGACAAAGAAGAGGAGAAATACTGACATTCTGAAAGATCTGCACATCAAGGAAGATTGAATAATAAACAGCATCTCCTCTTGGAAGCTGAAATATATTTTGGTGACATCAAATGACACGGCGGATTGGAAAAATAACAGCAGAAGGCATGGTACCAGGAAGAAGGGGCTGACCAACATGAAGATGGGCACAGGATATAAGTGACTCCTTCTATTTGAAAGTGCATGAGGTCAGACAGCTGATGAGAGACCAAGTTTCTTTCAGGCCGACTGTAATGACAGCGACGTTCTGCAAAAGACCTGCATCATGTCATTCCTGTTGCAAAACCAGATACCAAAAAAAAAGCTGAGAAATTACCGCAAACCATTCTGGAAGTTACTTCATTCACCCTTAAAAGGGTGATTGGCATGTTGTGGTGTGGTTTATAGCTAGGTTGCGAGATCTGCACGTTTCATCATATCTGATTTAGGTAAACAAATTAAAAGTAAAAGGCCCCTTTTCCACGTCTTTAGGCATTTTGGATAAATAGGGCTAGACCTATATTTTATAGACCAAACGGCGCTTGGTTGATGATGTAGTCAGCATCATGCTGGCCACCTTTATTTTCCAGGACTGTACCTGGTACCCACTCAAGGCTGGGTTGACCTGGGAGCCAAGGTCATTTCTGAAAAAAAAAGCCTGGCCCCCATCAGGAACCAAACCCACGACCTTACGATCCGCAGGCCAGCGTCTAGCTGCTAGACCACTGTGGCTCCCAAGTAAAAAGAAAAATAGTCCCCTTTTAAAATATTGTATGTTAGCAAGTACTTGGTCTAACCGCCCCCTAAGGGTGGGCTCCAGATCCCATATGAGGAGGCGCTGGAGGTTACCCATGTTGAGATGATATGAAATTTGCACATGCTGTCAACATACCACGTTATCCAGAGACTTGAACACTGGTCTATCCAACACTGCCTGGCCGGTTTCCTCATCTCCATCATCATACGCCCTCAATAATTCTTCCAGGGCTCCTGCCTCTTCACTGGTCCCAAACTTTGGGTAACTATATCAAAGTGGGTAATTTAAAATATCAGAAAAGATATATTTAACTTGACAACAAAGGTACCACATAAATACAGACACGCAAATAGGAAGAAGGGCAGGCATAAAGAAAGATGGATGACCTGAAAGGTGGATGGATGGATGAAAGAACAAATGAATATATAAATATATAAATAATTAGATGGTTAGACAGACAGGCAGGTGAACAAGGACACTGTTATTTTCTACTACACAGTTTCATATTGCATGATGATATTTTCTTGTAGACGGTACCACATTACACTGTTTCTTTCTACTGGCCAGTATCACAGACTGTCAGTTTCCATTTGACAGTATCACACTATCACAGTAATTATCCAATAGACAATATTACAACACACACTGCAATTTTATTTTAGACCTATCACGCTACACACTTTCATTTTCTATTAAACAGTATCACTTAACATTCTATTACTTTCTCTTAGTCATCTCATGAAACACTGTCATTTTCTGAGAATGTAAAACATTTCACAATGTCATTTTCTATGAGAAAGTACATTTCACTGTTTACATTAGCCACTGGTGCATTTCCTTAAGCGATCCATCCCCATCTTCAGCAGTCAACCCAGAGTTCCAATAACGAATGGTGCCAGTAGCAGTTTGATTATATGTCCTTCTTGCCTTTCCACTAAGCTCCGAGTATCGGCCACAACTTTTCGTCACTCCTCGCTGCATCAATCTCACCAGACTGTGATAATCAATTTGCTGTTCCCAAATGTAAACATGGTCCCATAACGTCTTAACCACATCTGTCTTATCATGCATAAATATTCCACCAAGTTGTGCAGAGTCAGTCAATCTGTTCGCCTGTTCATTTTCCAACACACCAGCATCCTATGAGAAAGGACTGGGACAATGCTCTTCACCCTTGTCCTCCACATTTCACAATGTCATTTTCTATTAGACAGTACCACAACACACCGTCATTGATACTGTCTTAGGGTGAAATGACACTGTAATGTGATACTAACAGAAAATGACAGTGTGTGATTTGATACTAACAGAAAATGACAGCATGTCATGTGACACTAACAGATAATGACAGCCCTTGGCACCCTACTAGACTCCAAAAGTGGACGAACAACCAGAACTTTCCGCCTGAGATTACAGCCAGTTAATAAGAAGAAGATAAAGCTCCTGAGAATTCTCTCTCTAGGTGACATTTTCTATTAAACACTATCTCATAACACTGTCAAACTTACTTCAGACAGCCCCTGAAAAACTTGTCAGCAGCAACATACTCCTCGCCTGTTAGATACAGCAGGATGACCGCCATGGAGACCTTGTTGATGCACACATAGTTCTCGGCCTCCAGCCAATATCTGATCTCTTCACATAAGGACTTGATGGCATCTTCAAATCTGAAATCAGATGAGTTGTAGGTAATCGGTATCCGCAACAACAACAAAAAAAAAAAAAAAAAACCTTGCCTCTTTCAATCAGCTCCTAGCAAAAGTGGCGGTTATATCAAAACTTCATTTCTTTGCCTGGACTGATTTCCAGTTTTTCATCGTGATGTATCATCACGCCTGAATTTCTTCCTATTTGTACTACACACATGAAACTGGTGTCTGTGCTGTTCTCGGGTTTGCGAGGCTGTCCTTTCGGTTCGTTAGTGGATTTCATCTGCTGGGCTGCTGAGATTGGCCCTGAGAAGAACTAATCATTCAGGACTAATCGTTCAACCGAGTTGGAGCTTGTCGCTGACTGGATGGGTACCTGCTGGTCATTTTCTGGCATTTTTGTCCTGCTTCACATACAATTTACACATTAAAATGTTTTTTTTAGCAGCATACATGCATACATTTTTTTTTGGCTCAATTTTTAAAAAAAAAGTTTTCTTTTTGCCACACATGATTTAGAAAAAGAGGACACAAGTACGAATAGAGTCAACTGAAAGCTGAATGTTACTGAGGACTTACTGTGAGGTCGGAAGATGAAGGCAGAAAGATAGCCTTGAGTTATGATTTATTAGTTAGATTATCTTCACAGCACTCCGGACACATCCATAGGCGCTCAGATTCCCCTCTCAACACATTCATTAGCGTCGTGTGGTTTATAGCCTTGTGAGATCTTGGGTTGCAGGCCCCCGGGCTGGTTTTTGAGCTGGAGGGTTTTCTGGGCCGGCGATCTGTCTTGTTCAGCAGTCATGGCGGAGATTTGCCTGGGCATGCTTTCAGAACTGGCGGTTTCCTCTTTTGTTTTGTTTATTTTGCTTGGGTCTGCACGGCGTTGTGCTGTTGAGCCTATCACTTTCATAGTTTCTAGTCTTGTGGTTGTTAAGTCGTTGATATGCTTCTTCCAGTTCCTGGCATGGTTGCTGTCCCCGTTCACGTTTAGCACTGCATGCCATAAGTGTCACATGGCATTAGTCACCATTAGTCGCAAATAGGTCATTTGATAACATTGCAAATAGGTAATTCGATAACACCATAAATAGGTCATTCGATAACATCGCAATTAGGTCATTAGATAACATCAGCAATAGGTCATTCAATAACATCACAAAGAGGTAATTCGACAACTGCTCCATTCCTGTACCAGCGAAAACTACAAAAAATGCTGTTTCATGTGAAAAGTCAAATATCAGTCCCATCAAAATCAAATAGTTCTCAAACACACAAGGTAGCTGCCAGATGTGCCAACACCTACAGTCTCTAGAATTGCCTTTTACAGCTGAGGAAACATCAACCGTTTTAACAAATTGGTTGGTACACTTGCATTACTGGATAAGGCACACCACCAATTCTGTGGCAACCAGTCACTACCCATTTTCTAAATATGCATTTCAAAACACACATCTCTGGGAACAAAGACAATAAGCACTACCTATGAAATTCACAGCTCAATATTGCATTATGCACTCAACTCAGTAGCTGGCCATTCAAAATGGATGTCACTTTTACCTCATTTGTTGTCCCATTTAGTTTCCTGCTGGGGATTGAAATTATAACATTCATTGGATTGTTTAGGAGAACAGGATCCAACACATGAAGGTGAGGTTGGCTTGAGTGAAAGATGTATAGAGATATTAAGAGTCTTGTACTGTGCAACACTATCCTATTAGGACTCCACACATTGTCTGTCCAGACTTCTGCCTCATGTACTGCCAATCATTTCCAACACAGACGTTCTTCCATATCATAATGCAAAACTATTTTGTGGAAAAAGATTCTTCACTGAACAGACTGCATAACTTGGGTGTAACAACCTGTGCAGCGGGACAAGAAAATCACGCGGGAGCCATCCATCATTACATCAATCAGAAAAGAAATGGAAATGTCAGCCTAGAAACAAACACACAGAGAGATACTTAGAAGGAGATCTGAGTACTTATGGTCATGTCTGATGAAGATGATCTCGAAATAAACACTGAACATTGCCAAACAATGTCACATCCTTTCTCTTTGTCTTCCCATGTAATTTTCCCGCCAACACGATGTAATTCGTAACAAGTTATAATTAGTGCATCTGTAACAGGATGAATTTTAAAAAAAGGTGAAGAAATAATGAAATGTCTGGACAACCACTGGTATTAACAGTGATAAGATAAAAAAGATGGCACTGCATTAGGCACATCTTGAGAAGTGAGCAGAGAATCCTTAACAGGATCTAAACTGGGAAACAGATGGACTAAGGACACAAGGATGTCTAAGAGAAACCCTAAAACAAACGCTGAGAGAGGCCAAAGTTGCTGGACAGTATTCTGCCCATGATATCGAAAGGCTTGAACAGAATCAAAGAACAGACTGCAAGCCCTGTGTGATATGTAACAGCACAAGATGATGATGGGGAATGGCTATCCTGGTGTAACATGCTATCCTGGGTGGGTTACGAGCAAAGCTAGATAAATTTGTTATATTGTACTTCACATTTAATGTGGTATAAAAGCAAAATTTTAGTGAAAACATATCTATGACAGGTTGCACTCACATACACAAGATCTACTCTGTGTGGGTTCTGGGACTCCATTCTGAAGAACACAGCCACTGCCCAAAAAAGCACGCCATAAAAGGCGACTAATTGGGGTATGCTGAAATCGGATGTTTTGGGACATAAGGTTCTGATATCACAGCCTAGCTGTAAACCACAACACCACAGTACCTACCACTCTTTGAAGGATAAATGCAGAAGAATAACAATGAGGCTGAATAGTTAAACAAAATGTACAACTGTATGTTTCCCACTTAAGGCAATGATAACGTATACAATGGTCTACATACTTGAAGCACTTCACTTGCAATCTCGCTGCTTTTCCAATGCACTCTGCACTCTGTATGGGCCTGTTTTCAATCTGAAAATTAGAACATTATTTAGTCATAGAGAGTCCAAGATACAACTATTTCACACACAAGCATGTCGGCATGTTAGGGTTCGAACAGTTGTGAAGGGGGTCTCTATGATGAAGAAGAGGCACAAATGCCTCGTTGTGGGTTCTTTTCATGAGTGCTGAACGCTGAGCTAACAACTGAACCTTATGGGACCACTTTTACACCCTGAACATTCCCATAATAACATAGTCATGTTGAATGTTGAATTAAGAATCGACATCATAGCACTCACACTCCCATAAACGCTCTGTCCCATTTTCAGCAGCCAACAAAGAGTTCCAACAACAACATAGTCATTTGGTTCAGGAATGCAGTTTCTACTGAGATCCCTGGTGACGGTATCAGGAGCTACAGAGTTTGTGCTTTTTGCAACACTATCAGTAAGACACTGCGGCAGACACTGAGCCACATGGGATACAACCTGTTGCAATGGCGTTGATCTTCCCTACTTTAACTTCAGTAGAGTTGAAAGAATTGGTAGGAAGAGGATGGAAACATGGTTAGGTTGTGTGGTTTTTCTAGGCAAATTTACATCCAGTAGTTTTGGATAGGGCACACACTGAGAAAACAGGAGAACAGCATAACTAGAATGTCTTTGCATTGGAACCCACAGGGGCATATGAATAAAGGAAGGCCAAAAAACACATGGAGAAGAGAGCTGGAGAACGAGGTTAGAAAGATTGGGAGGACATGGGGAGAGCTCCATGCAATGGCGAAGGATAGAACGACTTGGCGTGAGTTGGTTGAGGGCCTATGCTCCATTGGGGGATAGAAAGGCAGAAGAAGAAGAAGTTTGCCTTTGCTTTCTGGACGGTCGGATTTCTTGATACCACTGTTGAAACCAACGCAAGGCGCATGGCCCGCAGCTGGGATCAAACCCGGCATCCCGAAGCGTTTGAATCGACTTAGCCACAGAGCCGACGGAAACATGGTAGATGGACATAATCAGACAATTGTTATGATAGTTTTCAGACCGACAAATCATTTGATGTCTGTACACCGACCTTTGCAGAAATATGATCAGATCTGCACAAATGATTAATTCTGTCAGTTTTGATTTTAACTTATCTAATTATGATTATGTAGGATGCACCCATTGTAAAATACCAATTGGCTACACTGTCATAGGAAATCAACTCTCTATACCAGCAGTTCTCAAACTGGGTGCCGCTAGAGTATGACAGGGGTGCTGCAGCAATAATAAAGAATTTTTCAAAATCTGCTTGAGCGGAGAGCAAAAACAGCAGTTTAAAACAGAAATACCGTGCAGGAAGCCTAGAAGAGTTCTGAATGCACGTGTATTCAAAAGACAAAGCTATGGGCAAGGCCGCAGTGCATTTTCAACGTACGCTTACATAAAAAACAAACAGATACAGGAGCAAACTTTTTGGGTTAAGTGATTTGAGGGTATTATTAACTAAACTTCCCATAAACACAAAGGAAATAATAAAAATTTCACCCAGTTTCATTCATCGCATTAAAGACAAATGAATATTAAATGTACACTATTTTTTCTTCTTTTCCTAAGCATTAAAACCGCTTTAAGGGTAGGTGTGCTGCGAGAAAAAATTGGCCCCACAAGGGTGCAGTGGCGAAAAAAGTTTCAGAATCTCTTCTCTACACTGTAGTAGAACACCTTTCTGCCAGCATTATGTTGGTTAAAACAAGTCTTACTGCATGTCCGGTGTGCCTCTCATGCTTGGCTGTGCCAATCTTCACTCCCAATTCTTGCACTGAAGTGGACCGGGCAGCTCCCAAAGTCCTTCAATCATCAGATCTTTTTAAGGGCATCAACAATGTTGAGGCGATTCATGGACTGACTAGTGTCTTTGTGCTGAGCAAACACAAGAACATGTCTTGCAAGACTGCCCTTTCCTGACTGAGCTGCAATGCAATGTCCCCCACACCTAGTAGACATGACAACTAAGCTTTGTGAGAAACAATCGATAAGGTCAACACAGAACTGGAAATCAAATTTTATAAATAAATTAATTAATAAATAAGCCAGTAAAATGGATGTGCACGCAAAACCTCAGATTCTGGTTCAAAGAAAAAGTCTAAATGGATGAAATACCAGGACTTTCCACTGGAATTCACAGCCGGAAATCCAAGGAAAACAAAGAAGAAGAAGAATAAAGTGAAATGATAACGTACTTCTGCTACCTCACTGGCCTTTGTGTATAGATGTATGGCCTTCTCTGGTTTGTCTTCTTCTACCATTCTGAAAGAAAACAGTAATGTCTGATGATGTTTCATTAGTGTTGCTGATACATTATCACAGAATTATTTTAATTTGGATATTAATTAATGCATAGTTTAACACCAGTGAGATGAGATCCAAGGGAAAAAGCTACCAACTTTACCATCCAGAGCAGAAGTGAAATAATACTGTCAGACAAATTGTGGGAACGACACCTTGCAACTAATTCACTTGGAGGCAGAAGATCAAATGGTGTGGGCATCTTATCCCAGATAAAACTGAAAATCAATGTCAACTTAAATTCTTATTTATAGATCAATGAGGATGTTTCTATATATCATCATAATGTACCATGCAATTAAGCTTAGGCAGTAATGGTTCTCATCTCCCATGATTACCAGAATTACAGATCAGGAATTAAAGATCAGGTCTTTGTTCTTGTTCCATCCGTGCCATATGATTAAGTAACCTTCATATTTATTTGTGTCCCTTACAAACCGAGGTAAATGAAACAATAGAAGCTTCTTACTTGGCAGCTTTTTCAAGACACAGTGCAGCAGTATCTGGGGTACCATGTTCCTGGAACATGAGAGCCGCAAGCTCCATCCAATGGACAGCCTCATCAAACTCTTCATTCTCCTTGCAGAGTAGTCCGGCTTGCTCATACGCCCTGACAGACATGAACCAAGCAGTGAATTAAATATGATCTCTCTTGTCTAGTCATCGTTTAACCTAACATGCACAGGAAGATCAAACCTTGTGATCCTATGTTCCATATCCTTAACAAGCAGTTGCAAAAGGTGATTAATTAAGGGTTTAGGGGAACAGACTTACCGCCCCCCAGCAAGCAGGTCATAAAAGGTGACCAATTAGGAGTGTTTCATTTGAAGTGGAGTGAATCCGACTGAAAGGAGAGGAACCAAAAGTTTTCACATATACAGGGTGCATTTTTTATGACTGTATTTTTTGAAAATATTGCAGTTCCTATTTTTGTAATCACTGTCTGTAGAGTTAATGCAACATATACTGCTATAGTGTGTCTTATTTTGGGTACTGTTTTCCAAATTACAGCTCTATTCACAATCGATTCTACTAGTTAAATAGCTTACAATATTAGGATGAGGCACTAGAGTATCAGGAAATGACATCATATATTGTTCAACAACCACATTCAAATACCTGCCACCATTAAGGAACACATGCTCAACTAAAAATACTCCTTCTTCCATAATTAACACCATTATAGCTGAGATAAATTATTAAAACACCGGTAAATAGCACTGACATTCTAAATCAATTTTTACATGGTGCTTGAAACATGACAGAATACAAATTTAATTATGGTGCGCAGGTCATTGATTTCAAAACGTCCAGTCATTAAACATACACAATATATAAGCTACACCTGTAAAATGGATGTGCACGCACAACTCAAGTTCCGCACCTAGACCAAAGTCCTGAAGTGGAGTTTACAGGCACTGAATACTAAGAAGAAGAAGGCCAGTGATACTCTAAGAGCATTTCTGTCAATTTAAGTTCAAAAGTCAAATTTTTCTTCTCCTTGTGTGTGTGTGCTCGCACGCGTGTTATTTCTCTTCCCCAGTTTGACACCTTCAACATTATTCATAAATATAAAACTTGACTTACTTGGCAGCTTGAAAAGGACTGAAATATGTTAAGGATGGATCATTTTGATGAAACAGGTTAATGTATTTTAAAAATTATAGTCTAAGTCAGTGATTCCCCAAACTGTGCGCAGTGGTGCCCTGGTGAGCCACGACCTCTTCACAGGGTGCCGCAAAATATTTAAAGATACACCAGTTTTGTTTGTTTTGATATCTTACATAGAATAGTCATACTTTTACTTAGGTTAGGTGGTCATGGAGAATTTTCAATTGAAAAAAAAAGGGCATAGCAACTAAGAAAAGTTTGGGAAAGACTGGTCTACGTAATTGAATAATATCGAAGAACAAATTTGTAAAAAAATAATAGTTTTAAGGAAAATTACAAACTTGTGGCAGTAGGCCAGTGGATTTATACTAAAGGAGATCAGAGCATGATGGACACATATGGAATGTAATGATGGTAATGCACACCAAACAAAGAGTAACAGAAATAACTGATGCATATGACATTTTTATTTAAATATTTAATATAAATTTACTTAAATCTTTGAGTCCCAGTGTGTTTAGCATCACAGGCCCAAAGGTTGGTAAAGAGAGACATAAAATCGGCGCATCATGCGTTAACTGGGCTTCTAGGTAGCGACCTATGAACGTACAATGCGTTCCTTGGGACTCAAAGAGTTACGCCAGTTTCAAAGGATACGAGTTCACGGCTTTCAACAGCTCTCCGACCTTTATGTAGGATTCCTTGGCTTGGTCAAAAGCTTTTGCATTTCTAAACACTGTGGCTAACAGTGAAAGGGGAAAAGAGAGGCAAAATTATAACAGTTATTATTTATTATAATTGTAAAGTAAAGTAAAGATCCCTTTTCACACCTTTAGGCGCATATGGGAAGAGCACCTACATTTTTACAGACCAATCGGTACTAGGCGGGTTATGTGGTCAGCATTACACAGGCCGTCTTTACTTTCCCAGGACATACATCCAGGTACCCATTTAAGTCTGGGTCGACCAGCGACGCCCCATACCATGATTAAAATCCATGCAGCAAGCAGTGGGTTTCGATCGCAGTACGTTGGAATTACGAGTCGGACTCGCAAAGCCTAAGCCACGGACGCCGCTATTATCAGTAGTGGTAATAAATAATAATAATAACTGTATAATTTTGTCTTTTTTTTCTCTTTTAGTAGCGATAGCAAGATCATGCATCCAGTTGTATAAGAAAGTGTAGCTGGAACTACACTGACCATGCACTCACAATGGATAAGACAAGACTTACCTATCAAGCATCAGATGGACACCGGAATGGAGAAGAAAATGGAGAAACTCCTGCAAAGAACCATCATCAGGGAAGGCTCAACTGTGGGTCTAACAATACTTCCAAGACCTAAAACAGGTGGCAATGAACTGCCACACATGGAGAACTTTGACCTCTGCCCTAGGCACCGACCTAGGCCTGAGAGGAACAACTAAATCAACTAATTAGTAGAGGTACTAGTGATAGAACTGGCTGTCTCCCAAAAATGACAATAAATGATGAAGAAATTGAAAATGTAAGAAACTGAATACCCAGGCTCTATAATAAATAGCAATGGGGACTGTTCGACAGAAATCAAAAGGAGGATGGCCATAGTAATACAAAGATTAAACAGCATTAAAAGTTTATAGTTAAGCTCCAACAAGGAAATCAAAGCTAAAATGTTTACAGCATGCATCTCTTTGATTGTGAAAGTGTGTGAGGTGGGACAACTGGTAAGAGACCGAGTTCCTTTCAGGCAGTGAGATTTTTGCAAAGGACTGCTAGTGATGATGATGATGATGAGCAGTACTAGTAGCATTAGTAATCATCTTTCAGTCCCTTAGGACTATGAGCAATACTAGTAGTATTAGTAAGCCTCTTTCAGTCCCTTAGGACTATGAGCAATACTAGTAGTATTAGTAAGCCTCTTTCGGTCCCTTAGGACTACAGAGTTGTGCAGCTGGGCAGGTGCCTGACAGCAGCTACACAGTCTGAGCCAGACTGACCATGTTACAATTTCCATATCTGTAAGATGAAGGAGGTCCCACAGCAAGTGACTGCATTTGATACTTGTGTCTATTGTCCTCAGTCAGTTGGATCCGACTGTGCTCAAAGAGCACCAGCCTATTTTGCACTTCTTTTCTTTAGGAATATAATATCTATCTGCTGCAGCTCTCTCCCATGTTTCTGTATCTTTGCCAAGGGTTTTCATACCCTCTCTACAGAAATATGACCAGAGCATGAAAGGGTCAGACCAAAGCATGAATGGGTCAGACCAGAGCATGAATGAGTTGCACCAGAGGATGAATGGGTCGGACAAGAGCATGAAAAAGTCAGGACAAAGCATGAATGGGTCAGACCAGAGCATAAATGAGTTGGACCAGAGCATGAATGAGTTGGACCAGAGCATGAATGAGTTGGACCAGAGCATGAATGGGACGCCTATGTGCCATGATATCAAGACCGAGAACAAGTAACAACATTCACAGTAGATTACACTGTCTTTGCTTTTGCTTCTCTTATGGGCAGAGTTGAATACCATTAAGTCTTTCAGTAAAAAACAACTCAACAATGCTTCTTGATCACTGCAAAGATATGATCAGTCGATGAATCAGTTTCTCCCCTTCAGACTGCTCCCTAAAGGTTTACCATACACTCTTGATATTTAAAAAAAATCTCAATCCGGATGGTAGATCAACAAGGCAGATCCCAGATACCCCATTTACCCTCCAAAGAAGTTCTAATTAGTTCTTTCAGCCCCAGGGGGTTTAGCATCAGAGGCCCAAGGGGTGATATAAAGAGACGTAAAATGGGCACATATTGCGTTTCCTGGACTGCTGGGTAGGAATCTATGAATGTATGATGCATTCCTTGAGATTGAGAGTTAAGGTTTGAGGTTTTGAACAGCGGATCAACATCATGACACACAGGTAGTAACCCATAAATGCTCCGTTTTACTTCCACCTCAAGTCTAAGTCTGAAGAATCTCAGCACAGTGCAAAGGCTCTGTAGCACTGGCGAGGATCCTCAAATACTTTAGGTAGATTTGTAACTCCAAATTTTGCCTGGGCAGAGCCGTTAGGCTATTCTTTTCGATTTCCAACTGCCAAGGAATTGTTTACGTGCACAACAATACACACGGGCTTCCGATCTTACAACCCAGAGACCAGGGAGAATTACTAGAAGTCAAAATCCACATGAAAAATCCCAGCCCTTGGGGATTGAACCTGGAACATCTAGCACTCGAGTCGGACAACATATCTTGAGACCACACAGCCCCCCTCCGTACCAGAATTGCTGCGCAGGAAAGATAAATCATTTAAGAAAGATCAACATAAACACTAAAAAAAATACTCTTAAATGTCTTACCATAAACTGTAAACTTCACTAATGGCAATAAAAAAAAAAAAAATTCACAACCAGTGTGATTAATTACCTGCTTTGAGATACTCTGCGGCAGCACCATCATGATCTGGCTTCCATTTAAAAAGAGATGTTTTCAAGCTGAAATAATCAAGAAACAATGTAAAATCTAGTGAAACAAGAGGTGAGAAAAAGACACCGGTTTCAGAACATACGCTGAGAGAAACTGAGAACTAAGTAACTACAATATCTTTACACTGGAACCTACATGGACACAGAAATAAAGGCAGACCAATAATGCACAGAGAAGGAAGCTGGAGAGCAAAGTTAAAAAGATGGGGAGGATACTGGGTGAGCTGAATGCGATAGCAAAGTATAGGATGATTTGGTGTGAGTTGGTTGGGGACCTATTAGGGATAATGGACAGAAGAAGAAGAAGATGTGTGCTGTTAGAATAAAAAGAAAAAAAAGGGATAGCATCAAGCATATGAGATTCATTTTATTTACAGAACACTCCCTATGTAGGTTTCAGGTCTCCATTGTGGGGAAAACAAGAATAGACCCACTGCCTTCAAAGCAAGCAGGTTGCAGGAGTAAACTAACTGGGAACTATGAAGTCTGAGTCATCTGCTTAGCCCAAGCGGCAGGGAACAACCAACCAACTGCACACAAATAAGCCAGCAAAATTGATGTACACGCAAAACTCAGGCCCTGGCACAAAGCCAAAGTCCAGCATTGACGAACAATCAGGACTTTCCGTTGGAGCTTGCAGCTGATGAACAAAGAAGAAGAAGAAGATTCATAGAATACCAAATAATAAACAAAGAAGAAGTAGATTCACAGAATACAATACAATACAATAAACAAAGTTTACAAAGCATCCTCCTGCAAAAAGCTTTCATCAGCAAACACTTGAAACAGCAAAACACGAAAAAGTAAATGATGCCGAAGTAATGACTAATATTATATTTAAGAAACAAACTGTTTATTGATAAGCACATAGAAAAAGAAGTAGAGATACAGTAGCGACTACAGTTTCGGAAATTTACGATCTTTTTGGCAATTTCCGTTACCATGGAAACCGTTCAAAACTTGTTTCGGAAATGTCGGCTGGGGTTTCGGGATGGGTCCTAATCTCATGAAATTTTGCGATTGGTGTGATTTTCACCCACTATAAACAGCTGAAAACGGTGGCAAGGAACCCGATTAACAGCGCATGTCTACGACAGCCGGACGTCCTCTGTTTTTCTGTTACATCAGTTTGATTGAAAATAGCGATAAGTATTCAGGGTTGGCTTTAGGCTTTACCTGTTACTAGACATGGTAATGCTAGTTATAATTGAATTCTCCGTCCAATTTTACATTTGTATATAAAATTTCTTTCGTGTCAGTGGCTAGGTAGATGTACAGTGACATTTTTCAGGCAATCGCTGGCTCAGCCAGTGGCTGTGTCTCATTGCCTGCCATCTTGTCCAATGGCAGTAAAATGTAAACAAAGAAGTGCACAGTTTGGTTGCGCAGAGAAAACTTCTTGCTGGGTCACAAGTTTTAGCAGCTGCTTTCTTAACATCTCATCTCCACAAAAACCTACATATCTCAGCTCAGAAATGACACAAGCCTAAATGAGGTACCGTTGGAAAGAGATTGTTTACAGCTATCTAACTGTGCTGGTTTTATTGGTGTAGAGGGCATTTTAAAAATTTGACTAAAGTAACTAGATACAGACTCAGCCTAATTGCAGAAGGACACACTAGAAGTAGACAACATAAAAATCTACTAAGTTACCGTGCTGAATCATAGTGAATCACCTGTCGCAATGAATGGAACCAGAACTAACATAGATGTGTTCGGCAATTATTGAATTACACATCCCAGACAACAATAACTAAATATAATATAAACCTCGCTCTTTGATTCCAGGTGTTAACTGAATACCTACAACACTCACCACTTATCTGCGAGACGCAAATGCTCAGAAGCAATACTTTCTGCTAGCTTTTTGTCAACAGCCGTTGCAGCCATGTTGGAGACTTCAGCGTTGGAGGTAGAATTGTGTAGTCCCTGACGTCTGGTTGTAGAACAACAGGCGACGAAGACGATGGACATCAGTCGTTTTTGTTCTTGCTGTTTTCTGGTCAGCAGTAGGTGTTTAGCGTGAAACGTTGACTGTCTTGTTCGATATTCGGTTAGTGTAAACATCGCATAAAACATGTTAAGATAAGTAGACATATTTTCCGAAAATAAATAGTCTTCAAATGCCTGTTAGTAGTTTGTGACTAACGAAGAAGTGTTCGGTTACGGAGACTTTGAAGTAATTGAAATTGAAGCAGACAGGTAGGTGGGACTTTGGTGACTAGTAAGTTAGTCAATCGTTTATTCTGTCTAGTATAGGGCTATTATTCAACTGGCAGTGACAATGGGAAAATGTATGCTAAGATCATCGAAAAAAGGCTAAGACAAATTGATTATCAACTTTCAGAAGCACAGATATTATTCAGAGATAGGCTTTCTTTCGACGAAAACAAGTTGCACAGATATCATTTAATTTTTATACACTGAGAGAGCAATAGAACTTCAGGTTTAGAAAACAATAAGTCAATAACTATAAGACATGTTGGTTGACATTCATAGACCAAGAAAAAGCTTTTGATAGAGTCAACAGGAATATGTTGTGGGAGTGTATGGGGAAAAAAGGGAATCAGCAATCATCTCATTAATATTTACAAAAGCCTGTTGTACCTGTACACACGTAATAAATGCTGCATCAGATCGAAGGCAGGATTGTCAAGAACTTTTATAGTGAACTCTTGTGTGCGTCAGGGCTGTGTACTATCGCTGCTTCTTTTTTATAACATACATAGATACTCATAAGTAAGGAAATGAAGATTTTACAGAATTAATATTCGCCGACGACCAGGTACTCATAGCAAAAAGTACGGAATGCTTACAGAACCACCTAAATCAAATTAGTAGAGGAATATAAAATGAAAATAAACACTATGGAGACAGAGATAATGGAAGACAGAAAGACAATTTACAAATAAAATTAAAAAACAACACCATGAGACAAACAGATGAATTTATGTATTTGGGAGCAATTTTCACATTCAATGGAAAACTGGACAGAGAAATTAGCTCAAGATGTGCCAAAGCTAATAAAGTAATGGGGCAACTCCTCTGTTGACACACAGATACCCTAGAGTACTAAAGTGAATCTTATCAGAACTATTTTTTGGCCAACCCTATGCTATCAGTGCCAAACGTGGACACTCACATCCTTCATTGAACGTAAAATTGTGACAATGGAGATAAAATGCATTAGAAGAGCTGCAAGAGTTTCAGGGAAAGGCAGAATACAAAATCATGAAATCAGACAAATACTAGGAATAAAGGTCATTAAAGAAAAATGAATGAAGTGGTTTGGACACCTAACAAGAATGCCCTGGTACTATCTGCCACAGCGAGCCACACTAAAACGTTACAACGGGTATAGAAGACCTCAGAAAATATGAAGTGATGGCATTAAAAACAGTTTACAGAAATTGACATCAGTCTTAATAGTGCTCTTGACAGAGCTCATGTTTGTCTCTATGTGTGTGTCTGTCATGTTGTGTCTGTAAGTGTTTCTGCTTGTGTGTCTGTGTGTCTATGTCTGCGTGTGTCTGTGGCTGTGTGTTTCTCTGTGTGCTGCTTCGTGTGTATTTGTGTGTTCATCTTTTTGATAATGTCTGTGTGTGTCTGCGTGTGTGTATTTGTGCATCTGTGGGTGTGTTATTATGTGTGTGTTTGTCTGTGTGTGTGCCATTATGTATCTGTAGGTGTGTCTGTGTGTGTAGCTGCATATGAATCTGTGTCTGTGCTTGTCTGTGTGTGTAGCTTTGTGTGTATCTGTGTGAGTCTCTCTGGGTGTGTCTATTATATAATGTCTGAGTGTGTCTCTGTGTGTGTGGCTTCGTGGGTATCTATGTGTGTGTCTTTTTGATAATGTGTGTGCGTCTGCGCGTGTGTGTCTGTCTGAGTGTTTGTGCATCTGTGAGTGTATTTGTATGTATGTGTGTGTGTGCCATTATATGTCTGTGTGTGTGTGGCTGTGAGTGTATCTGTGTCTGTCTGTGGCTGTGAGTGTCTGCGTGTATGGCTTTGTGTGTATCTATGTGTGTCTCTATCAGTTTGTCTATTATATAATGTCTGCGTGTCTGTTTGTGTCGGTTTATGCATCTGCGTGTGTGTCTGTCTGCGTGTGTGTGACTGTGTGTGTATCTGTGTATGTGTGAGTGTTGCATATGTCTATTTGTGTGTCTGTGTGTTTCCATGCCTGCGTGTGTGTATGTGTTTGTGTGTGTGCATGTGACTGCATGTGTGTGTGTCCATGTGGGTTTATGTCTGTGTGTGTTGGTGTGTGTGTGTTTGTATGGGTCTTTTTGTGCGGCTACGTGTGTGTATGTATGTGTGTGTGTGTAGCTGTGTTTGCCTGTATGTGTCTGGGTTGTATGTATGTGTGTTTTAGAATGTGTGTCTGTGTGTATGAGTGTTTATATATATATGTGTGTATGTGCCTAATTTGTAACCCTTTAAAAATGAAGTTTGTTCGTTCGTTCATCAACGAATGTTACATCTCCCTCCGACACTTCGATGAGGTACGAGGTGGTGGAAGAGAAGAAAAAGATTCAATTAGCGGCCCGCTGGTCAAAATTGACCAGCGGAGGCCTATGGAAATAGCCTGTGGAGCACTGCCAGATGTATTGTATTAGTGATCTTTCTATGCTGGTCCTCGAACTTCTGGTCCGTGACAATCCCCATTTTCAGAGTTTTGGCGCCTGAGTGTTACATGTGCCCTAAATTTGCCAATTTATAACTTCTTTTGAGGTTAAAAGGAGTATCACAGGGATTTTCCCTGTTGGTCTGCCTTCCATATTGATCTGAGGTTGTATAATCTTATGGTGTCAAACTTTCAGGTAACAAGTAAGAGGAGAAAAACATTCCGCTGGTATTTAGTCTTTTTTGTCAAATGGTTTGGCCATGTAATAAGATTGGCATCAGACAGGTCACTACAAAGAGCAGTGCTGTATGCTGTACAGATACAGCAGTAACAGATCCAGAAATAACAGAAGATGCACTGTAGAAATAGAGAAACCTAAATGTACTTTATACAAAGTGAACAGAAGGACCTGTTCCAGAGATCTATTCCTGCCCTGATGCTGCGAGCATTTCAGGAGAAGAGAAAAGAAGATCAGTTAGAAATGTACAAGTCAGATCTTTGGTCTCTTGTCTTCAATAATGAAGGTGTGTTTGGAGCTTCTGTGTGCTCTTCAGAAACTGCTACTGAAACTGTTTTAAGACATTTAGAGCCGCTAGAGGTTCTTCTTCTTCTTCTTTTTCTTCTTCTTTTTCTTCTTCTTTGCGTTCGGTTTCATATGCTCAGATCAGACCATCAGGTGGGTTGCCTCTATGAACTCACATGTCAGTAGCAGGTCCTTCATGATTCCCCATAGCTAACTCTGCACACTTTGCTCTTGAGGCCAGGTGTCTTTTCGAAGTTGTCTTTAGAGTGGGCTGGTCTGAGTTATGTGCTCAGGTGTTTGTGGTCCTGTTTGACAGGCACACTGTGGGGACTGTACAACCTTTATTTTATGCATGTGGTAGTTGAGCCTGCAGAGTCCTGTTCGTAGACAGAAAATTGTTGTGTGTTGCTTTCTGTTGAGTCTGCTAATGGGGTCTTGTGGATGTTTACTGTTTGTTTGTTCTCTTCAGAATTCCTTGTATTTTCCTTTGATTAGTATTCCGATTTCTGGTAATGACAATTAATGGGCATGTTGTTTCTGCTTTGTTCAGTTTTTTGCAAGCCTAACTAGAGGTTCAACATAGAGGAGTAAACCAACATTTTATAAGATTCTGTGAGACGTAAATGTGTGTTATTGTGTGTTTTTAAACATTAGTGTGTTCAACAAATAAAAAATGATGATTCTGCGACAGGCCCAGCAAGCCAGGATGGAATTTCTTTGATCATGTGAAATTACTCAAGAATTATAGAAGAAATTGAAGAAAAAACGTAATTCAGTCAGCACTCACATCATACACATAACAAACAGTATTCAGTAGCAAGTGAACAACTACAATAGCCAGTGCCAGCCAGCATGCGCTGAACCGCAGATTATTCATCCCCACGATGCTTAATGGCAGAAGTGGTTTATGATGATGAGAACCACTAGAACACACACCTTGTAGCCTGAAAGTCCTGGCTTCAGATCTGCATCAGCGCAGACACCCTCCCCCTCCCCCACCCCCTTCAAAATTACCCTTAATTCCCAAACTGGCCTAGCCTAAAATAGATACCAGGTAATGGCATGGGAAGTAAAGGCGGCCGGCATGATGTTGAACACATCGCCCTTAGAATGCAGATCTTCAGTGTGCTCATTTTAATGCACTGCATAAGCTGATCATAATTTCTTTAATACTGTTTTTGATGCCATCATTCCATTTTTACATGTTCTTCCCTAATTCCATGCTCTTTATATTTCTTTAACATTGCTATCAGTGGCAGCTGGTACAGGGACATTTTCGTCAAATGGCCAAACCACCTTATTACAAGAGCAGATGTTCCGGTTACCTTTTTTGGTGGAGATAGTTTAGCACTTTGTAAAAAAAAACTGGCAAATACCAACGGCTCAGTGGAGAAAGAGCCATAATAGATAGAACTCAGTGCATTAAAATGGATCCTCTTGTCTTTCAACACCCTTCTTTTTAACAAGAAAAAGACAAGAATCATATCTTCTATTTTATTTCAGTTGACTGTTATGACCTAGCTTCAAGTGTGATCATTGTAATGTAAGTATAATAAGCATCAGTCATCAACACTGCATTACAAATCCAAGGATGAACAATTTGAATGCATCAGATACTTCAAAACAAGAAGAGCTCATGACTGAGCAGCTAAAATGTGAAAGTGGGGCAGATGTTGGACAGGATCTGACCTTACTTTGCGAAGAAACACAGGTAGCAAGTGTCAGTGAGCAGTTCCAGGATTCAGATTCAGAAACTGCTCATTCTGAATCATCAGATGTTGAGGAAAGTAATGGATTTCAGAAAGTAAAACTTACAATTGTCAGTAAAGTGTCACCGGATTCTGAACTTGATGAAAGTCATGATTTCGATAAACTGACACTGGAAGACAGCAGTGCAACTACTCCAGAACATGAAATTGAAGATCTTGAAGATGATGGTGATTGTTTTCAGAATATAAAACTCAAGGACAGAAGTTCAAATGCAGCAGAGCCTGAATTTGAAGCTGCTTCTGAGAAACGTGGGCCTGGGACCAGTATTAAGAATCAGACATCAGTGGAACCTGAGAATGTGGCCGATGCAAAAATTACAGATCCACCAGACATTGAGGAGGCTGAACCTGCATGTATACAGGAAAATTTCACATTTGTGAAATCATCAAATGCTGCAGAGACTTCCTTACAGCCACAGCCCAGTGAAGGCTGCCTGTTGAGGCATCGTATTGACCCAGAACCTTCTCGGAAAGCCAATGATGAGCACAAAACAGATGATCTTGAAGGAGGTAAGCAAGTGTTTGTTTGTAAAGGATGAGCCAGGTCACAGATTCGGTTTTCATATTTAAGCTCTGTTAAAGTTGAGTTTAATTTACATATTACGACACTCAGTTTGATCCCAAACAGGCAGACAGATTGGCTGGATCTGCACCACTGGGGGGTGAATTGATACACGACAAGGCAGATGTGGTCAATGTCCTTTGGGAACAAGCAATGGAATCGGTAGAGAAACAAGATTATTATGGCCTGGAGATAATGAGGCACCTGGGTGTAACCAGAGGGTCTGGCCGGCTGACTACACTCAGAGGAAAGGCGAGATGGACATATAACCAGATTGCGACCAGTAGCATCAGTATTGGAACTCTACACTGGCTGCTGAAGATAAGGACGGAGCACAAATGGGAATGCCCCGAGTGCTGCAATGTCAATTTTTGACTCAACTCAACTCACTTTGTTCCCATAATTGCTCGGTCTCCATCCTCAAGAGCCAGAAAAGTGTTCCAGTGGTACCAATAGCAATTGATTAGATATCTGTCTTCATGTTTTCTCTGAATATGCCAGCCAAATCTACTGGTCCCTCCCAGCTGCAACATTCTCTTTACACTGTAATGATCTGTTCATGCTTCCATCATTTATTCACTTCACATCTAGCATGTCATGTGTGAATGTTGCAGCACATGTTAATCTGTCTGCTTTTTCATTTTCCAACACACAATTATGCCATGGAGAAAAGATCCGAAGGATGCTGGGAACCTCTGTAGCTCTGCTTACCACTCTGCACAGAGCTTGTTCGTCTCCGCCTTTCTAAGCGTGCTTTGTGAGTCTCACAATCACAACATGTGTCAGCAGCTGCTCCTTAAGCCAGCTGAAAGATGCTGTGCTTTATTAACCCTTTGGCCCCAGAAGCCGCAAACTAGGCACTTCCGATAGGCTCCATGAACCCTTATATGCTGCTTTTCTAGCTTGTCGGCAGTGGTGTCTTTACAAAATATATAGTTAATGCCATTGGTTGTTTTTGGGCCTGTGCAGTATTTGCTAGTTCAGTATATGATTATATTGACTAAAAATTCCATTTAAGGGGTTTCCTAGTCAACACATAGCTTTTTAGAAGCGAGTACAGTGTCATAATTTTCCATAGGTTACAGTGTTTAAGGTAAAAGGCCACGGGGTGATAGCATATGTCAATGGATACATTTTTTCAAAGCCCAGGGGATGTATTCCTTTTAACGCTTCATTCTGTTCTTGTTTATTGAGATAACTCCCAATATGTATTTCGAGGGGAAAATGTATATAAATAAATTTTTACAATTCATATTAGTGATATATGTAAAAATGCGTTTATTTAATGAATTTTTCCAGCAACATCACGGAATATGACCATTTTTTTTAAGGCATTTCTTGGGCGAAAGTAAAGAACCTTTTTCATTCCATGAGGAATTATTGTGTATGTTACTAGCCTCACAGGTGAAATGTTTACCCTTCAAAATTGACCCTGGCTCCCAGTTTGATCCAGCCTAAAATGGATACCAGGTAATGCAATGGGAATAAAGTCCCAGTTTGAATTTTAGGGCAAAATTTCTTTTTTTTTTGTAAGCAATGTCTTAATTGAGGTTTTGATAAAATCGCATATGCTGGGCTAAAATGCACTGATATCACAACCCAGTTGCAAACCACAACACAGTTGCCATTTTAGGGGCAAATATTTGCTGCATGGTTTTATTTGCTCCATGCCTGTGTCAGCTGTGTATTCTATTTTTTAAGTGTACACACATTATTAGTCAACAAAGATCAAAGAAACTGACCGCTTTAAGAAAACAGCAGCATCTATGCAATTGTATATGACAATATCATAAGGACATGGGAAATCTAAGGGCACGACTTTTGAAACCCACTATAGTCACATTTTATGTTGTATTTAGCACTTATATTTTTAAAAGACCAATTGGCACTTATGAGTGATGTGGTCAGACCGGCCACCTTTACTTCACAGAACATTATCTGTTACCAGTTTTAGGCTGGGTCAACCTGGGAGCAACTTCAGTGAGGTTTCAAAGACCCTAGACCTTTGGGCAGGCAGTTGAGTATCTAGCCACTACACTCCTGCAGCTGCCTCTTGTGAGGCATATAATCACATATAATTGCAATTGCTTACCAACATAGGGCTGCAGGTTGCACTGCACTGGTATAGCCATTACAGGTGCTCAAACTTCTTTTTGGGTTGAACAAGGTATCTGGAATTCCCCTGTTGGTTTGCCGTCCGGATTGAGATTTTGTAATCTTAGGGTGTTGAATCCTCAGGTGGCAACTTGAAAAGGAAGGGGTGGGGGGAACATTGGCACACACGCTCAAGGCAAAGAAGTTTGATACCAGACTTCTTAGCAGGAAAGATTTGCTTCTCAACTCTTTCATTACCAAACAACACAAGTATGTGAGTGGATTTACTCATATACGCTTATCATCTGATTGCAGAACATCGCTCTCATCATAGTCTACCTAAAACAAACTCAGTCTATCGCCAGCTGTCCCCCTCATGTATTTTCATATTCAAGGAGTCTTATATCCTGTGCCCATCTTCGTGTTGGTCGGCCCCTGCCCCTCCTTCCTGGTACCATGCCTTCTGCCATTATTTTTTTCCAATCCGCCATGGCTCTGGATATGATATGCACTAGTTAACATGTTATTATGTTTGTAAATTTTATTTAGTTAGGCAAAAAACACCCAACGGTACATTTGTCTCCCACAAGGAAAATGTATTTGGGCCCTGTGGATGTAGTATACCCATTATTTTGTTGATTTTACAATTGACTCACTGAGGCACAGACTGTGACCTTCTGGGATGCAAAGAGTTAATTATCCATTTTGTATGCTTTCAGAAATAACTCCAAAGGGCTCAAAAGAGAAGCTGAAGATTGCTCTTATTCGTGCAGCACTGGAATCAGATCCTGTAGACGTTGCTAGTTTACGGAAACTGGCCATTAGTCCAGGCGGACTGGTGAACAAAAACATGAGACAGAGAGTGTGGCCCTTGCTCATCAATGCCAACACAACAAATATCACACCCAAACCATGTAAGCTTGTTGTTTTGTTTAATTTTGTATTTGTTTCATTTCCTTATTTTCCCTATGTACCAGATCCCAATTTTTATTTTGGGGAAAAAAAAAAGAATAGACCCACTGCCTCTTAATAAGCATGTCATAAGAGATTACTAAGTAGGAGTGTTTCCTTTGAAGTTGGAGTGTATCTGCCTGAGAGGCAAGGAACCAGCTGCCAGTTCTACACAAAGAAACATGTGCTTGTGGGAAATTTGATGGAGCGGGATAAATCCTGAAATTTCATGTATTGGGAAAAATCAGCCACCCCAACTTGGGATTGACCCTGACTCTGTGGCTGTAAACTAACATGCTTTCTGCTTTGCAGTGATGAATCATTTCACAGGTATGCAGAGGTGCTGAATCACTCATGGTGGTGCACCAGGGTCATGGCTCATGCTGGTCAAGAGCTGCCTACACTTCATCCTTGAAACAGGCTCCTAACCAAAGGTGTGGCCAGTGTAGATAAGATCAGAATTTCGTTTGAAGTTGGAGTGCATGTGCCTGAGAAATTAGAAACAGGCACTCTGCATACAAATAAGCCAGATCTCTAAAAAAAATGTAGTCGTGCATACAGAACTGAAGTTCTTGAGCAAGACCAAAGTCCACAAGTGGACAGACAACCAGGACTTTGTACCACTGTTTACAGCCAGTGAGCACAAAGAAGAAGAGGAATCCATTCACAGGTTTCTAATTGTGAAATGTTATCATTTTCCTAAAGCACAAGAAGAAATGGAAAGCATGACAAAAACATACTCTCAAGTTGTTATGGATGTTAACAGATCTAGCAGTCGCTTTCCACCAGGTGAGTAAGCATGTTTTTTAAAAACAGTCTACATTCATTTTATATGAGCAGTAAAAAGAACTCACTTATATTAGGCTATAGATTGTATTGTGTGGTTGGGTATTCACTGTTATATATTCTTCTTCGCATTCACCGGTGTAAACTATGGCAAAAAGTTCTGGTTGTTTGTCCACCTCTGGACTTTAGTCTTGTTCCAGAACCTGAGTGTTGCATGCATATCTGTTTAACAGATCTGGCTTAATTGTATGCAGATTTGTGGTTCCCTGCCTCTCAGGCATAAGCACTCCAACTTCAAAGGAAGTCACCAATTAGTCGATCCTATGACATACTTGTTGGGGAGGCAGTAGGTCTAATCTTGTTTTCCCCACAATGGGGCCCCGTAACCCACACAGGGAACTATTAAAAATTCAAAATGGGTCTTCATGGCAGCGTAAAGCTGACATCCTACTTGTGCCAACAGCTTTGGTCAGAGAAACACATTTGGAAAGATGCTAGCTTCATCCCTGAGAGTGGAAATGCTAGCTTCATCCCTAAGAGTGGAAATGCTAGCTTCATCCCTAAGAGTGGAAATGCTAGCTTCATCCCTAAGAGTGGAAATGCTAGCTTCATCCCTGAGAGTGGAAATGCTAGCTTCATCCCTGAGAGTGGAAATGCTAGCTTCATCCCTAAGAGTGGAAATGCTAGCTTCATCCCTAAGAGTGGAAATGCTAGCTTCATCCCTAAGAGTGGAAATGCTAGCTTCATCCCTAAGAGTGGAAATGCTAGCTTCATCCCTAAGAGTGGAAATGCTAGCTTCATCCCTAAGAGTGGAAATGCTAGCTTCATCCCAGAGAGTGGAAATGCTAGCTTCATCCCTAAGAGTGGAAATGCTAGCTTCATCCCTGAGAGTGGAAATGCTAGGAAGTGTTATATTGTACCAACAGGAGGCGTGAGAATCACAGTCCGTGGTGATGGCAAGTGTGACTTTTCCAAGACTAATTGAGGACATGGATGAAGTTCCTCCTCTCCATAGCACAAAACTTGGGTGGTAAAGTAAAGCCCTTGTGTTGTCCAGGCAGCATAATCTTTCTCACAGGGAATACCATCTTCAGTATATCCCTCAGCATGTGGTGATTGGTATCACATCTTCTGTGTTGGTTTACTATTTTACTTTGGCTACCTTATATTGTTCATGTTTGGCAAAACCTCTTTTGACCTGAAGTTCTTGTTTTAAGTTTTCCCGATTAAGCCTCGTCTCCTGAATCATCTTCTCCTCCTGCCTGCTTAAGAGCACTGAGAATGTGGGTCTGGTCCATTGCTTTTCATGTATGTACCCTGGCCCTGCCGGCAAGCCAGACTGTCTGCCTGTCCTATGATAAGTTACATTACCAACATTTGCTTTTCTCATGGGCCTTGATAGCACTCCGTCAGTGCTGTATGTTGATATGTCTGGAGAATCATGCTAATATAAGCTACTATTTCGCCAACATTTTATGGACAATTATATCATCTGTAGGTATTGATGACCATGTGCGGATGTCTATGAAGGATAAACTGGTGGACTTGATCATGCGGGTGATGCTGAAGCATCAACAGCTAAGATATTATCAGGTAAGTCTTGCTGTCTGCAGGTTTCCATAACACACTTTTACATTTTGTTGAAGACATCTTTGTAAAGTCAGTAAATCTATTTCAACTATTTAGAAAAACTTGGCTGCTACTTCTTCACTCTTTAAAATGAAGTTAGCATATTGTGTTGTGGTTTACAACTAGGCTGTAATGTATGCACCTTTCTGCTAGTCACCTCTGATTTAAGTAAACCCTTACTTTTATGACATACCTACTTTTTAAGGATAGTGGGTCTATTTCCTATTTCTCCCCCAAAATTGAGGCCTCAGAGCCCACATGGAGAACATGACTGCCAACAGGCAGTGTGCCACAACAAGCAATGATGCATAGACCAAGTAACAGCTGGCCATGTAAGCAGTGGACAAAGGGAGTAATCGAGCCCCTGGAAACCATATTTAAAGATGCACACATGGTGTCCGCCTCAATTGCTAGAGGTTCCTGGCTCAATCCCTGGGAAGGGTACTTGGACTTCTAGTAATTCCCCCTGGTCTCTGGGTAGTGAGATCAGATGCCTGTGTGCATTGCTGCACACGTTAAAAAAACTACCCTTGGCAGTTGAAAATCAAAAAGAGTAGCCTAACGGCGCTGCCTGGGCCAAATTTGGAGTTAAAAATCTACCCAAAGTATTTCAGGATTCTCGCTGGTGCTACAGAGCCTGTGCACTGTGCTGAGCTTCTTCGGACTCAGACTTGAGTAAGAAGAAGAACCGAGCACTCATGGGTTACACCTATGTGCCATAATGTTGATCCATTGTTCAAAACTTCAAACTTCGAACTCTCCAACACCACAAAATACAATAAAGCCTACATGAGATTAAATCAGATGATGTACTTTACAAGAATAATGTAAATAATTATAATTGCTTTGGCATAAATGACTGTCAAGGAAGAGCTAAAAATGTTAATGTGAAAAGAAGGAAAAAATGAGAGAAAAGCTAACCAAGCACTTTTAAAATGAGATTTTGAGAAAAGCTGGGGAAGAAACACACCCCAGAAGAGATCATGTGAGAGATACAGAGTTTAGACCTGTTGGAGCAATACTTGTAATTATATTCATTGATAAACAAAGACTGAATTAATTCAGCCACCTAGCAGTGATAGCCTACAACTTGAAAATGGAAACACCAAGAGACACAGAAAGACCTGGAAGCATTGGGACCGAGGGAGTCGCTGACAGTCTGAGACTTACAACATCACAGTGTGCCAAGCAGCTAAACATGCCCTTTCACAGCTACCTACCATATGTAAAATGGTGGCACCTCACGGCATAAAACAGTTACTGACAAAAGAAAGAGAAGTAGAAAAAAGAATGTGAATATCATATACTGAAAAATAACCCTTCGTGCATGCACATATGACAATGAGCACATTATTGCTGAGAAACCCAAGCCATCATAATATCACTGATTTGTTGCTAACCCCAGGGATTCCATGATGTGTGTATTACATTCCTGCTCTGCATGGATGAGGACCTTGCTTTTGCCATGGTGGAAAAACTAGCTCTAGGGTATATGAGGTATGTCTTTTCATTTGCTGATTTGGTTTGGGGGACATTTTGTTTTAAAGGGGTCAGCAGGGAAAATGCAGGAAGAGAGCTGCAGGAAATAAAAAGGAGGGGGGAGTGGAGCTATAGGAAGTCACAGGGAAAGACATGGGAAGAACTGCAAGAGGTATCAGGGAATGGCATGGGAAGAACTGCAATAGCTAACAGGGAAAAGGGGGGTGGGGGGGGGCAATATTTGGAAGAACTGCAAGAACTAACAGGGGATGGAATTGGGAAGAACTGATTGAATTTGCAGAGGATGGAGTGGGAAGAACTGCAAGAGATATTAGGGAAGTATGTTCAGGGTCTTTTGAGAGAGAAATGGTAGAAGAAGAAGGCAATTACAGTTCTTATTATTTATTTTGTGAAAAGGCACATCTTTTGTGTGTGTGTGTGGGGAGGAGGGAGGGGGGGCAGTCTCTATTATGTTATAGGGTGACATGGCAATCAGATCGCATCCTGATGGTGAGTGTGACTAACAACCCACAATTAGAGCATGCAATTTCAGAACTATTGTTGCGATCACCTGCATTTAATGTGCTACTTCTTAGATGTTCAGCTTTAGCATATCTGCAAAATTTGTCTCTTTATTCGTATTCCTAATTTGATTTTCTCCTTCCATGCAGCACGGTACATAGCATACTGCTCCCATGAAACTACCCGAATGCCTGTATCATTCATTTCCAGTTTGCACACATCTTTGTAAGGTAGTAGAGGCTGACATTGACATCTTCTTCCCTTCTGTAATTTACAATAGAGAATCTTCTTAGGGATTTTACCATCCCCCATTCTCTAGGTTTGCCCTAACCATCTAAAAAAGTAAAGTAAAGGACCCTTTTCCACATCTTTAGGCGCAAAGGGCATATAGGGCTAGACCTATATTTTATAGACCAATCGGCACAAGATGGGTGATTTGGTCAGCATCATTCCGGCCGCTTTTACTTCCTGGAACTGCACCCGGAACCCACTCAAAGCTGGGTCCTAACCATCTAAAGCAACAGTATCTACTTTTGACAAGGCAGTGTTTTCATTGTGTATTCTGTTTGTTATCTCATTTCAGAGAATATCTTGATGAAGGCATGGAACGAACATCATTGCTGTTGAATTTTATTTACCCACTAGTCAATAAATGCAATCCGGAGTTGTGTGCACATATGCAAAAGTAAGGACACTGCCTAAGTTAATTGTAATGTTTATGTTTGATTTATTCAGATATTTTTCGGCCCCTACTATGATATAAAAATGACCTTGGCTATCAGGTTGACCCAGCCTTAAATGGGTACCGTGCACAGTCCTGGGAAGTAAAGGCGGCTGGCAGGATGTTGACCACATCATCAGTCGAGTGCCAGTTGATCTATAAAATATAGGTCTAGCCCTATGTGCCCATTTTGTCTGAAGGCGTGGGAAAGGGTCCTTTACTTTTACTTACTTTTTGAAAGCAAGCAAGACATGAATGATACAGATATTGAGGTGGATTCCTTTCAGCATGATGCCAACTGTGAAGGCAAACCAGGTCATTAAGTGCCTATAGAAGTTTGATGTGTCAGCTGAAGGGCGCAAGTGTCGCAGTAATGCTATAAATGGGCACAATGAAATTACATCATTGACTTGACTGACTTTCTACCCCACCAGGACATCACACAAGCGATAAACACCCGATGACACAATGTGCCACCATGTGGGTGAGGATCACCGTGGAGAGGTCCCAGAAACAGTGTTCAGCCTTTAAGCCATATTTATGGCCAGGCTATATTGCAGCCCCTGGAAAAGCCAGAGTAGGGCTTCAAATAATGAAAAATTTCGTCCTAAAAAGGACGGGAAGTATTTTACATCTTTCAATGAACGCAGAAGAATAAAGAGCAGGATGCCATAGTTATTGCTTAGAGAGCAAAAATCAGAAAGAGAATTGGAATAAAAATAAAGTAAGTAAAGGTCCATTTTCCCCACCTTTAGGCATATAGGGCTAGACCTATATTTTTATAGACCAGTCGGCACAAGATGGGTGATGTGGTCAGCATCACACCGGCCGCCTTTACTTCCCAGGACTGCACCCATTTCCCTACTCAAGGCTGGGTCAACCTGAGTCAAGGTCATTTTTTACAGAAATTCCGGCTCGGCCAGGGAGCAAACGCATGACCTCCCAATCTGCACGCATCTAGCCACTACGCCACAGCGACTTCCAAAGGAATAAAAATACAGGAGAAAATTATTGCAGATAAGTTCAAAGCTCAGTGTCTGACCGGAAGCTATTAAATACATGTCATGGCAATATCAGCCTAAAATGGGTGATATGGTAATGTTCTGGGAAGTAAAAGGGACTCATGTGATGTTGACTTCATCACCCATCAAGGGCCGATAAATCTTTGAAAAATTTTTTTACTGGGCAGTTTTCATGTTTGAAAGCTTTGAGAGGACTTCCTGTACAGTTTGACGCTCATACCATTGTCGAAATTGATGCAAAGGGCTACTGAACTGAATCTGATATGTCAGAATAATGAAACTTTCTTCATAAACCCCAAGCCTGTAGATGCTGATATAACATGAGTGTTCTATACTGATAGAAAGTAGTCAACATTGACCATATCTTCTATGTCGACCCAGCCTAAAATGGGTACCAGGTAATGTCCTGGGTTGTAAAGTCGGCTGGCACAGTGTTGTCCACATCACCCACAGAGTGCCGATTTTTCTGTATCTTATGCCGGCCGATTATTCTGTATCTTATGCCGATGTGTCCTGGCCTAAAGACAACCCTTATTTTTCACACACCAGATATGTATTAATTATTTTCTTTCTTTCATTTAGGAATGACCTGGGGACAATCTTTGCCCTTTCGTGGGTCATCACCTGGTTCAGCCACGTCCTTGGTGACATCAAGAGAATTCTACGAGTATTTGATTTCTTCCTGGCCTCTCACAGAATGATGCCTGTCTACTTATCGGCAGCTGTAAGTGTTCACTGTAAATTCTTCTTCTTCTTCTTCTTCTTCTTCTTCTTCTCCTTCTTCTTCATCTTCTTCTTTTCTTCTTCTTCTTCTCCTCCTCCTCCTCCTTCTCCTTTGCCAACCCCTTCTCCTCCTCCTTCTTCTTCTTCTTCGTGATAAACTCCTGTGGAAAGTTTTTGTTTTTGTTTTGTTTGGTTGTCCACTTCTGGACTTTAGGTTCTTGTTTAAGAACTTGAGTTTTTCGCGCACATCCATTTGAGAGATCTGGCTTATTTGTATGCAGTCTGTTGGTTCCTCACTTCTCACACCTCTCAAAGAGATGCACCCTGACTTTGAAGAAAACACCCATAGTTAGTCGTCAACTTTTACTTCATGGCTAGTTGTTGGGGAAGGGGGGGGGGGATTCCATGTGTGTTTTATCTTCCTTTCCCTCCCCCACATCTCTCATGGGGTCCCTGGAACCCACACAGGGTTTATTTTGTTGTAAGTCTCAGTAGGTTTACTTGACAGACTTTCTCAGAAACCACATGTCCATTTCTCCACTGCCATAAAATATGTCTCAGCTTATTATTTTCTTGTTGTCCTAGTTTCAAAGATTTACTTACAACAGTCTTCATCAGCAGCCTGTGCACTGTCATGTTTTATCATCTCTCACAGTCACTAGACTCACAGATCAGGTCATTGTTCGGTTCAAGTAACGGTTTTGTCAGCACACAAACACTTCACGTCATCGCCTGAGATTTGTTTGCCTTTCATTCATGATTCGTTACCTTTCCTACAAGCTGCACCATCTTCTAGGAGTTTTAGCTTATGCGGTCGTTCTCATGTGTTGCCACCTCAACATACAGCGGTAGATGTCTGTGCATCCCATTCTACCTCTTGTTTTCCTCCTTCACTGCTCTCCGCATGCATCGCGCATATATTCGTGGCAACTAAGCTGCACACACTTGTGGGACCAAGGCTGCATATCATGCTCTTGAGACCTAGGCTGCATGCAGTCGTGGTTGGTTAGCTGCACTCTCTCGTGGCACATAAGCTGAATCTGTAGGATAGATCTAAAAGTTTTGGAGTCGTTAAAACCGCTTACAAATTGGAATACAGAATGCTTAGATCATTGACAATAACAAAATGTTACACCCCTAGAAGGTAGTGCAGCCCATGGGAAAGGTCAGGGCTCATGAATGGAAGATCAAGAAGTATCGCGCTATGACGTGAAGTTGTTGTTTGCAGACTAAAATGTTGCTTGCATCTTGTTCATCTCATTCCATACGTATATGCGAACGAAAGAAGAAGAAGATTCCATTCCTATGACTAAGCCATCCAGGTATTTATCTTTAAGTCTTCCCCTTTGCTCTTTCTCCATCAGTCTTTCCATTTGTAACTTCTTATTTATCTTCTTCTTCGCATTCACTGGCTGTAAACTCCGGTGGAAACTTCTGATTGTTCGTCCCCTTCTGGACTGCGGTCCTGTTCCAGAACCTGAGTGTTGTGTGTGCATCCGTTTGACAGATCTGACTAATTTTTATGCAGACCGTTGGTCCTTTGCCTCTCAGACAGATGCACTCTGACTTCATAGGAAGCTCCTAATTAGTCGACTCTTATGACATGCTTTTGGGTTGGCACTGGGTCTATTCGTGTTTTCCGTATAATATGGCTCGGAACCCACACGGGGAAAGTTGTAAATGAATTAAGTTCATTCCTTTTCCTAACATGTCCTAAAAATGCTGACTGTCTATATCTAATTTCTCAAAGCCGTTTACAGTTTTCTTGTCTCTCAAAGAGGACTGTCTTGTTATAACAGTACAATTAAAGTAAAGGAACCTTTCCAGACCATTTAGATGTATTGATCACTTAGGGCTAGACCTGTATTTTATATTATAGATCAATCGACACTCCGTGGGTGATGTCAATATCAAGCCGGCCACCCTTCATTTTCAGGACTATACCTGGTACCCACTCAAGACAAGGTCATTCATTTTCGAAAAAAAAAAGTCTTGCTTTGTCAGGTCCCAAACCTGTGACCTTCCACTCCGTAAACGAGTGTCTAGTCGTTACACCACGGCAGCACCCATTTTACAACAGTACACATTTTGTATAAGATATGAACACTTTGTGACCTATCTAACAGCATTTGCATATCTTCCCAGTTTGTGCTTTATCGAGAACAGGATATTTACGCAGCTGGAGATGAAATGGGGTACATCCACAAATGTCTTTCAACGATCCCTCCGGATCTACCCCTGGAGTCCTTACTCCAGCGTGCTGGCGACCTCTACCTTCAGTATCCTCCGACGGAGATCAGCCAGGACCCCATGCTCATACGTATGAACAGGTTAAGAAGATTTCTTTTGCTCATGTAGTTTTGCAGCCTTGTTTTTTCATGTTTAAAAAAAAAAGTCAAAGTCAAGAAGATCACTTCATTGCACCAGGTTTTATCCCATACGGCTTGGTCTCTCTCTCTCTCTCTCTCTCTCTTGATTTTGAATATCAGGTGCTATATCACCTAACAGGCACATAAATGGGAAATTGTGGGATTGAGGAAACGAGGATTTCCAAGAGAAACTCTGAAGCTTACGCTGATGAGAGAAGTCAAAGATGCTGGGCTGGACTCCACCTGTGATATTGAAGTGATTACACGCAATAGGGCGGGATGGAGAAATAGACTGCATGATATATAATGGCACAGTAGGACGGGTTGCATGGTCTCGGGGCATGGTGTCTTTCTCCAGTGCTAGAGGTTCCGGATATAATCCTCGGTAAGAGCTGACATTTTTTTTAATGTGGACTTGGACTTCTAGTACTTCCCTCTGGTCTATGGATAGTGATATAGGACACCCTTGTGCATTGTTTCGCACATAAAAATCCTTTGGCAGTTGGAAATCGAAAAGAGTAGCCTAATGGCGCTGCTCCGGCAAAATTTGGAGTAAAAAACTTACCCAAGCTATTTCAGGATCCTGGCCGGTGCTACAGAGTCTGTGTACTTTGCTGAGCTTCTTCAGACTCAGATGAGTTGGAAGTAGAAGGTAGCACTTATGGGTTACTACCCGTGTGCCATGATGTTGATTTGTACTTCAAACTTCAGGACTGTAAATGAATGAATGGCAGGTGCATGGCAAGAACACATATCTGATCCTTGTGCAATGTGGCAAACTATGCTTATGACATGGCACATGATGGTGACAATAATAAGACTTCTCTCATCTTTGATCAAGGTTCACTGCATACAGCGTTCATCATTTTATAAAATACACCATCTGTTTGTAAGGCATCATCAGCTTTTGATTGCATTTTTAAGAATCGACATCATAGCACACCGGACATACCCATAGATGCTCCGTCTCCCGCAGCAAATGACGTAAGGTGTAGATGCTAACTGTTCCTGTAGCACACTGATCGCACTCACATCGTTCTCTTCTTGTTATACATCGCTCCTAGCCAGATCTACACTCGATTCCGCATTCACACATTCTTGCACGTGTTATTTCATCTGATCTCGTGTCTTCTGTCAACATTGGTTCATCTATGGTCTTCGGAATATCTCCCTTGTCTAGTACGAGTGTTCCCATAGCTATCGCTTTTGTAGCCAGAAAATCCGCTCTTTCATTTCCTCGCACCCCTGCATGTCCCAAGGAGTATATCCACATAATTCCCTGCAATGTTGGCGAACTAATGCTTGGTATCCACTCATGTCACATTAGTCCATTTTGAACCTTCCGCAGTACAGACTGAGAATCAGACACAATAATTCCTGCAGCTGTTAAAAGCCTGAACAATGTTATTTCACTTTCAAGATGTGAAAGTTAGAGAACCTCTGAAGGCGCGGAATGACAACAAATGCCTGAGGAAAATGTTCAACATAAAAAAAGGGATGGATTCAAAGGGAAAATATCTAGGAAACCACTGGCAACAACAGTTGAAAGGCAAAAGAGATGACTCTGTATAGGACCAACTTGAGAAGAAACAAGCAGCGAATCATCAACAGGAACTTAATTAAGAAATAAAAGAGTTGAAGAAGTGAAGATGTTCAAAAGCCAACTCTGTCAGGACCTGAACCGACGACCTTCGCATCCGCAGGTGAGCATCTAACTGCTACACCACGGCACCCCCCTTTTCCTCTGCATTTTTTGGGTCAGCTTCAGCAGTGTATGTATTGATGTCTGTCATGTGAAGAAGTCTTTATCTGAAGTACAAATCCAGATAGATGTAATATATAATTGTCATTAGTAGTTAGTTGGGTTATCATTATTCCACTCAAGACATGTCTGTAGGTGCTCAAATCCTCCCCTCAGAATGAAACCCAGGCTCTGGTGGCTAATAGTACCAGTTCTGTGTTGATTAACAAGTCCTCTGATATGTCTGGTTTGCATATAATTGTAATCTTCATGAAACACCAGTCTTGTGCCACACGTGTACTCAAGTACTGTTGTATTAGTTCATCACAATAATGTTAATTTAAACTTATTATGGACATTGAAGAATAAAATAACATGCATTAAAAAAATATAATACATTTACATTGTTGAGAGATGCCAAGTATTCTGGATGTATTCTATCCATGATATCGAAAGGATTGCACAGAATCAAATGGAATGGAGGAATATATTGCGAGCCCTATGTGACATATAATGGCAGGACAGTGGATGGATGAATGATGACCGTCTGCTTGTCATGTTCTGTTCTTTATGCTTGTCAAGATCTGTTCTTTATTACTGATATACACATCTCAGTTGTCATCTATGCACCTAAATATGTGAATGTCTGTACTAACCCAATATAGACACTGTTTGCAGTAATTATATATCAGCATGATTCAGTGGTATGTTTCTTTGATATTACCATTACTTCCATTTCTTTATTGTTATTACTGACACTATGCTTTATGTGTACACAGACACACACAGACACTACACATACACAGTCACCAAACTTGCACAGACAACATATATACACAGAAGACACACACTGACAACTCATACACACATTTACAGTTACCACACGTGCACAGAAGACTGACATTCACGACACAGATACCACACACATACAGAAGACACGCACACACATACATAGACCATTCATGCACAGACAGAACACCACACATACACGTCAGATAGACACACATACATACAGACACCATACATACACAGAAGACCACACACATGTCAGATAGACACACATACACAGACCACACATGCATAGACAGAACACCACACAGACACCATACACACACAGAAGACACACATATGTCAGATAGACACACATACACAGACCACACATGCACAGACAGAACAACACACACACACCATACATGCGAAGAAGACTCACACACACGTCAGATATACACACATACACAGACAGAACAACACACAGACATCATACATGCAAAGAAGACTTACACACACGTCAGATAGACACACATACACAGACCACACATGCACAGACATAACACCACACAGACACCATACATACACAAAAGACTCATACACATGTCAGATAGACTCACTCGCACACACACACACATGCATGCAGAACTGCAGTAGTCTTATGAATATGGAAGCTGGAAATCAATTGTTTGTTTCCAGGCAGGTACATGAGCACTTTAACCGCATTGACAGTCGCAGCGCGGCCAGGCGTGCAGCTCAGCAGAGTCAGGATAGAGGTCGCCTGTTTGTGAAAGCCACGTTATGGACAGTGACGGCAGTTGTTGGCGTCGCTGCAGCCGTACTTTATCACAGCTATATGGGCCAAAATTGGACATTCAGTGATATATGGAGTTCGTATACGTAGCATTGTGATATATATTTACTAGAGTTAACTCGACGAAAAACTTGTAACTGGGCCATGCTATAAAAAAAATTAACTCTTCATATGATGCAGGCAAGTTCAGGTGACAGGCAGTTCAGCACTTAGATACTGTCAGGTTTCTTAAGAAAACACATATTTTATCTGGTTTATTAGGTACTCCCTGCAGTTCTGATATGCCTGACTCTTCTTCTTGTCCATTTCCTCTTTTACCGCTTCCGGTATTGAAGGAGAAATAAGGTTCTGCTTCTTTGATCACCTTGACCATAAACATATTGTGCTGTTTTAATTCTGTGTCACCCCAACACATCTTGGCCTAGTGGCACTGGTGAAGTTGCAACAGGCCTGGCAAGCCGGCAGTGGGTTTATTCTCTCTACAAAGAACTCTGTCAGAACATTTGTTTTTGCAAAGTTGAGTTGAGTTGAATCAAGAATTGACATCATAGCACTCAGGGCATTCCCATGGGTGCTCCCTCCTAAATCTCAGCAGCCAACGCAGAGTTCCATTACTGATGGTACCGGTCGCAATCTGGTTATATGTCCGTGTTGCCTTTCGTCTGAATGTAGTGAGCCGGCCAGACCCTCTGGTTTTTGCAAATGAGAAGAGTTACAAATATTTTTCTTATGGTGAGGAGTCTACATCTAATGGGGAAGTATCAACAACGATCAAAACTTTGAATTTGCTGCATAAAATTAGCAGGTTGAGAACCATTGTAAGCACTTGTTAAAAGTTAATCCGTGAAAGCTGTGATAAATAGTCTTTTTCTGTTCATTGATTGCAGAATTATGTGGATTGTACAAACAGCACTAAGTGAATTTTACAAGTAATGGTAAACAGATTCTACAAATAATGCTAGGCGAATTCTACCTGTAGTGCTAAATGCATTCTACATACATTCGTGTGAATTTAACATGTAGTGTTAAGTGAATTTGACAAGCAGTACTGAAATAATTATACACAGTACTGAAATAATTATACAGGTAATACTAAGTGATTCCTGTGAATAAAAGTACTGAGGTCTTCAAGAATTACTAAGTTAATTCTACTAGTAATACTAAGTGAATTCTACAGATAGTACTAAGTGAATTCTACAGATAGAATTAAGTGAATTCTTCACAGCAGTAAGTTGACTGCAGAACTATTGGACCAGCATAAGGATAAAGTTTCTTATGGGACATAGTGTCACAGTGTTTCAGTTTTTGAACACAAAATTATTTATTAAATGTGTAAATACTTAACAGTTTTTTTTTTTTAGAATACTTGTTGCTTTTTGTTTCATATTTGAATAGTTTAATGGTTTTCTGTTGTCATTATTTCATATTTGACTAGGTTAATGGTTTTCTGTTATCATATTTCATATTTGACTAGGTTAATGGTTTTCTGTTGTCATTATTTCATATTTGGCTAGGTTAATGGCTTTCTGTTATCATTATTTCATATTTGACTAGGTTAATGGTTTTCTGTTATCATTATTTCATATTTGACTAGGTTAATGGTTTTCTGTTATCATATTTCATATTTGACTAGGTTAACGCTATTCTGTTATAATTTTTTCATTTTTAACTAGGTTAATGGTTTTCTTTTATCATTATTTCATATTTGACTGGGTTAATGATTTTCTTTTATCATTATTTTATATTTGACTAGGTTAAGAGTTTTCTGTTATTATTTTTTCATATTTGACTAGGTTAATGGTTTTCTGTTATCTTTATTTCATATTTGACTAGGTTAATGGTTTTCTGTTATCTTTTTTTCATATTTGGCTAGGTTAATGGCTTTCTGTTATCATTATTTCATATTTGACTAGGTTAATGGTTTTCTGTTATCATTATTTCCATACAGTAATTATCATGTGAATGTTTTAAATATTTTATGTTGAAAGTTTTACTCTGGTTACATTTCATATATTTCATTGTTTGTTGGAGAACTAAAAATTGCTTGAGGTTTTGAGGACTCTTTAGAGTATTTTGTATACTTGTAGAGTGTGTGTGGGAGCCACAGTATTGTAGTGGCTTGATGCTGGCCTGCCGACCTGAGGTTCATATGTTCAGATCTATATGGATTCCAGAGTTTCTTGGTGGGGGAGGAAAAGAATGGACCCACTGCCTCTGTAATAAGCTTATCGTAAGAGGTGACTAACTAGAGGTTTCACTCAAAGTCAGAGGGCATCTGCCTGAGAGGCGAGAAACTAACAGTCTGCAAACAAATAAAGTAGCTCTGTAAAATGAATGCGCATGCAAAGCTCAAGACTGAAGTCCAAAACTGGACGAACAACCAGAACTTTCCACCAGAGTTTACAATGAGGGCTAAGAATAAGAAGTAGAAGTTCTGTATCGAGTTGGAATTTTACCCCCAAAATGGCCGTGACATCCAGCTGAACTCAGCCTAAAATAGGCACCAGGTGAAGTCAATAAAGGTGGCAAGCGTGATGCTGACTGTGTCACCCACTGAGTGTCAGTTTGTCTATAGATCTAATATCTGAGGCATGGAAAAGGGGTCCCTTACTTCACCTGTTCTGTCTTAGTCGAGGTTTCAACTTCACTGATTTCCCCATACCTACTCCGTTCCTGTGCCAGTGCAAATCAAATGAAATGTCCCGCACTGTTCCGCTTGAAAAACTAGTGAACAAACAATTAGTCCCAGGAACAATCTGGAAATGTGCCCACAAAGTAAATGCCTTTAGCAGTTGCTAGAGGTGCCAAAACCAACAGTCACCACCAGAAATGCAGTTTATCGTTGATGGGAGTAATTGAGTACGTTGACCTGGCCTAGCTTCTAGCAAGTTGTATGCTTTTGAAATTATTTTGTATGTATGTTGGTAATTGAAGTTTCATATGTCATTCATTAGTGATAACCATATAACCATATGACAATTTGTGTCAGCTGTTCTTGTTGAGGCTTCAGTAGGAATGTTAACAATCTGTGATGTTTGTACAATAACCTGTTTCACATATCAGAATCATGTTCTAAACATTTGCTGTTTAAACTTGTTTGTTTACTTTCTAGGTGTTGTTTATTTATTTCGGAGATATAAGATTCCCCATGTGTGTTCTGGCTGATTGCGCGACTAGAACGGAATGGTGGAATAGACCGCAAGCTCTGTGTGACATATAATGGCCCAACAGGATAATGAATGAATGAGTGAATGAATGAATGTGTGTTCTGGGGCCTCATCTTGGGAGGGAGAAATAGACCCACAGCTCCCTAACAAGCATGTCCTATAAGGCAACCAATTAAGATTCTGCTGGAATTCAATGTTTTGGCTTAAAAGGTCACAGACTAAAATGACAACATTGTGTTTCAGCCGTTCTTGTAAGGGCAAACACAAAAGAAGAGGAAGAATATGTAAGATTCCCCATGTGTGTTCTGGGGCACCATTGTGGGGGAAAACAAGAATAGACCCACTGCCTCCCCAGCAAGCATGTCATAAGGGTTGACTAATTGGGAGCTTCCATCGGAGTGCATCTGTCTGAGAGGTGAGGAACCAACAATCTGCATATAATTAAGATTTGTTAAACAGATGTGCTCACAACACTTAGGTTCTAGAACAAGACTAAAGTCCAGAAGTCCAGAGGTGGACAAAGAACCAGAACTTTCCGCTGGAGTTTACAGCCAGTGAATGCAAAGAAGAAGAAGAATATATAAAATAGAGTGGTGCAGGTGTGGGGCAAAATGAAAAAATATTCAGCAATTACAGCATAGCTGTGATATTTGCATCCTTTGGTCTAGACATCCAAACTCATTAGGCATTTGTTATCCCAAATTAGTATTTTTGTTTTGTTTATTGCACAGCCTTAATGTTTTGTCACCAAATGAGTAATTAAGGATTTAATTAAAATTATCATCATCACAAAACAAGTTGTTTTGTTTTGTTCTGGATATAATTGCATTTTGCTTGCTGGCAGCAAATCTTTGTGCCTTTTGGCTGACACATCCAACTTCTTTAGGTGCTCATTGATGGAGTTAGCCCTTCCTAAGCTTGAAGGTTTGGAAGTTTGCCTCATGTTCTGAAGGTCATTGTTTCATTTCATGGCCGCATTGATCGGTTGATAAGTGCAGTTTTACAAAGACCTCTAGGAATCATTGCTGGAGCTATGGAGTTCACACTTTGTGTGACGCTCTCGGCAGGGATAAAACCCTGTACAATGAAGTTGATCCTCTCAATTTTAACCTTTAACCTTTTAAGGTTTGTGAAGGACCATCTCCCTAGCCCCATCATCATGGTTTTGTGCCTTTATGTGTAACATAAGGCTTGCAGTTGATTCCCTTTTATCGTGGATGGAATAAGTCCAGAAACTATGGCCTCTTTCATCCGTGTTCATTTTCAGGTTTCACTTTGATCTCCTTGTCTCCTCAGTCCATTTATTTCCAATTTCTTTGACTGTTTAGTGATACTCTGCTTGCTTCTCAGATATAGCACCACATATGGCACCAGATATAGCATCAGATATAGCACCAGTTGTAAAATGTTTTGAGCTAAAAAGTGCAGATATCACAGTCTAGCTATAAACCACAACACAGTGTGTTGCGTTAGCCGCCCTTGTAAGGAGGAACACAAAAGAAGAGAAAGAAAAAAAGAATATATATATATATAAATATATATATATATTAACATACATTGGCACCTTACCGTATTTCCAGACGATAGTGTTATAGTGCACTATGAGGAGGCATGAGACTCATAGCCCATGGCGATGGCGAGTGTGACTAGCAAGGCCCGCCCGTATCAAGAAGTCTTCCACAATGATAGCATGGGATTTCAGGACCATTGTTGTCAACATTTGTGTTTAATCCATTTCTTTTCAGACGCTCAGCTCTCATCCTCTCTGCAATCATTTCTTCCTTCAGTCTCATTACCTTCCTGGTATGCCCTTTCCACACAACACGGTCCATGGCATTTTGTTCCCATGAGTCCACATCAATACCTGTATCATTTATGTCCCGCTTGCACACATCTTTATAAGGTAGTAGAGGTTGGCCTCGACATCTTCTTCCTGTCTTTAATTCACCATAAAGGATGTCCTTAGGGACTCTGCCATCCTCCATTCTCCAGGTTTGACCCAGCCACCTGAGCGTTAGTAGACTAAGCATGGAAAAAACTGTTGTAGCACCTGCTCTTTCCAGTACCTCAGTGTTTGTGATTTTGTCCTGCCACTTAATGCCAAGTATTCTTCTTAGGCATCGCATAAGAAAGCTATTAAGCCGTCTTTCCTGGTGCAAATAGGTTGAACAAGTTTCACTGCCATAAAGCAGAGTGCTGAGAACACAAGCCTGATGGAGGGTGAAGTTCCTCCTCTCCACAGCACAAAGCCTGGGCAGTATTGTAGAGACCATATGTTGCCCATGCATAATGATCCCTCCCTCGACCTGCCTTGTTTATTCCAAAGGAAAGGTAAAACTAGTAGGTTTGGAACAAGGCAGATTGCAGAAGCTGCCGGATCAGAAGAGCAGTACTCTATCTGTCTGCCTGACGGAGCTTCCCTCCTAGACCAGCAGCCAGCCAAGGCGAAGGGCCTGGTCTGCCCTGCCATAAAACAAAGTTTTCAGGTTGTATTTCCTCTTCCTAGGATAAGGCTAGTATCCTCCCCAGTGTGCTCCTCCGCCCGAAGCCGTTGGCACATTATGGGATGTTGTTTTAGTATACGCCGCCCAACATTCAGCGTAACAGAAGACAGGTGGTACCGGCTACTGTTATACGGTAGCTAACATATATATATATATATCACCAAAACCGGCACAAGACGATTACCATTTATGGACAGACCAGAGCAAGTTATTATTCTACGCCTTAGAACAGGACACAATTGACTTTGCAGCCACATGTACACAAAATTTAAAATCAGCGAATCATACATGTGCATATGTGGACTGACACCTGAGACAACAGATCATCTCCTCCAAGACTGTCCCAAATACAACAACATATCAAGGCAAAACTTTTGGTTAAGAGAAACATCGGTGCTAGTCAAACTTTATGGGTCGCTGAGTAAATTACGAAAAAACAGTGAAGTTCATACTAGAGGCAATGTTGCAGATATAGATAATCTATTTAAAGTGAATGAAAGAAGAACAAGAAGAATTACTTGGATAAAACTAAAATAATGTAAAGGACCATTTTTTTACTAGAGACGCATCAGGCACATTATTTAAAAACAAAGTAAAGGACTGTTTTCCAAGCATCCTGGGCATTTAAGGCTAGATCTACATTTTATAGATCATTCGGCACTCTGTGGGTGATGTGGTTGACATTAAACTGGCCACTTTACTTGCCAGGGTTGTACCTCATACCTATTTAACTCTATGAGTCCCAAGGAATGCATAAAGCATTCATAGATCCTTATTTAGAAGCCAAAATAACTCATGATACATCGATTTTAGTCTGTCTTCACTGCCCTTTGAGTCTGTGATGTTAAACCCCCTGGGACTCAAAGAGTTAAGGCTGGGTCGACCTAGGGGCCAGAGACATTTGTATTTAAAGTATGCCTTCGGATTTAAACCCATGACCTTCAGATCAGCAGGTGAGTGTCTAGCCGATACGCAATGGTGGCTCCCCAGGGAGCATTAAGGGAAATATTTATGAAAATAGGCAAACTGTATTCTTCAGTTATGTGATCTTATTTTGCTTTCGTTGTCCCTACCAATGGTTTTTCATGAGAGGGCCACTGGCCTCTATGAAGTCTGTACTGTGACGTATATCTTCTACTGTTCAATATAGCTTGATTTCCAGTGGACTGCCAACTGGCCAGACCTGGGGTCTATCTGCCACTGCCATTACAGGGAGAAATTGCGTGGTGCTGCAGTTTTCAGGTTCGGCTGTGACACCTTTATGGTCTATCTGCGTCTTTCAGTCCAGCACCTCCAACTTTAGCTTACTTGTCTGTTAGGATGAGCTTCCTTAGGTGGACTGCTGTCCCTATCTAACAAGCTCCATCTGCCTGGCATATACAGTTTTGTAATGAAAAGAGTGACAGTGGAGAACAATGTGTGAACAGAGCAGTGCAAGAGGCAGACTGACAGAAAATGATAGGGGATCCAAAATGGTAGTACAGAAAAATATGCTCAGTAAAAATGATAAGGACGGACATTCCGATTTAGTGGCTTGTGGAACACTGGGGGGTCTGGTGAAAAATGTTAAGGCATCTGTGATATTTACAAAAATACCCTCAACTTTAGAATGCACTCATTTTTGCAATTCTCATATTTATAAATTATAATGAGTTCTTCAGTATGAGTAATGAAAATTTGGAATTCAAGGTAGATCTTACACAATAAGAGGAGTCTGCAGGTCTTAGCTAACTGAGAATCACTGAACTATAACTGAGAACCACTGAACTAGAACTGAGAACCACTGAACTAGAACTGAGAACCACTGAACTAGAACTGAGAACCACTGAGCTAAAACTGAGAACCACTGAACTAGAACTGAGAACCACTGAACTAGAACAGAACCACTCAACTAGAACTGAGAACCATTGAACTAGAACTGATAACCACTGAACTAGAACCGAGAACCACTGACCTAGAACCGAGAACCACTGAACTAGAACCGAGAACCACTGAACTAGAACTGATAACCACTGAACTAGAACTGAGAACCACTAAACCGGAACTGAGAACCACCAAACTAGAATTGAGAACCACCAAACTAGAACTGATAACCACCGAACTGGAACTGAGAACCACTGAACCGGAACTGAGAACCACTGAACTAGAACTTAGAACCACTTAACTAGAAATGAGAACCACTGAACTAGAACTGAGAACCACTAAACCGGAACTGAGAACCACTGAACCGGAACTGAGAACCACTGGACTGGAACTAAGAACCACCAATCTAGAACTGATAACCACCGAACTAGAACTGAGAACCACTGAACTAGAACTGAGAACCACTGAACTAGAACTGAGAACCACTAAACCGGAACTGAGAACCACCGAACCGGAACTGAGAACCACCAAACTAGAACTGAGAACCACTAAACCGGAACTGAGAACCACCGAACCGGAACTGAGAACCACCAAACTAGAACTGAGAACCACTGAACTGGAACTGAGAACCTCTGAACCGAAACTGAGAACCACTGAACTAGAACTGAGAACCACTGAACTAGAACCACTGAACTAGAACTGAGAACCACTGAACTGGAAACAAGAACCACCAAACTAGAACTGATAACTACTGAACTGGAACTGAGAACCACTGAACTAGAACTAAGAACCACCAAACTAGAACTGAGAGCCACTGAACTGGAACTGAGAACCACTGAACTGTAACTGAGAACCATTGAACTAGAACTAAGAACCACTAAACTAGAACTCAGAACTACTGAACTGGAACTGAGAACCACTGCACTAGAAGTAAGAACCACTGAATTAGAACTTAGATCCAGGACTCTGAATAGAGATATAAATGCCCAAGCCATGTGATGAGAATGAAAAGCATTCAAGGTAAAATGAATCAATGTATGAATGAATCAAGAATTCACATCACTGCACTCCAGATATTCCCACACAAGCTCCATCTCCTTCCTTAGTAGCTAACAAATAATCAACATGTGAACAGTACCAGTTACAACCTGCTTCAAAGTCTGCCTATGTTTCTAACACCCCCCCCCCCCCCCCCACCCCCCCAATTAGCTGTCAGTGTAAGGATTTTCAGTCTATTCTACTGCACTGCCTATTTGATTACAAAGAACCTTCAACATGTCCCGTGTCCGCTTTATCATAAAGTAGCTTACCACTCAGAGAATCAACAGCAGCCAGTCTATCAGCCTGCTAATTACCCTGCACACCTGAATATCATGGACAGAAAATCCATGATATGCTCCTAAATTAAATTGCACAAACAATAATGCTACAGCTACATAGATGAGATCCACATAGAATCACGCTCTGGTTTGATAGTTTCTCTTGAATGCTTTGTTGATGACATTCAGAGACAATGATAAGGATGCATCACTGAGGTATTGCCTTCTGTCATCCAACTGCAACATGAAGACAATAAAACAGTCGTGAAATTATTTTCTGTACGGAAGTAGGTATATAAATGCAACATTATTCATACACTATTTTTCTTCCCATTCACCAGCTGTTAACTCAGGGGGAAAGTTCTGGTTGTTCTTCCACTTCTGGACTTTAGTCTTGTTCGAGAACTTGAGTTTTGCATGCACACCCATTTTACATATCTGGCTTATTTATAGGCAGACTGCTGGTTCCTTGCTTCTCAGGCAGATGTACTCCGACTTTGAAGGAAACCCCTAATTGTCGACTATTCCGACATGCTTATAAGGTTATGAGGAGAGGCAGTCATTCTATTCTCACCCCCACCCCTCACAAATGGGTCCTGAAACCTGCAATGGAAACATATACTAATAATTGGGTTGCTAATGGATTCCAAAGCGGAAGTTGACGAGTCGCCACTTTCTTACTGTAGATGCACTGCGACCATGAAATAATGAATTTTTAGATTTCCATTTTTCATTTCAACTACCAACGCAGGCGCTACAAATGAAAAAATCTAAAATGAAGGCAAGAGGCCCTCCTGGAGAATATGGACTGATAACATTAAAGAGCTTCTACAACAACACGTAATGACAACAGCCATTGCTGCCCACTGAGCAGTGGATCGCTAACTGTTCGTCCCCACAATGCTTAATGGCAGAAGTCAAAACTAAAGATAATGATGATTGAAAGGACTGCACAAAACATAATGGAAGATTTTGAGCTGAATGTGACATATAATGGCACAGAAAGATAATAAAGTATTTCAAAATTCTGGCTGGTGCCTGTGCACTGTGCTGAGCTTCTTCAGACTCAGACTTGAGCTAGAAGAAGAACGGAGCAGTTATGGGTTACTACCCATGTGCCATGATGTTGATCCGTTGTTCAAAAACCTAAAACTGCTTCCATGTATAAGACCACACAGTTTCCCAATTTTGTTAAGTTTAAAACTGAGGGTCGCCTTATACATAGAATGTGTTTAAAATATTCACTTCCTAATTCTGAGTTAAAACAAAACACACACCAAATCAAACTTAATAAAAGCTTATAAAAAGAGGAGTCATCTTACATATGGTGGCGTATTATACACTTAAAAATAGAGTAATTTTTCATATGTTTCACCTTGCCAATTTCCAGGCGTAACTTTCCTACGTTATCACTGTATTGGATGAGTTTGTACGTACTAGGGTTGAAGTCAAACTGATCTGAAATAAACAGATAATGACATAACAGTGGAACAATGTAGAACATACCATAATTATGAGGGAGCTTCAAATAAAAACTTTTAAAGTGTGATAGAAATAACAATAACCTTGCCATTGTCTTGCAACCTGTCAGTAGGTTTCACACAACTCCACTGAGCGGACAACAGAACTCTGCTCCTCTTTTGTGCATGTCAAAAGTGCTGGTTTGGCCGTCTTTAAACAGTCCTGATGATGCCACATGCTTAACACTCTTGACATCCTTATCTTTAAACAGTCCTGATGATGTCAAATGCTTAACACTCTTGACATATTTAACAACAATGCTGAAAGGTTACAAGATAATGCACATAGCTATTATGTTTTCTACCACATGTTTAAGATTTTCATTTGAAGCCCTCTCATATACAAATCATTTAAGGTAACAATAATGTGATTATTACTTTGGTTACTCCATAAGCTAGGTGATGTTTTTATGTTTACAATACTGAAAGTCTGAATTTTGAACAATGAAACAACATCATGGCACATGGGTAGTAACCCATAAGTGCTCAGTTATTCTTTTAACTCAAGTGCCAGCCTGAAGAAGCTCAGCACAGTGCACAGGCTCTGTAGCAATGGTGAGGATCCTGAAATACTTTGGGTAGATTTTAAACTCAAAATGTTTGCCCGGGCAGCACCGTTGGGCTACTCTTTTTGATTTCCAACTGTCAAGGGAATTTTTTATGTCACACGGGCGTTCGATCTCACTACCCAGAGACTAGGGGAAATTACTAGAAGTCCAAGTCCACGTGAAAAAATCCCAGCCCTTACCAGGGATTGAACCCGGAACCTCTAGCACTTGAGGTGGACACAATGCCTCGAGACCACACAGCACCCAATACTGGCATACTTTTATATATAGTTAGATCAGTCATGGGAAGTAAAGGCAGCTGGCATGCTGTTGTCCATATCATTAATTAAGTTTTCATTGGTCTATAAAATATATCTACCAGCATATGACTAATGAGTCACTCGTCTGAGAAGGGTTCTCTACTGACCGCATTTCCCCAAGTATAAGATGCCCCAAAAGTATAGGGTCTAAAAAAAACAGTGTGCATCTTATACACTAGTATACATCTACTCTTATTCACTTAGTCATACAAAAGCAACAGACCATTATATTGAAATAACGTACTGGACACAACAGACTCTGCCGCAATATGTACAAGACTTTTAAAATTGGGGATTAAGAACTTTGCTCATGTGAACAGGTACTGCAGAATATTGAACGTGTTCTACAGATATGCTCTCTACATGTGGTAGAGAGATCCCAGGTTTGGTCGGTTGGCATTCCAAAAGAAACCCAGCTGTATGGATCAGTAGAAGACCGGTGTTGTACCATAGACTTTCAAGATGCTTGTGGCCTTCTAAGGTAAAAACCACTGGCGTGGAGATTTTAAAAAAAAGAAGAAGAAGAAAAAGATAAGTTATGGATGAAGCTGCAGACAAGTTGTTTTCTAAAACATTGATGATAAAAACCACAGACAAATAAAACACATAATTATGATGTAAAAAATAAATATCCTCACAATTTGTTACCTGCGGCAGAGAAATACGATTCATAATTTTTTGCGAAGCTGAAATATGGTGTACATTGTGACCACAGGACAGAAGAAGATGGAAAAGAAGAAGAAAAGGAAGCAGAAGAGGTAGAAAAAGAAAATGAAGAAGAAGAAGAAGATGAAGAAAAGTGAGAAGAAGAAAAAGAAGAAGGAAAAGAAAGAAAAATGAAAACAAGAAGAAAATAAGTACTACAACAAAAATAATAACAGCAACTACCCCTATAACAACAAAATTTTCACAACAGAAAAACAATGTCCATGGACACAACCACACATACAAAACATAAGTTCAGCCATAGAATGGGTGAAACATACTTGTCTGAGTACATCTCTCTACAGAAATGCCTGTGCTGACTATCCAGAATGGTTCTCCATTTTGATCTAGGAGTGTGAGATCCAATATACCAACATCCTATTGGGGGAAAAAAACAGTGACCACAAATGCTGGACAATTTTCAATTAATAAAATCAGTGTGAAGTCAGACCCTTGACACCCACTTCGTAAAGAATTATATAAAGAAAAAAAAAGACTTAAAAGAGGCATCTCCTGGATGAGTCGTGCTAGGGACGCCATCGGACATTTTTTCCATCTCACTAACATTCATTTTAGAATTCAATAAATACCAATGCTTCCTGCCCTGAACATTAAACAAAATTACAGTTCACATCACATTTGATAGAAGCTGTAGAGAACAGATTCCCGGAATTGTGGGCACTTTAGACAGAATAATGATTGATGAAAACAGATGAAGGTGATGCTATACTTTACACAGATGGGTCAGTAATTCAGGGCTAGGAAAGTGCATGGGCATTCACAGTAATCTCATGGGAGAAAACCCCCAAGGAGATGAATGGCACCTTTGCTGTTAAACCTAGTAGCTTCACTATGGAAACTGGCTTAACAAGGGCATTAGCATGACTTTGTACTCAAGAGTTCACACACACTTGAATACTCAGAGACTCAATTAATATGCTTTAAAAAAATTCAGGCTGGTTTCCTCAGACAAGAATGGACTGCGTTCCTAAGAACGTTGCACATGGTTGCCTAACCTTCATCTCTGTGCCAGGTCATGCCTTGTTCAAGGAAATGAGTATGCAGATTATCTTGCAGACACAGTGGTTGCTATGTCTGATCCGGTACTGGACAGAAGTCATGTTATCCCTGTTTAGGCTGATAGACATGGGGGTGCAGCCTGAAGCTGCAAGAAATGAACATTTCACTTAGGTGCTAGACGTTTTCGTAACCAACACAGAACAGGCGTCATCAGCCATTTTACACTACCAAAGCTTTTGAGAAGGAGATCACAGCACCTATGAATCTATCCACAGTGTTGTGATGACAATCCTGTCTAATCACTAATTCATAAAATCATATACTTTCCAAGGAGCGTCAAATGGCTAGAATTTTGGGTTCTCAAGCAGGAAAACAAACAGGGGTTGAGTCTTCGGTAAGACTGGGGATTTTGTTTTGTCAGGGGCAAAAATTGAATCCTAACATGTCCAGACTGTGGTGATAGCACTAGTGTCCTTAAACCCTCAGGCTCAAATACCCCCCTACCTACCCACACTGCAAAAGTGACAAACAGAGGCAGTAAATTGGCAGTTTACTGCATCTTTTTCTTCCATTTTGGCTGTTTAAAAGGTGCATGTCACGATTGTGTTGTGGTTTGTATCTAAGCTGCGATATATGTTCCTTCAAGGCCAAAACATCCTTTCACAGCATGCTTGTTAAGGGTACCAGAGATCAGATCTACAGGAAAGTCAATGCTGCCCTATAAGACTGAACCTGAAAGATATCAACACTGACATAGACACTTGGGAGAGATCAGCTGCAGATCGACTCCTTTGGAAGCTGACAGTGAAATGGCATTACTTCCCAGGACTTTACCTGATACCCATTTTAGGCTGGGTTGACCTGGAAGGCAAGTCCATTTTTAAAGAAAAACCCAACTCAATGCAGATTTGAACCCACAACCTTCGAGCTCATAGACTAGCATCTAGCCACTACATCTTGACGGCTCTCAGGTCTAATCATCATCATCATCATCATCAGGTGCCTTACCGACTGGCATGGGCGATCATGCCTCTCCATAATCTGCGATCTCCTGCAGCATGTATCAGTTCGTGTGCCGACACACCTCCATGCCATGCAACAAGACTGTCAAGCATCTTCTCTTGTTGTCTTCCTCTATCCCTCCTTCCACATATCTTTCCAGTGGTCATAACATGTTCTATTTTCCCTCTTCTTATAACATGGCCGAAAAATGATGACTGTCTACTTCTGATGTCTGTGATAAGTTGTCTTCAGGCTCCCGCCTCTTTCAAAACCTCTTGGTTGCTCTTTTTTGGCTGTCCAAGATATTCTAAGCATTCTTCTGTAAAACCACATCTCTGAGGCCTCCAGAAATTGTTTGGCCTGCCTACCAATTGTCCAGGATTCACAGCCATATGTTAAAACTGGATGTATGTAGCAAGCAAGAATTATTTTTCTAACTCTCAATGACAAGGATATATTGCACAAGATGTTTTTCATTTGATAAAAAGCAGTTTTTGCCTGTCCTATTCTATTTCTTATCTCAGTTATGCATCTTCCATCTGATGTTATCTATGTGCCCAGATACTTAAATTTCTGTACTTGTCCTAAAATAACACCATCAACTTTTATTACACATTTAGGAAAAATTCATTTCTTTGATACCACCATTACTTCTGTCTTCCCATTATTCAAACTGAGGCCCATTCTTCCACTTTCTAACACCACAATGTCTATCATTTCCTGTAGTTCTTTCTGATTTGTTGCTTTCAAGACTGTGTCATCAGCATAACGTAAATTGTTTATATTGTGCCCACCAACCACAATTCCGGGCATACCAATTAAAGCTCTCATTATATATTCACTGTGTATTGAAAACAAATCAGGTGACAGTACACATCCTTGTCGTACGCCCCTCTTTATGCTTTGAAATGTACCTAAATAGTTGTTAATTCTTATAGCTGCTGTTTGCTGCCAATACATATTCTTTATTTTTTGTAGATCTTTCCCATCAATGTTTAATTTTTCTAACAGTTTGATTACTTCTTCATGCTTCACACAGTCAAATGCTTTTGTATAGTCTATGAAGCATATGTACAAATCAGTCTTTACTTCTATAGCTCTTTCTGACAATGTCCTTAGGATGTATATGGCATTGTTTGTACCTTTTCCTTCTACAAATCCACATTGTTCATTGCTGATTTCTGGTTTAATTTTGTTTCTTATTCTTCTCATAATTATTCTCAGTAAAATCTTAGTCATGTGACTCATAAGACTTATTGTACGATGGTTTTCACATTTTATAGTGCCTGGTTTCTTAGGCAGAGCTATAATATGGATTTTAAAAGGTCATTTGGAATAAACCCACTATTATAAATATCATTTAAAAGTTTAGTTATTATTTCAATTCCAAAATCTCCCAGTGCTTCAATTTCTTTCAGTGAGATGTTGTCTGGCCCGGGTGCTTTTCCTTTCTTCATATGATGTATTGCATCCTCAACTTCTGCAGTCATTATTGGTGGACCATCATTGTTGGTCTGCAGTTCTACATCTGGTCTATTATTATCATACAATTCCCTATATACTCTGTCCATCTGTTAATTATATTACTATATCCCATTTTTAAGTCACCATCTTTTGATTTCAAACATCCAGTGCTTTAGCCACTTTGCATTTGTTCACTATTTCTTTTTGTATTATAGAGTATTCTTCTTTATCATTCTTTTTCTTCCTTCTTTCCTCCATCAACTGCAGAATTTTGGTTGACATCCATTTCTTTTTTGCAACTCTATGGGTTGGTGGGATTGTCTCAGGTCTAATAAACATAGTTATTGTTCACTTTCACAGTCCAAAATTATTTGTTTTTCTGAAACCATCTTTCAAACTTTGTAATCCTTGAGTTTTTCTTCAATTATTTATGTCTAATTTCTTTAACAGGTTTACAATTCACAACAGTCTCGAGAAGGAGTTCCTTATTTGTTTTACTATCGTACCATGACATGTATCTTTCTCAAAAACTACATTTTCAATGGAAAACTATTTTAACATAACAGAAAACGTGACTTGGAAACTAAAAGAAGGTTTGAGGTTTGAACAACAGATCAACATCATAGCACACGGGTAGTAACCCATAAGTGCTCCGTTCTTTCTTCCAACTCAAGTCTAAGTCCGAAGAAGCTCGCCAAGGGATTTTTATGTGTGCAGCAATGCATACAGGGGTACAATCTCACTACCCAGAGACCAGGGGGAATAACTAGAAGTCCAAGTCCACATGAAAAAATCCCAGCCCTACTGTGGATGAAACCCGGAACCTCTAGCACTCAAGGCAGACACCATGCCTCAAGACCACACAGCCCCCTACACAGATACAACAAAACTTTTTGAATTAAAGTCTGTACCTTTAAGACGCCTTTGAATAAGGTTGTTCTCCATGAGAAGTTGATCTCCTTGCTGAGGGACACATGACTCAGCTTATCATCTTTCTTTACTGGGTTAAACACTGCAAAACCATCAGCTAAACACAAGATGATTAATAATAACCAATTACAATAACAAATAATAATTACAACACAAAATAATTACTAATTACCACAAACTGATTAATAAATACCACTCAAGATAATAATTTTTGCAGATAATAATTAATAAATTATCAACCAGCATTTTCTATTATATAATACATGATAATTTGACTGTGTGTGGCATGCTGAGCTCTGGCAAATAATGAAAAATTTCAACTTTGATAAGAACATCCTAGACACAATTGAAGCTCTTTATAAAAATACAAGTAGTGCAGTACTCATTCAAAACGATGTAGGGGGATTTTCATTACCAGTGTGGAAGTGGGATAGTGTTGTATACTATCCCCTGTCCTTTTCAATTTGTATCTGGAACACATCATGAGAGAAACACTAGAACATCATGTAACATCTATATCAATTGACGGAAGACAACTGTGTAATTTACGTTTTGCAGACGACATAGATCTCAAGGCTGGTTCCGAAACAGAACTCCAAGAACTTACTACAAAATTAAAGATAGTTTGTGGTACATATGGCATGGAAATAAATGTTGAGAAAAGCAAGAATCTGGTAAATAGTCGCAATAACCAAGTACCCACTAACATACAGATAAAAGGGAAAAAACTAGAAGTTGAAACCTTGAAATACTGTTATTATATTATAACAGTGACTTAGGGAATAAAGTGTTTAGAAAAAACATATCACATAAGGATTTAACAACTAAACACATGATGAGCTGACTGGGACTAAATGAGTTTAGTGAACACAGAAATCAAAATCTTCAATTCACCGAGGGCTTCAATGCTGGTATGCAGCTCTGTAAATCTGCATTCCAAAAACTTAGTCCTCATGTTTCTGACTATGATAATGCAGGTATATCCATGAAGTCCTGAAAAAAGAAAATGAATCATAGTATCAACAGATAACTGCTCTGGCAACTGTTGATAAATACAATAATATTTTCTTGAATATGTTTTTTTATTCCATTATTTCTTCGACTTTTTCCATTCACTTGGTGTAAACTCTGGCAGAAAGTTCTGGTTGTTTTTTGTCCACCTCTGGACTTTAGTCTTGTTCAGAACCTGAATGCTGTGTGCACATCCATTTTACAGATCTGACTTATTTTTATGCAGACTGTTGGTTCCATGCCTCTCAAGTAGATGCACTCTGACTTCATAGAAAGCTCCTAAATAGTCAACTCTCACGACATTCTTGTTGGGGAGGCAGTGTGTTTATTCTTGTTTTCCCCACAATGGGTCAGGGAAGCCACAAGGGGATTATTATCATTTGGTTTTATAGTTTTAAACTGGTAACACCTCCACTACTTCTTCTACTGTTGCTGCTTTAGCTGCAGCTTCTGCTGTTAGTGCTGCTGCTGCGACTTCTGCCACCAGCAGTACCACATATTTTTTGGTGATAAGAAACAAACTGGTAGTTGTGCATGCTGCCATAAAGTAGCAATGCAAATTATCTTACAGTAGTGCTGTATACTATAATGTTGCAAGACTGTCTACTGTAATATAGTAGCACTGTATACTGTCAGACAGTAGTACTGTACACTGTCACATGATAGTACTGTATACTGTAATATGGTAGGACTGTCTACTGTCACATGGTAGTACTGTATACTGTAATATGGTAGTGCTGTATACTGTCATATGGTAGTGCTGTATACTGTCATATGGTAGTGCTGTATACTGTAATATGGTAGTGATGTATACTGTCATATGGTAGTGCTGTATACTGTCATATGGTAGTGCTGTATACTGTCATATGGTAGTGCTGTATACTGTCATATGGTAGTGCTATATACTGTCATATGGTAGTAGTGTATACTGTAATATGGTAGAATAGTAATGTATGCTGTAATACGGTAGTACCATATTCTTCCATATGGTAGTACTGTATACTGTAATATGGTAGCACTATATAGTGTCACAAGGTAGTACTGCATTCTTTCATATGGTAATACTATAGACTGAGATCATACTGACCACTGTTATATGATAGCAAACAAACTGCCCTACAGAGAATACTATTCCAGAAAAAAAAAAGCTTACCATACTCTGGATCAATGTCATCATTGAGACAAGACAGTGAGGGAGAGGACCAAATCCTGAGGGACCAAATCATCACAAAATGTTGAGGTTTTAAAACAGGCAAAGGCTAAAAAAAATGATCAATCTTTATTTTTATGTGTTCCTGGTTACACACTTATGGTGGTGCTGTTGTAGCACAGTGGCTAGCCGCTTGCTTGAAAGTTGTGGGTTCAAATTCCCACTGAGGTTGACTTTTCAAAATTTTTTCAAAATCTTCGCTCCCAAGTAGACGTAGTCTAAAATAAACACTAGGTAATGTCCTAAGGAATCAAAGTGGTTGGTGTGGTATCGATCCCATCATCCATCGAGGACTGACTGGCTACACAGATGTAGGTCTTGCACCGCATGCCTGAAGCACCACTGATGTGAAAATGGTAATTTACCTATTTAAATATCAGGGTCTTCCCTGACAGAGTTCCTTTCCAGTTAACATTTTGTAAGTCGAAGAGATGATGATGATGTTCAACCCCACCAGGACACCACACTGAATGACAAACACCTGCCGACACAAAGTGTCACCACTCAGTTGAGTATCACCTGAGGACAGGTCCCGAAAACCTTGATCAACCCATTGCTTGGGTTATATTAGGGCCCCCAGCAACAGCCAGGGTGGGGAATTTGAAAACCCCCCAAAAATGTGTCCCACATTGCGACACACGCTATATAGATAAGTCAAAGAGGTCATAAGTAGAATTGATATTTTTTAACACTATTTTCAATAAATGGGTTACAAAAATTGTATATAAAACACAAAACTGCAATCTATGCACATACAATTATTGTATGCTATGTGAAAAGTACCAGGATTGAAATGGGAAACAAATGGTCTGATTAGAAAAAAAAAAAGACATTCAAGGAAAAACATTTAGAACGTTATTACAAGAGGCTAACAATGCTGGGCTGAACTCCATGTCAGAAATCGAGAGAGATGCATGCAATAGAGCGGAGTGGAGGAATCGAATGCAAGCCCTATTACAAATCCAACGGCACACAAAGCATGATGATGAATGTGAAAAATACATCATATGTACTCTGTTATATCAGCTCTGGGAACATTCTGACCCTACCAATGTAGCTATGTTGTATTTCATGCTTCATTTATGTTCATTTAACTCTGTAGTAATGACCCTGATGAGGTACAGCAAAATATATCTGGTAATAAATGGCGCAGTGTACTTCTGAGTTTTGTTTTCACCTTATTTAACACTTTCAGTCCCAAGGAATGCATCATATGTTCACAAGCTCCAACCATGAAGCCCAATGAATTATGTCTCCCTTGGGCCTCTGATGCTAAACTCAATGGGACTGAAAGAGTTAAAATAGCTCTTCATTTATTAACTATTTTTATTTAATAAACTGTTTTTTTGTAGTCGTAAGTGTGGATAGTCGTAAGTCATAGGGTCATGTTCGTACTTGGGAGAAGGTTTACTGTTCGTTATTTACGAAATCCGGATTCCTGGGCAGTGAGCCCATCGTCAGGACGTCCTCTGGCACTTTTATGTCAGTCAAGATAATAGTGTTCCACTGTGCAATAGGCAGGCAATGAGATTGCAGCCCATAGCGATGGCGAGTGTGACAAGTGAGACTTACTCTCGTTTAAGAGAATACTCCAACATATGTACATCTGTTTTCAGGACTAAGGTTGCCAAAAAGTGTCAATCAATCAGTCAATCAGCATGTCTTTGACAGAAAGTCTCTCTTTCTCTATAAAATTATCCAGCCCTATGTGCTTTCATAGCCAATGCATTTTCAGTCTTCAATGTCTTGTATCCACCTTCGCGGAGGTCAGCCTCTGTCTCATTTTCCAGACACTGTGCCTTCCATCACTGTTTTGTGGTGCTTGATATGTCCAAAATACCCCAGCTTTGGGAAGAGGATACTGTTTATGAGCCAGTTCTTCTTGATGTTCAGGTCATGCAAAATGTCTCATTTTTCTTCTTCATTGTCCACGGTATTCTAAGAATTTGTCTGTAACATTTCAGTTCAAAAGCTCCAATGTTAGCTCTAATTTTCTTCATCATGTTCGCAACATGTATCTGACATTTTTCTTCTCAGATGCCTGTCTGCAATCCTTTTCCCTGTTGTCCCTCCTCTCTTACTAATTTTGTCCCTCCATTCAAGGTGATATTTGAGAGAGGCTGTAAACAAAACCAGAAGAGATTGTGAGAGAAATGAAGAGATCAGAAGAACTACTGCATCAATACTCAACGTTAAATTCATTGAGGAACAAAGGCTAAAATGATCTGGCCAAAAAGTGAGAATGAAAACAATTTGCCGGCAGTGACAGCATTACGGAATGACAGTTGAAAAACTAAGAGGCAGAGGGAGACCATGGATTGAAAGAGTCGCTGACAGCCTAAAACATTCCAGCATACCAAGCAGCTGAACTCGGCTGCTTATCAACTTTTAAACTGCAGTCTTAACAGCAGAAAGCCAATATTGACACACACACACACAAAGATGCACTCCATCATTCTGGCCTTCTTAGACAAATTATGAGGACCTGTGTTTACGTTGTATATGTAAAGAATTTCTTTACATTTAAAAAATTTGAAAAAAAAAGACAAAAAAAGCAGAAGCTAATTCTCAGACATAATTCCCAAATTAGAAATGCTACCCACAAAATACACTCAGCATGTGTGATTGTGGTGTACAAACACTCAGACCCACTGTTCCCTATGCATGGTGTAAAAGGTTACTAATTTTGAATTTTTCTTTTGATGTCACACTGCATCTGTCCGAGGGGCGAGGAACCAACAGTCTGCATACAAGTAAGCCAGATATGTAAAACAGATGTGCAAATGGAGGAGCATCTAGAGATTTCTACCGGATTTTAAAGCTGGTGAATGCTGAGAGAAAGAAGAAGACATACCTGTTAGGATTTCCAAGCAGGCACCGAGAGACCAAATTATGATAGTGCAATGTGCATGTCACAAAGGCGATTTCACCATCTGCCTGTATTTTATCAAATGGAAATAATGTGAATAAAATATAATCCCAAAACAGAGATACTGTAGGTGGAGTGTGAATACTGTAGGTGGAGTGTGAATACTGTAGGTGGAGTGTGAATACTGTAGGTGGAGTGTAAATACTGTAGGTTGAGGGTGGATACTGTAGGTGGAGTGTGAATACTGTAGGTGGAGTGTGAATACTGTAGTGGAGTGTGAATACTGTAGGTGGAGTGTGGATACTGTAGGTGGAGTGTGAAAACTGTAGGTGGAGTGTGAATACCGTAGGTAGAGTGTGAATACCGTAGGTGGAGTGTGAATACTATTGTGGAGTGTGAATACTGTAGGTGGAGTGTGAATACTGTAGGTGGAGTGTGAATACTGTAGGTAGAGTGTGAATACTGTAGGTGGAGTGTGAATACTGTAGGTGGAGTGTGAATACTGTAGGTGGAGTGTGAATACTGTAGGTGGAGTGTGAATACTGTAGGTGGAGTGTGAATACTGTAGGTGGAGTGTGAATACTGTAGGTGGAGTGTGAATACTGTAGGTGGAGTGTGAATACTGTAGGTGGAGTGTAAATACTGTAGGTAGAGTGTGAATACTGTAGGTGGAGTGTGAATACTGTAGGTGAAGTGTAAATACCGTAGGTAGAGTGTGAATACCGTAGGTGGAGTGTGAATACCGTAGGTAGAGTGTGAATACCGTAGGTGGAGTGTGAATACCGTAGGTGGAGTGTGAATACTGTAGGTGGAGTGTGAATACTGTAGGTGGAGTGTGAATACTGTAGGTGGAGTGTGAATACTGTAGGTAGAGTGTGAATACCGTAGGTGGAGTGTGAATACTATTTGTGGAGTGTGAATACTGTAGGTGGAGTGTGAATACTCTAGGTGGAGTGTAAAATAATAATGCTTTCAGCCCTAGGAAAATATTACTTTAAATCATTACATCATAAAAATTAATTACTCTAACTTCTTCCTCTTCTTTTTTTGTCTTAATGCTTATGCCATAAAGGTTGCAGTAAAGAGTTAGATGTAGTTTCCTGTCTTTTACTTTAACTAATACTGTAAATTACACGTACAAGTCATACTGTAAATTACACGTACAAGTCAATCTTAAGATTTCTACCTCAAAATTCTGAGTTAGGTCCACCTAAGGCATTCTATATCCACCATATAAGTTGACCCCTAGTTTTAGAAAGAGATTCTGTAGGTTTGAAAACTTGACTTACACATTGCAAATTATGATAAATGTTTGGGACATAAAAAGTTAAAATGGATAACATCATGAGACAAAACAGCTAAACTCTTTCAGTCCCACAAGATCCTGGCTAATATCCGAAGGAGTTACAAATGGCAATACTTAACTCATGGGTATATTATTTCCAGAGGGACCAAACATACAATCCTTGCAGGAAACAAAAATGTTGTCAGAGGTCTTAAGAGTCCCTTGCTAATTTAACATGTTGATTGGCATTTGGTAATAATATACCCAATCTCGCAATGTGCTGTTTGGGATTGATAGGGTTAAGTAACAACTGGAGCAGAGAATTTTATTATAACAACAGGATGGTAAATACTGAGTGTATGCACATGCCGTGATTGTAATTGACTCACAGAGCATGTTGAGAAAAGTGGAGAAAAGCATGTTCCGTACAGAGTGGCAAGCATCACTTCAGAGGTCCCAGGGAGTTAGCATCCCTTGGATATTTTCTCAGGTCGGTGTGTGTTGGGAAGTGAGCAGGCACATAGACTGGCCAGTTCTGCACCACTTAGTGGTGAACTGATTAATGACAAGCTGGATATTGTGAGGGCCCTTTGAGAGCGAGTGAACAGTGCGGAGGCACAGACAGATCATTACGGTTTGAGAATGGTGCTGCAAGGAGTTACCAGGGGAGCTGGCAGACGCTCAACACTCAAGGGAAAGCCGAGACAGATATACAATCCAACAGTTACTGGCACTACTGGAATTGGAACACTTCGCTTGTTGCTGAAGATGGGGATAGAGTGCTTATGGGAGTGTCCCAGGTGCTGTGATGTTGATGTTGAATTCAACATACACAAAAGTGAACAGGCATTTACAGCTCGCTCTGCAGGAAAAACAGTCCCGGAAGCCAGCAGTGCATTCCCTATAATTACTAGCAGCATGACAATGGAGGTGATGATGGTGACACAAGTTATCAAGTGGCTGGAATCACATGGCTATTCCCATGTGTGTGTGCTGAGCATTCCATGAGCATGATCCAGCAGGTCGAGGCAGGCTACGTACACAGACAGTGGATTGAGTCATTGTGAAACTCCACTGTGCATAGAGTTACCTTAATCTTTATCCCAGGACATGCGGGTGTTGTTGGTAATGGAAGAGCTGATAGACTGGCCTGTCTTTGGATCGAGCCAACAATGGATTTTGGAAGCAGCCTGCACACATCGCTGCTAAGAATGGAAGGAAAGATTGGCACAACCTGGCAGGAGAGGCACCCCCGACATAAAGAAGACTTGTCAACCAGCATAGGGCTGACACTATTAACATCATGCCACTGATACAGGAATTATATTGCTGTCAGTTCCTAGAAAAATATTAAGCAAGGTTATTTTGGAAAGACTAAAAGATGCTCCTGATTAAAAGCTAATAGATGAAGAGGCAGGTTTTCAGCCAAACAGATCCTGTACTGACCAGATAGCCACATTACGTATAATAAAAAAGCAAAGCACTGAACTTAATTCACCACTTTACATTGGATTCACAGACTATGAAAAAGCTTTTGGCAGCACTGATAGGAAATCTCTATGGAAATTAATGGGGCACTATGGAATTCACATAGAAAATTATTAACTTAGTAAAGGCAACATATAAAGACATAAAATGTCGAGTTCTTCATGAGGGTAAGCTAACAGATAGATTTGAAATAAAAGCAGGTGTGCGACAGGGATGTCTTCTGTTGCCTCTCATATTTTTACTGGCAACAGACTGGATAATGAAGACAACAACTGCTAACACCAAGAATAGAATTCAATTGACCCCTACAAAACAGGTTGATAACCTGGACTTCGCTGATTATATTTTTCATTTGTCCCATTCACGGAATCAGGTGCAAGGTAAATTACATATACACTTGATGTGAGATCATAACAGCTAGGTCTGAAAATCCATAAGGGAAAGGCAAAGATAATGAGAATAAATCAGGCAAATAGTAATGTGGTTTCTCTTAATGATATCCTACTCCAAGACATGGAGTTATACACATATTTGGACAACAATGTAGATAAAGACAAGGGACCTGACAGAGCTGTTAAAATATGAATACAAAAAGGAAAGAGAAGCTTCCATAGCACTAGGGAATTTGTGAAGGTCAGAAGAAATTAAAACTTATACTAAACTTAAATTTTTAATTTTAATGTCAAATCAGTACTGTTGTATGGAGCGGAAACATGGAGAACAACTAAGGCAATTACTAATAAACTGCAAACATTAATTAACTGGGGCCTAAGCAGAATAGAAGGAATGAAATCGTATGATAGAATCATTAAAGCAGAGCTTTGGGAGAGACCTAAACAAGTTCCAGTGGACCAGGAGGGGAAGAAATGATGCTGGCGTTGGATAAGACACACACTGAGAAAACCTGATAACAACATAACTAGAATGTCTTTGCACTAGAACCCACAGGGGCACAGAAATAAAATAAAAACACCAAAAAACATATGGAGAAAGGAGCTAGAGAGTGAAGTTACAAAAATAGGCAGGACAAGGGGAGAGCTGCATGAAATAGCAAAGGATAGAATGACTTGGCTTGAGTTGGTTGAGGGTTTATACTCCACTGGGGGAGTCAGAAAGGCAGAAGTGAGAAGAAACATATATTGTATACAATCATAAATTTCCTAAATTTTCAACATTAAATACTTTAATCCTGAAAAACTCAACAAACACAATTTAATAAACAAACAACATAACTATTGAGAGATAGCAAAATGAACATTAATATCTTAATTTTTCTTTTAAAATCACAAAATACCTGATATTTTGCTATCAATAGACCTGGTGCAAGTTCAAACAACTGAATCTGTGGCTCAGAGCCCAAAGGAGTCTGTTTTTGTAAGACATCTCTGATGCGACCTGTGTACTCTAACAGTTTAGATTTCTGTAAAATTCTGTAAGAAAATGAAAAAATATATACACACACATACACACTCTCTCTATCCCTTTCTCTCTTGCAATAGAAAGTTAACACTTCTTATTTTCCTAAATAAATCACACAGATTGTGTTCGACTGCAACAAACTTTTCTGACAGTCTGAACTTATTAGTATTTAGTATCTGATGAGTTTTGGAGAAACTTGCTTTGTAAGTATGAGCCAGGCAATACTAAGTAGTAAGGAGTCAAAATGAAAAGTCATATTGTTTAATAATGAGTGTGGTCTTCCCTAGCATTAATCACAACTATACAGTGATCTTTTAGTGACAAAATTCACAAGCTTGCATTTCAAAATTGGTGTCATTTGGCCCAAAAGTTGGTTGGTTTTACTGCATCTTTATTGGATTTCTTTATTCTTCTGTCTTTGAAAAATTTGTTCCCCAGACATGCAAATTCTTTCGCCTGATTTAACTTATATTTAACAATTTTGATATTGCTGGTTCTTTTTCTGGAGGATGTCATCACGTCTGTTTTGTCTATGATTATCTTCACATCATAGTCGTCGCATGCTAAGTGAGGTCTATTAATATATTCTTGTAGTTTTACTGCTGTTGCTGCTTTGAGCACCTGATCATCAGCGAGAAGCAATTCATTTGATAATTCTCTAATGTAATACCTTTCGGATCAAGAAAAGGACAAACATAGACATTCTAAACGAGTCGAACATCAGAGAGAACTGGCTCATAAACAGGATCCTATCCTGTCAGTTGAAGTGTTTTTGCCACATCAAGCGTCATGGTGGCTTGGAAAAGACGGTGATGGAGGGTGCGGTCTGTGGAAGGTGACCCAGGGGTCAACCACCACAAAAATGGATACAAGACATTGAAGAATGGAAAAAGCACATGGGGCCAGAGAGCTGGCAGGGAAAGAAATACTTTCAAGCATCCCCTGAAGAGAGCGACGTTCTGTAAAGGACTTGCTGATTGATGAGTTCTCCTTCGAAGATGTCGGCTGATTTGCAAATTTGGTCAAAGTATGCGATGAATAGTACATCTGATCTATCTAAGGGATAAATAGCAGGGGGGACAGAACACATCCCTGATGGACTCTGGATAGTGAATAGAACTTTTTTTGTTGATCTAGTATTTGACTTCACAACACCTTAGCTACTGTAACTTATACCTTCACATTTGTTTACTAGATGCTGAATAACTCCGTAAGCCCTTAGCGTTTTCCAAAGTAGTTTTCAGTTAATCGGGTCAATATGCTTTTTCTTGAACCAGTTATGCAAGATATAATGCATCAAGATATTTTTGGGTTGCAATGTAAAGATGGAATTGGTTTAGCTTTAGTTTATTCTGAAACCCGTTTGTGATACAGTGAGCTGAAATTCAATGACTGATGGAGTATTTTTTTTTTTGGGCCAACAATTTTACAAAAAAGAAATTCCCAGGTTCATATCCTTTTAAAAAACAAAAACCAATAATGACATTAATTTGTTAAATGCACATTATAGTGAAACAATGAAGCAACTGGAAAATCTCTAGAGATGGGGATAAACAGAAAAACAGATCATAATTCATGAAAACAAAATACCAATCAAATACAGAGGTTTTGGAGATGGAACGAAAAGTCAATTGTTGAAAAAAAAAAAAATAGAAGGAAGTGAAGTATTTCATTTACCTTTAAAGGCAGGGAATGAAAAAGCCATTGCTACCCATCTAGTAATCCATCACAAACTGTTTCTTCCCATGCCACTTAGTGGTAGAAGTGGAAATTGATGATGATAATGATAATGGTGATGATAATGATAATGTGATGATAACGGTGATGATAATAATGATGATGATAATGGAGATGATAATGATGATGATAATGGTGATAATGGTGATGATAATGATGATAATGGTGATGATAATGGTGATGATAATGATGGTGATGATAATGATGATGATGATGATGGTGGTGATAATGGTAATGATGATGATATTTGAAGACATAACACTTTTAAAAACCATACTGGAAGGAAAAGTCAAAGGCAAGAAAATAAAAAGGTATACAGTGATACAAGTGGAAGGACAGCATCAAGGGATGGATAAACAGAAATCTGAGTGTACATCCTAGATGAAAAGAAAAACACACACACACACACAAAAGAATGCCAGAGATCCATTGCAGTGAATATTCAGTGTGGAGATGGCACCTGACTGTCAAATAACCGTTATAAAGAACATCAATATATAGGATTTAATGTGTGATTTCTCTTCCACAGATCCAAAAAGGTTCTAGGCTTTTTGAATCTGTCCATTATCCATCTATAAAATCATATGTGGAAAATCATCATGCTACAGTGCCATTATATGTCAAACAGAGCTCGCAATCTTTTTTCCCATTCCATTCTATGCAATTCTTTCCACACCATCGACTCAATCCACTCCAACACACTTGGCCTCTCTCATCAACTCAATCCACTCCAACACACTTGGCCTCTCTCATCAACTCAATCCACTCCAACACACTTGGCCTCTCTCATCAACTCAATCCACTCCAACACACTTGGCCTCTCTCATCAACTCAATCCACTCCAACACACTTGGCCTCTCTCATCAACTCAATCCACTCCAACACACTTGGCCTCTCTCATTAACTCAATCCACTCTAACACACTTGGCCTCTCTCATTAACTCAATCCACTCCAACACACTTGGCCTCTCTCATCAACTCAATCCACTCCAACACACTTGGCCTCTCTCATCAACTCAATCCACCCCAACACACTTGGCCTCTCTCATCGACTCAGTCCACTCCAACACACTTGGCCTCTCTCATCAACTCAATCCACTCCAACACACTTGGCCTCTCTCATCAACTCAATCCACTCTAACACACTTGGCCTCTCTCATCAACTCAGTCCACTCCAACACACTTGGCCTCTCTCATCAACTCAATCCACTCCAACACACTTGACCTCGCTCATCAACTCAATCCACTCCAACACACTTGACCTCGCTCATCAACTCAATCCACTCCAACACACTTGGCCTCTCTCATCAACTCTGTCTGAAGGTTTCTCTTGGTCATTCCCATTCTTTCAATCGATTTGTTTCACATTTCAGAGCCTGTCTGGTGATTCTCTGTTTGCTTCTGCCCAGTACATTGCCATCTTCTTTGTCTTGCAACTGTTGATACCAGTGGTTGTTCAGACATCTCTCTTATTTCTTCACCTTGCCTGAATTAATCCTATTTCATTTTTGTCAGTCTTCTCATGCATCCATGGTGAAAATACACACCACATAATTTTGTGTGTGTGAATAAAGTTAAGCTAGGAGTCACCCTGGCATAGCGGCTAGACGCTCGCCTGCAGATTGCAAGGTCATGGGTTCGCTCCCTGGTGGAGCCAGACTTTGCTAAAAAATGACCTTGGCTCCCAGGTCAACCCAGCCTTGAGTGGGTACCAGGGGCAGTCCTGGTAAATAAAGGCAGTCTGCATGATGCTGACCACATTACCAATCTTGTGCCATTGGTCTATAAAATATAGGTCTAGCCCTACATATCCCATGGGCCTAAAAGGCGTGAAAAGGGTCCTTTACCTTATACAGTTAAGCTAGAAAAATGTGTCATTAAAAATCCGTGTAATTGTATGTAACTAGAATTTGTTGGAATTTGACAGAAACATAGGAAATCAAATCTTTTACAGCAAGTAGTAAATTACCTACCCATCTTTTGCAGGTTTTGATGGTCCATAAAACATCAGAGGAGTACAAGCACGTACCCGGATACAGTGAATGTCTTTAATGTCAGGAACCACAAGTGCATACCACTGAACACCAACAGACATGGTTGACCAGCAGATATCACAGTGTGGAAAAGTGTTTTCCTGTCCTTCAGTATTGATAAGGCTCAGCTCAAAGCAGACACCTAATTTACTGTTCATGTAAATATATGACAGTCAACCTTAAACAAGACATCTCATTTACTGTTGATGTAAATATATGACAGCTGAGCTGAAACAAAACATATAATTTACTGCTGATGTAGATACGTGACAGTCAAGTTCAAACAAGACATCTAATTTACTGCTGATGTAAATATATGGTAGTCAAGCTCAAACAAGACATCTAATTTACTATGGAAAGAATACATGTCAGGCAAAGTTGACATCTAATTTAATGTTAATATGAATACAGGACAGTAAATAAACAAGCTATCTAATTCACTTCTGAAATAAATTCATGACTGTCAAAGCTAACATCTAATTTACTGCTGAAATGAATATATCAATCTGACATCTAATTTACTGTTGATGTAAATATAAGATAGTCAAAAACTTATAGCTATCATCTATTTTAATGTTTTAAAAATTATATAATAGTCAAAGTTAACAGCCTTAGTCTCAAGAAACTTAAATAATTTAATTATTGGATAAAATGAGTTAAAAGGATGAAAAACAGAAAAATGGGACAGGCAAAGTTAAAATATACAGTACTTATAGTGAACAAAATAAATCTTTAGTGAGTTGGCTGGTACTGAAAGAGTTAAAGCTGACACCTATTTTACTGTTGATTGAAATATATGACAGACAACGCTGACATCTAATTTGCTGTTGGTGAAATAATAATCGTCACAGATGACAACTAATTTACTTGTGATTAAAATATATGACAGACAACGCTCACATCTAATTTGCTCTTGGTGAAATAATAATCGTCACAGATGACAACTAATTTACTTGTGATTAAAATATATGACAGACAACGCTGACATCTAATTTGCTCTTGGTGAAATAATAATCGTCACAGATGACAACTAATTTACTTGTGATTAAAATATATGACAGTCAACGCTGACATCTCATTTATACTTCTTCTTTTTTCGTTCGCATGAATTTTTTCCTGTTGGGGACCTGTTCACAATAAACCGATAATAATATACAAATTTCACAGGTAAATAAAACACATTTTCTGAATGTTGAATTGAGAATCGACATCACTGCACTCTGGACACTCCCATAAGTACTCAGTCCCCATCTTCAGCAGCAAGCAAAGAGTTTCAATTCAGGTGGTACCAAAAACCGTTTAATTGTATATCAGTCTTATCCTTTCCCTGAGTGTTGAGCGTCGGCCAGATCCCCTGGTAACTCCTCACAGCGCCATTCTCCTTAGACCGTAATGATCTATCTGCGCCTCTGCACTGTTCACCCGTTCCTAAAGGGCCCTCACAATATCTAATTTGTCATACATCAATTCACCACCAAGTGGTGCAGAGCCAGCCAGTCTATCTGCCTGCTCATTTCCCAACACATTGGCATGACCTGAAGAAAATATCCAAAGGATGCTAACTACCCAGGACCTTTAAGTGATGCTTGCCACTCTGCATGAAGCATGCTCTGTGAGTCACTTACAGTCATGGCATGTGTGGACAGCTGATTCTCAAGCCAGCAGAAGGCAGCAAAGACTGCCTCCACCCCCCTTCTCAAACTAGACGTTGTGATATCATATGCAAGGCTTTGCTGCTCTAAGCGACGTCCATTCGCCTTAGCTATGAAACCCCATGCACTTCGTTGGCCTTCAACACAGAGCCATCTGTATAGATAATCACATCACTTGGGCGGTATTGTCATGAATCATTTGTTGATTCTGCAGTACTAGCTGGCCAGTCTCTGCACTCACTACCTAACGTAATTAGAACCCTACACAAGTCTGAAATTTGTTCGGACACCTTGTCCCACTCCTCTCATTGCTCAAAATTATCAAGCCTACACACATGTCTGATTGTGTCCACAGCTTGCACCATCCAAGACCTTCCTCTTTTCAGTCTGTGACCCTTAGCTCTACCCAGGGCTTCATGCAGGAGGTGCTTCATGTCTGTCGCTACTCTGAGATATGACTTTTCCTGCAGAACTTTGAGCCTATCTGCAATAGAAGGCAGTGTAAGTATATATAGCATACACACTACTGAGGAATCTCTCGTACATCCCAGAATTACCCATATGGCTTTATTCTTTATGCGTTCGAGTTTTATCAGCTGACCCTTTGATATGGTAAGCATTAATTCCTGCTGCATAATGTTATCAAAGTCATAAATCAGCCTCTCCAGTACAGATCCTTTCTGCTAGGCACTACGACAATTCCAGTAACCCACTCTAATATGCTTTAAACCCAGACGCTCCATTTTGCACCTGACTCTCTGGGCTCCGGCTCTCTGATTTCTATGCCGCCTTCTCTCTCCAATTCCTCGTCTTCTCCTCTTGCCGCTCTCTCTGTTGCCACCTGAAGATGGTATCGAGCACATTTCTGACACTACAGGACACGGTCGTTTACAAGAAACTTTATGTTAATAAACATAGAACTGGTACTATTAGCCATCGGACGTTGAGGTTCAAACTGAGGGGAAAATCTGAGCACCTATGGACATGTCCGGAGTGCAATGATGATAACCCAACTAACTAACTAAGAAAAGAAAATTAGCAACCATGGAAATGAAATGTCTAAGAGGGTTGCAGTTGTGACCAGAACAGATACAATCTGGAACGAGGCCATAAGAGAAAAAAATCGGCAGGGCACAGAACCAGTTCTAAATTACATACAAAGACAACAGAGCGAATGGTCTGCCAACTTAGAGAGAATACCATGTGATGCCATACCATAAAAGGAGAAGAGGAGAAGAACATATGTACATCACCAGGTAGATAAAGTATCAGATGGAAAGATAACAACAGGGAAACTCTTCAGTAGCACGATGTGTCTTTGACGGTCAAGGCAGTCAGAGAAGCAAGAAGCAGAACCTTTTATCTCCCTCGATACCTGAAGCGGTTTTAAAAAAAAGGAAGTAAAGAAGAAGAAGAAAAGATTATCGGGCAGAGGAAAGAATCGGATAAATTATATATATATAAGCTAATGAAGGTAGATCTCTATATACAACAAAAAGAAAGAGACAAACACTGTTCTTTGGCCACATAATGAGATGAGAGACATTGGAGAACATTGTGACAACTGAAAAGATCAGTGGAAAAAGGGGTATAGGCAGACCAAGAGAGATGATGCTGGATGGGCTGAAATGATGGTATGAGAGGGATATCATCAAGAGAGTTGTTCCAGGCAACCAGGGATCGTGTCTGTGGAGATGCACATGCGCCTACGCCAGTTGGCAGGGCATATGATGATATATATATATATATATATATATATATATATATATATATATATATATATATATATATATATATTATATATATATATATATATATATATATATTTATATATATATATATAAACCTACCAAGCCCGAAAGGTCAAAGGGAGAGAACAGACAAAGAGTGACACCCTGGTCCTCCAGGTTGGGGGTTGAAGCATGGAGCTGACACCCCCACCTTTGTAAAACTTCATTTCCTCATGAAACAGATATCTAACAAACCGAAAACAAGGACAGATCTACACACACTTGGTGTCACCAAATCGAAAGAGAAGGCCAACCAGAGAGATGAATGGAAGCGGGCGATATCTGCAGCAATGAACCTCAAGGGCTCGGAATGCTGAAGAAGAAGAAGAAGAATATATATACATATGAACAAAATTTTGAAGAACATTAAAGAGATAGCAAAAAAAAGGACAGCTTGGCATGAGATAACTTTGGACATTATGAGGCAAACTGAAGATAAAAGGACAAACTGTCATGAAGTTTTAAGCAACAAACAAAAACAAATACCAACCTCAGTGTCTGATCTGCTCTTTGTTTGAGACCTGTGTATGGGTCAGCAAGTGTCCATTTCTTAAAGTATATTTGATCTCGCTTAGCTTTACATCTGCAAAGAAAGTAAAATAAATCATAGTACTACTCTAAAAGCTCAAGACGGTAAACTAGATTCTTCTTCTTCCTCTTCTTCTACTGTATGAAGATGTATCTGTACTTTTTTTTTTCTTTCTTTATTCCCCCCCCCCCCTCTCTCTCTCACATGTTTGTTATTTAGTTTTTCTGTCTTTCTATGCTCTCTCTCTCTCATGTTTGTTATTTATTTAATGCTCTCTCTCTCTTATGTTTGCCATTCATTTTTACCTTCTTTCTATATCATTTGTCTCTCTTTCTCTCTTTTTCACTGCTTGTCATTCATTTTTTTTTTTTTTGCATTATCGCCCTCTCTTCTCTTTGCTTGTGTCTGTTATTTATTTTTTCTTGCATTCTTTATATTTTGTCTTTGATAAGTCTGTTATCTATTTTTTTTAAATTTGGTCTCTCTCTCTCTCTCTCTCTCTCACTCTTATTTTGTAATTATTTTTTCTTTCTTTCTGTATCACAATTCTCTCTCTCTCTGTTACTGCTTGATAATTACTAATTTTTTGTCTTTATTACTACTCTCTCTCTCCAGTTATTTATTCTTTTTTTAAATGCTGTCTAACTTTCTTTCCGTCTCTCTCTTGCTGTCTTTCTCTTTCACATGTTTGCAATTCATTTGTTTTTCTTCCTTTCTATGCTCTCTCTTCCTCTCTCCATCTATATCTGTGTCTTCCTTTCTATGCTCTCTCCCTCTCTCCATCTATATCTATGTCTTCCTTTCTATGCTCTCTCTCCCTCTCTCCATCTATATCTGTGTCTTCCTTTCTATGCTCTCTCTCCCTCTCTCCATCTATATCTGTGTCTTCCTTTCTATGCTCTCTCTCCCTCTCTCCATCTATATCTGCCAGACAGTATAGATCAGCATGACCAGCTCTATTGCCCAGCATGGCACATGATGATGATACAGACATTCACCTCTGCCGAGTATATAGACTCTACCTGCGCAAACATAGATTTTTCCAGCAGCCAGGGGCTAATTCATGCAGCGAGACTTTATCTTCTTTCTCCTTGGTGCTTGCTCCAACAAATTTGGTATATAGTTTCTTCCACAGCAAACTGAAAGAAAGAAAACAAAACCAAATAACTGCAATTACAAAAAGTAAGTTGTGTCTGCAGGACAGTTTGTTAAGTGCATTACATTGAAAGCAATGTTGAACTTTATACAGTTATTGAGAGTATAGTGGATACAGCATATGGTAAAGGCATGGTTATAGCTAGGACTGGATTAACCATTAGGCAAGCTAAGCCGATGCTTAGAGCATCACAAAGGGAGGGGGCACCACCGAAATGTCCAATAGCCTTGGAGATAAGCATTTATTGTTTTCAGTTGCCGTACATTTGAAAAAAAAATCCCATCGTAACAATAATTCAACAAAGCAGGCTCCTTAGCTCTGTTAAATATAGAAGCAGATTTGTTACGTAAGATTAGTTTGAAGATCTGATCAAAGGCTTTGCATCTGAACAAAAAAGTAGGAGAAAACTTGTCAAATATAAATAAAGTGGAAGTATACAAAAAAATAAAAAGACATTATTTTCCATCTTACTGTAGGTTTTGTTTAATTTTGACAAATACAGTTTAATTTTATGGTCATTTATTTTATTATTTTTTTTCCAAATTGTAAATTGCACATTTATGGAGGCATCAAACAAGATACTGGTTCGTTAGGCACTTGCCTAAGGGCCCCACGCTAATCTATGTACATCAAATGACCATTTACATTTCATTCCTGTAAGTTAAGGGGGGGGGGGGGGGGGGGGTGCAAATCTTTTCAGTACTTAGGGCATCAACACGTCATAATCTGGCACTGGTTACAGCATGTGTTCTGGAGTCTCCAATAGCTGTCTTGATTACTGCAAGAGGTGTATTCTGTATTTTACCTCTTTGTCATCTGATATTCTCTCAAAATGCCCTAACTATTTCAGTCTATTAGTTCTCATGAGCCAGTGATCAGTGATGATTTCAACAGATTATGAATTTTGTTGTTGCTTCTCACTTTCCAGTCCACGCTGTTTGCATTTCTGATGGATTCAAGATTGATCGTAAAAATATTTTTAAAAATGTGTAATAAGGCTTCATCTCTTTTAGTTGTGCTTGAAGTTTCTGATCCATATAAGACAACTGCTGTTAACAATGTTTTATATATTTTGATCTTGGTGTTATGAAGACAGAGACTTTGACTTTAGCAGATGTTGAAAGGCATAGTATACTTTATTTCCAGATTGTATTCTTAACTGTATTTCCTCTGAAGTTTTCATTCAAGTACTTATATGTTTCAGTTTGTTTGATTTTCATAGTATCGATTTGCAAGTGGCCCTGTTATTATCCTTTCCCTGTCTTGTTATTAATTACCATGCATTCTGTCTTATCTTGATCAACAACTAGTCCCATTTTATAAGCTGAATATTTATACTTTACATTTGGTTTGATATCTTTCCACGATAAAGTCAAAATTGCAGTGGTACTTACTTGTCTAGCGACACTCTGTGCCATCTGTGGCACACCTGGGATATGCTGATGAGGTCACCGGCATTCAAATTCCAAAAGATGAGTGACAAGATTTCATCTGGTAAACTAAAGGCATAAAACAAAGAAAATATTATGTATTTACTGTTTGTAACAGTATTAAAATACATCTTTGGCCTATCTTATATGAATGGTGAATTAAGAATCGACATCACAGCACTCAGGACACTTCCATATGTGCTTTGTCCCCATCCTCAGCAGCCTATTTCATTTTAAAATAGTGGAGAACAAGAAGCAAGAATAAAATCCACAGTCTGTTTCTTCTTCTTCTTTGCATTCACCAGCTGCAAATTCCAGCAAAAAGTCCTGGTTGTTTGTCCACTTTTAGACTTAGATCTTGTTCCAGAACTTGAGTTCTGCGTGCACATCTGTTTTAAAGAGCTGGCTTACATGCATGCAGACTATTGGTTCTTCACCTCTCAGGCAGAGGCACTAAAAGTTTGAAGGAAATGCCCCTAATTAGTGACCTTAGCATCTGAGTCCCAAGGGGCAGTACAGAGAAACATACAATCAGCAAATCTCGCATTCATTTGGCTTCAAGGTAGGAACCTATGAACGCATCATGTGTTCCTTGGTATTGAAAGAGTAAAGTCACCATACATTACTGGCATAAAAAGGGTTAAAGACTGCAATGTTTGGGGCACATATGAACTACATGGGATTCTTGTGAACTCTGAAACAAATGTTATACTATGTTGTTATGTTATCACAATCAATGTCTTTGCATATTGGGCATACCCATGCATGCTCAGTCCTCTAATGCAGCAGCCACTATAAAGGACCTTTACTGATTGTTCCCATGAGGAATTGATTATAGTATCTCCTGTCTTTATCTCGAAGACGGCAAAGACATGCTTCACCAAGCTCAACTCCTCGGTCACATAGTTGTGTTAGCGTCAGAGATTCGCCATTATCTCCCAGCCTAGTTAGTACAGCGTTGATAATATCAGCTCTGTCCATGCTTCTTCCCATTTGCATTGATGCATTACATGCCAGCTAGTCAGCTCTTTCATAGCCATTTACTCCTGTGTGCCTTGAGTAGATATAGATGATGGAGGTTAACTGCAACTTTTGAATGCAAAAGTGCTGACAAGGTTACCGGTATTCAAATTCCAAAAGATGGATGACAAGAATTTATCTGGTAAACTAAAGGCATAAAACACAAAAAATATTTGGTGCCTTTTTGGAGAGCGTGTACAGTTTGGTGAAGCAGATGGATCACCGCAGTCTGGTGAGATTGATGCAGGGAGGAGTGACAAGAGGTTCTGGTAGATGCTCGAGGCTCAGAGGAAAGGCAAGATGGACATTTAACCAGAATGCTACTGGCACCATTAGTATCGGAAGTCTTCACTGGCTGCTGAAAATGGGGACGGAGCATTTATGGTAATGCCCTGAGTGCTATGATGTCAGTTCTTGAATCAACTTAACTCAACCCTTTCAAATGCTTTCTACCCATTCAGAGCGTAGACTCCCTGCAGCGATTTTCTGAAGCATGTTCATAGAGTCTGAGACGATCACCGCATGTGTGGTCGCTTGTTCTGCTACCCATGTGAGTGTTCTGGAAGCGGCAGTTATCTCCATGTTAATGCTTGAAGTTTTATGGTAAGCAACGCTATCCTCTTTTACTGTTTTCCCCATAATTTGTGCTGTGTATGCCCATGCTGATCTTGATCCACGTTTCAAGGATCCATCTGTGTAAATGACGATGTCTTCTGGGCGTGAATGCTGACCAGTCTCGGCGTCCATGGTGGCAGGCATCTGACTCCTGCAGTACCTCCCCAGTGTTATGACAACTTCAGACAAGTCATGCAGGTCTACTGGTGTATCCATAAAACAAATGTGTGGGTCTATGGCCTAGAGGTTAGTGAATGTGTTTAGCAATTTGAGTGATTCTCGAATACCAGAGTTCCTTCTTCTTCTGCGTTCATCTGAAGATATAATTGCGTTGTGTCCGTTTACAGCATAGCTACGATATTTGCACCTTTCGGCCAACGCATCTGACTTCTGTGGGCATTTGTTGACAGAGTTAGGCTTCCCGGTGTACCAGAGTTTGAAAGAGACTGTGCCCCCTCCACCCCCACACCCCCCTCCCATTTAATATCCCTAAAGACAGCAGTGTGTACATTTTAGCAAACACCATGTGTGGATTTCAGGGCCCCATTGTGGAGACAACAAGAATCGACCTAATGCCTCCCAAACAAGCATGTTGTAAAAGTCCACTAATTGGGAGCTTCTTTGGAAGTCGGAGTGCATCTGCCTGAGAGGCAAGGAACCAATAGTCTGCATACAAATAAGTCATATCTGTAAAATGGATGTGCGTGCAACACTCATGTTCTGGAACAAGTCTCAAGTCGAGAGGCAGATCAACAACCAGAACTTTCCACTGGAGTTTACAGCCAGTGAACGCGAAGAAGAAGAAGAAAAAGAAGGAGAAGAAAAAGAAGAAGAAAACTGCAACCCACTTTTATTTTGGAGATAGCACAGATAGATTTTGTTTTGTTGAACCTGGGGAATGTATTCCATTTAATGCTTCATTCTGTTTATTTTTGTTGATTACTGCAGGCTGCGTGGATTTTTGTCGTGTTATGGGTACCAGGATGGTAGGTCCTGGGAAAGTAAAGACAGCCGGCATAATGCTGACCACATTACCCACAGAGTGCTGATGGTCTGTAAAAATGTGGGACGCTCTGCCCATATGCCCGATGCGCCGAAAGGCGTGAAAAGGGATCTTTACTTTTTACTTTTTACTCTTTATGTATCTTTAATAAATTTCAGAATTTAAGAAAAGAAAAAAAAAACTGTTTTTAAAAGTAACAATGTGGATAAATACAAAAATTTGCAACATTTATTATTGACCTGAGCAATATGGGTGTTGTTTTCAAAGCATTTTTTCCAGAAATTCTTATTTGTTCTCAGCCCATTTTAGTTAACATCCATGAGATAAAAGGGATAAGGCAGATAAAGAGTGAAAAAGGAAAAAACACATATATATATATATATATATATATATATATATATATATATATATATATATATATATATATATATATATATATATATATATATATATATATAAACTATATCTACCTTTCAATTGAGACTCTGGTCCTGCTAGTAGAAGAGGCTATATGAGGTAATCTGACAGAAGATGTTCTTGTCATGTCTGTGTGTCTGTGTGAAGATGATCTCTGCTTGACCTGGTTGGGCTTTTGAACATCTGGAGAAGTTTGAGGTTTACAGCTCGCATTTTTCACCTGCCTTCAGAAACAGAATCCACAGTGTGTTATTAAAGGCATAATTTTTCACTTTTATCGGGACAGTAAAGTAATGAACCAGATATACGGTTTTTGAGAAGAATGTTAACAATATCAAGGAATGGTTAAAAACAAAATGAGCACATCGGGCCCATATTGTATTGTATGTATTTGAGAAATGCATGTACAGTTAGGTCATGCTGTGTCAATTCCAACTATGTATAGTAGCTAAGGGATTCTTTAACTCTTTGAGTCCCAGGGGGTTTAGCATCAGGCCCAAGGAGTAGTCAAGAAAGATGTAAAATCGGCACATCTTGCATTCATTGGGCTTCTAGGTGGGAACTTATGAACATCTGATGCGTTCCTTGAGACTTAAAGAGTTAAGAAACAATAAAGTTATTGCCGTAAAATGCAAACAATTAGCTATTTCATCCTTACATTTTACTGGGCCGCAGCCTGAAAACCAAATTTTGTCACTATATGTATGTTTTTGCGCATGTGTTTGTATCTGGCACTAAAATGTTAATATCTCGGCTTAGAATTGACTAAACAGATTCATCAAGGTATCGTTGGATTTTTACTTTTAATCTCTATCATATATGACGGTTTCATAAATAAAAACTCAAGACACAAAACATCCCTACATATACTCATATAGCAAATATGAGCTATTTTCTGAATAACGGTCCCAAACTATTGAAGCTAAGAAAATACCCTAACAGGGCCTCAGTCATTTGTAAATTGTGGACCTCTTTCCGGCAACCATAATGTCACCACCGAGAGTATTTCTCCGTGGCGCAGAGGGGGGATAGCCGCAATATGGAGTGGTGATCTATACTATTCAGTTCAGTGTTTTCCAAGCGATACGCATTTTTCAGACAATTTATTGTCAGTACTGGCACTTCCTCCCTCCTCCCCCACCCAAAAAGTCCTATATTTATTAATTACCAATCTTGACAAAACAGTGAGAGGCCAATGGGATGTCCTTCAGACCCTTCCTATCACTTTGGCAGTTTCGGCTGATTATTTATTAAAATGTTAGGCTCTCCTTCGAACTTTGTCACCATATTATGGCGGCCAAACAAATACCCTAACAGGACCTCAGTCATGTGTAAAATGCAGACTTCCTCCGACTAACACATCGTGGCAAAACTAGGATTACTGTCCTATGACAATTTCGAGAAACACAACATTACACACGATAATAGTGACATGGTGGGAAGACCCCAGGCTCTGACGCAGGTTAGCAAAAGTGTTCTTCCAATTAAATTTACCGCCAAGTGTATCCCCTGCGCCGCTACAGGTGGCACAGATGGGGGCTAAACTAGATGGCTGGGACTCACGAGTAGCAGCTACCGCAACTTCCTCCAATTTATTTGCTCATGAGTCCCAGTCATCTAGTTTAGCCCCTATCTGAGCTATGCGTAGCGGCGCGGGGGATACTGTCGGCGGTGCGCATGGCCGCAGAAACAGGTCCGAAATTAACATATTGTTGAGACCCTGTTAGAGTATTTGTTTGCCCTCGATAATATTGGCCCTTTATTCGGAGGCAATCCTAGTTTTGCCGCGATTTGTTCCTCGGCTGGCACTCCGCATTTTACACACAGGACTGAGGCCCTGTTACTGTTAGAATAATTTATCGGGACGAAGTTCGATGAAGAGCCGAATTTTATTATTGTGATTTCAGGCAGGGAGGACATTGAAAAGACACAAGAATTATGTTTTGTGGCGACTACACTAAATTTGATTTTTGTGCAGTGAAATTGCTATTAAAGAATACCTTGTGGCTTTGGC